AAGTACTTTAAGATTTCGTTGTTACTTTTGGTGGCTTACTCTTCTACGTAGGTCTTTGAACCAATTGCCCGTTTAGCACACTGACATTTGTACAAATCATAAGTAATAACCATTTTTCATCGGTATGATATTACTTGTAATGTAGTTATCTGTAACGGATGAGTGTCAGTGATAAGTGACGACTATAGCCTTTTTATTTCTTTATTCCTTAAATTTTAGTTTCTACGTCCATAGTTTTCTCTTTTGAGTTTCCTTTGTACTATTTGTTGCTGTATGGTTAAAACAGACATCATTCAACAAAATATTGAGGGGAAGAACAAAACAGTTGCTAAAAGACAGTTGGGTCTCGGTCAAACAATTCGAATATTTTGTAAGATGAACCTTACCAATTTGAGTGTGGTTACAACAACTGAGCTATCGTCATGGTTGTTGTTCTTGAATATTTAGATACTCATCATTTGTCATACGCAGTATTTGCGTAGTTTTAAATTATTCCTTGTGCTGCTTATCATACAGGATCTTTCGTCACAATAATATATGATTCGTCGAAACGTCATATGGAACATTTTTATCTACGAACTTCCCTTTGATTTTATCTTAAGAACTACAACGTTGGTCATGATATATGTAGGAAAACTGAAAATCTAAAATACTCAAGAATTTGAATAAGTGTTCAGCGATATGCAAAAATGTTATTGAAACCACACTTTTGGCGGTTCTTTACCGTCCATATTTAACTTTTTCTTAGTTTGTACATTATATTGGTTTCTATCAAAAGACTGGTTACTCGATACTTTGTAAACAGTAAAACAAAATATTCCATTGTTTCAATTGAAAGTATACTGTTCTTCGAAATCTTACGTAAGGTTTTTAAAGCTAATAAATATTTCTCCGGTGAAACATTTGGAACTTTTCACGTAGCAGTTACAAGTTTACTATCTAACAGTCATTGTTTCTAAAATTCAGTATTCGTCAGAAAACCAGAGATTTGCATATATAAAAATCTACCTTAATAGTTTGATTTATTTTACTTCTTCGGGTTATTTGTGAATCATTTGCATCATTTGACTTAGATGAATAAACAGCATTACGCGCAATTCAGTGAAGTATTAGTCACTGAAAAATGGTGTCTGGTTTCTTATAAAACGAAAACCTTGTCTCCCTAATTTTTCTTATAAGTAGGTTTGCTTATTCTCAATATATCATGAACAACTTGACACTTCCTCAATAAGTAATAAACTAAAACTGAACAAAACCAAGATTAAGTTCTGAATGGAAATATAACACAATTTTGTGAAATAATAAATATTTGAGCATATTTAAGCTAAATAGCAAGCCAAAACGTCTTCGAGGTAAGGGATGCTTTGTGAACATAAAAGTGAGGAGATATCTGCCAAGAGTTTTGTCTAGAACGAGAGATAAACATGCATTTTCATAATGGTATATCAATACCAAATAAATGATGAAAGTTTTCTAACAGACAGAACAACAGACTTGCATTTAAATTATTTTTACTCAGTAAGATGAAAGACATCTAAAATATGCGACCACATAAACATGACAATAATCTACCCGTGGTGGGTCTTATTGAGGTGTAATGATGTCCAAAAATCACTGACATTTGATGAATTTGATATTTTAAATACCAGTCTGACACGTTTAAAACAATCATGAGTTCCATTAAGGTATTTTAAGGAGGTAACACTACAATGTATAAGTTTACTCAACTAGCGTTTAATAGTTTTATTAAAGAAAGTCAGCATATGTAATAATTTGACAAACAGTTATCTCTCGACACACATGCCAACTCACAGGTTTTTCACAAAATTGATTTCCATCACGTATTTCGACAGACAAAAACAGACAACACTGATAGGATACGGTGAATCTGCCATATTTCGTTGGGTTTTTACTGGCAACGCATTACTTAATAATTCACATCACTTCCAAATGTGAACATACTTGAAAACGACGAAATCCTGTGTCTGTCAGAAAAAAATCATATTGCCTAAAACGTCGGGTTATGTTGTGGTTTTATTTAATTTTTTGGAGAGTTTGCCTAGTTAATTTTAGTAACAGATCTTGGATATTGGCGGGGGGAGGGTCATAATTTTATTGCTCAATTTACTAAGTCCAAGTCATTTTAAAAGTATGGAAAATTTTAATCTGAGTTGAAAAGAAACATTATTTGCATTATTCATATACAAAGGTGGGCATTCGTTTACTACTTACTTCTTTGCTTTATATACTGGGATTTCAATAGTTCCATAGGGGTTAATAACAGTCCGTTCTCGTTTCTAAGTACCCCATCGAGTGTTGTCTGTAGCCTTTCAAACGCAGCAATATATATTGTTTTGTAAAGAGGGATATTGCATCCACTGAATTCTTGGACTTTAATGTATGACCAGTGACATCCAGTACTAAGACATCCCTAGTCAAATTCTGCCCTCGATGAAGTTGATAAGGTGTCTATTTTGGCATAACCTGCGATTCATAGCAACGTTTGGTCAATTCAGTAAAACTTCTACAGGACATTTTATGTGTTTCCGTCTACTGTCCTTACAGTATCGGAAGGCTTTTGTACAGGTGACTCACCTTACTAAAGTAAGACTCTAGTACGTGTGAGTTTACAGATATGGACCTGTGAACTTCACTTGAATACTACGAAAAGTCAGCGTGATCTTGTCGCTCAAACAACTTTTGAAATAGTAACTGGTGTTGTCTAGAAACTATGAAGTGTTGGGCAGAAACATAGACTTTCTGGAGTTCTTATGTTTCCCCACTGAAGATAATGATAATATGTATATCTACAAACATCGTATTTATTCTCTTGATTGCTCTTGTTATCTGTGTTAGTTTTATATTGATACCATCGATAACCTTTTAAGTTTGAGAAATTTAATTTCTTCCTTTGAGGAGCCATAATTCGGTTGTGTCTTATCGTGGCCGCTACCTGATGATGGTGAACCGGAATAGTTGATAAGCGTCAAAGACTTACCTCAGATATATATATATATATATATATAGAGAGAGAGAGAGAGATTTCAGACTTTTGGTTACTTGGTGATTATACTTCATTCCCGTGAAACATTTTGCTGTTCTATCAGATATTTGAACCAACACAGCTTTTCTTGTGATTTTCGTCCGTTTTATCGTTATTCAAGGCTAGGCAACTTTCAGTATTTTCAGAACTTTGTCAACAGCTGGACAATCAGTTTTGAGTTGTTGGTGATTCGAAAATTGCGTATAATATCGAGACTTAAGAAACCCAATGTGAGTAGTGGTTCGGACATACATATTTCAAACATGCTTGTAATGGAAAGAAAATGTTGATAATTCCTCCACAGCATTTCGTTGGGAAGTATTGTCATTTATTTGTTTCTTCTCTCCGTCTTATATTTTAACCTTTATTTAGGTCTCCTTTTAACCAAACTTTATGTTTTCCAGTATTCCTTTTCGGGGTTTTTGTTATCTTAATTACTTACGCCTATTACTCCCAATGGAACATAAACGGCCGACCAGCATTCTGGTCTTGGTTAAAGATCCACTTTTTATTACTAAATTTACTGTTACATGCTGCCGGACCATTGACAATATATTCATGCGTGACTAAACTCAGGGTCACGGCGTGGTTCAGTGTATGACTGTTAATCTTTGATTGTCCGCTTATAAAAGTTGATGGAACCCTTGCAGATAGATATTTGTTATCATGTTTTTGGGTATATTTTTGTTGGTTCTCGGGTATCCAATTCTTTTTTGTTAACTATTCCTTTTGTTGTTTATTACGTTAGTCTATGTTAGGACTGCACCGCTTGAGATATTTTGTGCTTTCAATATAATATATTCTTTTAAGTTAGAACCGTTTAAATTGAACATAGGGTGTTTGGTTTGATATAATTTAATACAAGTCATTCAAAAACGCTTCACAAGCTATACAGAAGAATGTAGTCTGGTCTGATTGAGTAAATTTTGATACGTCAGTTCTGTGTTCAAGTGAATATTGTCATTTCGGTTGTTACGCACTTCTTCAGAGTAAATAAATAATCGAATCCAGTTAACAAAAATCTAACTAGTACAAAGGAAACAATGCAGAATATGTTGGTACGATGAAAATCATAATAGATCTGAATGGGTCAATGTTAGGTTATTCTTTGTCAAGATGAATTTTTATGACTTGCCCCTGTATTAATTTGTGTATGAGCAGTTGTAAAATTAAGTAGTGGGGTTTAATTTAGGTGTGTGTGTGTAGATTTTGTGGGAAATGATTGAGGTTGTTTATATGAATAGTCCAGGTTGAATGAACTTCCAGGCCTTCTTTCCTATTGAAGGCATAGTGATTTAGCATGATGTGAGACGCTTCGGTTACTCTCATCACTTTATAGTTGGAAAAGTCTTCCTGAATTATTCTGATATTTTTAATATCAAATAAAATGGCCTGTAAATTTTTTAATTCTACAGGATTATTAGGAGGTCTTTCTGTGTAACTTAGGTGTTCCTTAGCTCGAGTTCATTATCTTTTAATGCATATCAGACTTAATCTGTTAACTGAATAGGAAATTAGAATCATTCTGTTATCTAGTTGTAATATAGATTCACTATCAATTATGATTGATTTCATTAAGGTCTATGGATAAGCCATAATAGAATATCTTACAGCATTAGAACCTGTATACTCTTTTTTTTACAGAGAAACGATGATTGAATTTAAAGTACAAAATAGCCTATAACCTTTTAAATGATTTCATGCGGAAGTCTGTGAATCATACAGTAAATAATTCATTTACAAAATGTCAATCAATTGTCTCTGAATTGACAGTTCCTTCGTTTCCACATCAATTATTCACTTTTCTCGTTCTTTTTTCTTCGACTTTCTTAACCTTCTATCGCCAGACATTTCACTTTTGATTGATGATCTATACTACTCATATCTGTCGATATCAATAGCATACATCACAAAATAAGTAAGCGTGTATATGTGAGGTTTCGACTAAACTGGATGAATGAACTTTGATTTCTTAAGTGTTACTGAGTATGTTATTGAATACATTCAAGGGGATTCAATGATTGTTACCTGTTCAAATGCAATGATATCGTCAAGTTTATTCATCTTTAAATTGTGAATGACAAGAAATATAAAGGTGAGACTAATTTATGGCAAACCTTTGAGCGACGTTAAACTGACCTTGAGAATGTCCACCTAATAACTAGGACCAATTGAGGTATTCGAATTATGATTTACAGTTGATGATTAAGGTTAGAAACTAGATTTAGTGTTTTCATCACGAACTGACATAAGCTATAATGCCAAAACTCTATTTAGCCAAATGGATGATTGAATTTCGCGACAAAATCCGAGATCTGTTATCTTACACCTGATTGCCTTCGTCCATAAATTATAGTCTTGCCATTGATCCTGTCTTGAGAAGAGAAAATCATTTTCCGAAAAATATTTGTTTTGTTTTCCACAATTTCACTTATCTTGGAAGGCTGATCAGCCCTAATGGGTTAATGTCTGACGAAATCTCTAAGCGAATTTAGAAAGCTCGTTTGGCTTTTGTCAACTTACGTCACCTATGGAGAAGGCAAGATATCCGTCTATCAATTAAGGGATGAGTATACTGTGTAGCAGTTCGTTCTGTTCTATTTTCTGGATGTAAAATGAGGCCATTAAGAGTAGAAGATACTCGTAAGCTACTAGTATTTGATCATAGACGTCTTAGAGATGTTGCTTGCATCTGCTGGGATCACTAGGTAAGTAATAGTGAGGCTAGATGTCAGGGTATTAGAGAATGATGGTAAGTCAGTTGATGAGGTTGTAAATCGTCATCGACTGAGATGGTTTGGCCACGTGTTGCATATGCCTGAACACCGTTTGCCACGACACGCAATGCTGAGTAGTGTTGCGGATGGTTGGAAGAAAGTTAGGGACGGTCAAACCAAAACGTGGCATCAGTGCTTGAAGTCACTAACGTCTAGTCTGAGCCATGTTGGTAGATGCAGACTGCTTGGTTGGGGTCCGCGTGACTATCCTAATCAATGGTTGGAGACTCTTGGTGACATGACTGAGAATCGATCACAATGGCGTCAGTGTATACACTCTCTGTCTTCCTTCAAACTATGAGATTAAAATTGATTAATATCTTCCTTTCTACGAACTAATTTTTTCTTCCTGTACTATATCCTTATACACAGTCCTTCTTTTATACATTACTACCATTCAATTAACTGCTTCTATGAATCCAGTGTTAATCTTGTTGTGCTAACGCGGTATGGCAAGTTGGACCGATGCATATATATGTGCCTGGTCCTACATTATAGCTGACCAACTGACTGACTTTACATGTTTTCTTATTAAAAGGATCATCTATTCTATGAACTGATTCTATCTTAAACAAAATCATTTTCTAAAAATAATTCCTTTTCCCGTTTTTTTTCCATTTTAAACAGTCAACTAAGAAATTTTCTTACATTCAATGATTTACCAAATGGATGTATCGAATATCTACTTAATATTTTATATATACAATCTAATTCACTTCTTATTCAATTGAATCTAATCAGCTATAATAATGATCAAATGAATATAGATTCAGCATATACTGCTGAAATCACTTCTAAACATCATCACCATCAGGATGATGATGCTGATGATGTTGAGGATGATGATGATGACGATGACGATAGATCGTTAATGACATTTGATAAGTTACATTGTCTCCTTAAATTATTATGTTTATTTGGAAGGTAAGTTATATTGAATTGTTCTTTTGAATATAGATGTATATTATTATCATCATTATCATCAATAGAAATGATCCTATTCAACAATTCATTATTGAAGATCATTCTATTCATCAAATTATATTAAATCTATTGAAATTGGTAAATACATTCTTACTTGATCTTTCTGATCTATTCACTTTGATAGATTTATCATTCAAAAGTTTTTGATCTATTGAATCTTATAGTTTACTTCATAGAAATATTCTATGATCCTTATGGAATGTGGAATAAATGGAAATCTATGTAAGTTATGGTGATATTCATTGTTTGTCAATTGAATGACTTGTAATACTGTGATGTGTGCTACTGATGTTGATAGATATAAGTAGTATGTATCATCAATTGAAAGTGAAATGTTTGGCAGTAGAGAAGGTTAAAAAGATTGATGAAAAGAGAATGAGATGAAAGAGTGATTGATGTGGAAACGAAGGAATAGTTAAATCGGAGACAATGAAGTTCTCAAATTTTACTAATAGATTCTGCAATTTTGTATTCAAATACACTTGGTTGTAATTTTATTAGTTGAAATGGTGAGTCAATTGAAGCTAGACCACCATGGATAACCTGGAAGTAGTGAACGGTCGTTTCGTCCTAATTTGCTACTCCTCAGTAATTCGCATTCACGATCACGCCTCGCGAGATTCGAACCGAAGACCTATCAGACTTGCACGTGAGAGCTTAATCACTAGAACTCGAAACCTGCCGGCATCGAACGGTGTTAATGACTAACTTTAACTAATCCGCGAAATTGAACGACATATTTACCTTTGGTTGTTCACATTTGGGTTCTTGTTCACTACACACACACATCATATATTTATATACCAGTAGGATACTCAAATGCTGCGTAAGTATAAAACGCAAAGTTAGTAAGTAGTATGCATAGTTTGAGATTCAGAATGTATTCGGTTTTTGTGATCTCTTAATTATGTTAATTCATTTTGGGAGCTCACTTAAGAAAAAACTCCAATCAGAACAGTCAATCACTGAATTTCTCAGTAAAATCTGAGAACCATAGAGTAAATACTTCATTTGCGAAATGTCGATCAAATGTCTCATACTTCATTGTTTGCGTTCGCACTCGAGACCGATAGATCCTGGGTTAGAATTTTGCCAGGCGGGATCGTGGACGCACACTACTGAGGAGTTCTACAATAGGACGGAACGGCCGTCCAGTGTTACCAGGTTTTCTATGGTGGTTTAACTTCAAATGACTCATCATCTCAACTATTAAAATTACAACCAAATGTATTTGAATACAAAATTACAGAATCTCAGTAAAATCTGAAAACCACACAGTAAATAATTCATTTACAAAATGTCAATCAGTCGCTTCAGATTTCATTGTTCTTTCGTTTTCACACCAATCACTCTCTGTTCCCGTTCTTTCCTTCTCGATCTTCTTGATCTTCTGCTGCCAGCTATTCTATTCCTAACTAGCGTTATATACTACTTATATCGATATAAGTAATACACATCACAATACTGGTATCATAGTGAATTTTTATGCCTGGTAAGATGTATCATGTGCATGCGACTAATATTTTTGTCGATAATAATAATGATACAATAATAATTTGGTTAATCCAATACTAATTGTGAATAGCATAATATATCAGTAAGTATACTTTCAGTATGTAATAGATTGATTGATAATGAACTTATTAATTAGGTGATTTATTGACGGTTAAAATTTATCTACTATTTTGACAGAAGAAACAATCATTACTGGTAAAACATTAATGACCAGTAGAGTTCAACCGGATCTGCTGTGAGATAGTATCTCATTGATGACAATGGTGGACGGTGGTGCAACTTCGTAGATCGGTCGAAATTAGACATTAACACTTTTGGATCCCGGCAGGTTCAGTGGTCTGAAGGTTAAGCACTCGCGCACGAGAGGGATACATCCTGGGTTCCGGATTCCGCGAGGCGGGATCATGCATACGTATTACTGACTAGTCCCACAGTAGGACGAAACGGCCATCTAGTGATTCCAGGTTTTTCATGGTGGTCTAATTTCAATTGATTCATAAATTCAACTATTGTGAAATTATTATAATATCCACAACCCCCCTTCTTTGATTAAAATCATTAATTGTTACTTAAAAATGTTTACGTGTCTTCGTATCTAAGTGTGTATGTGTGTTCTAGTTGTTTCCCATTTATTATAATGTTTTCCTATGATTTAAAATCTAAAATCTTTGTTTCTATGTATAAACTATTTAGTTACTATGATCAAAAATATGAAAATTTAAGATTTTTCACTTCTATATCTACATTATCAAAAGAATCACTTGATAATATTCATTTAAGTATATTCGGTAAGTAACCTGTTTACTCATTCAAATATATATAGTTTTATGATTTGTTTTAAATAAACGTGAGAATTTTGTAGATTAGATACATATTTAAGTAAACAATACAAAATAAAATCCTAAATCAAAAGTCTTAGTGACAACTGAATGTTGTGTTTCTTGTACTCACTTAGTAACTAGGTTATAGGACATCACTTGGATGCCTGTAAGTTTTAGAAGTAACTTCTTTGATTATGATACTTGATGAGATGGATTTGAATTCTATAGTTTTTGTTTCTTCGAATTGTAGTTACACACTCTTGATTGATGCCAATTGGTATGGTGGAGAAGATTTGTAGCTCAGGTGGATGATTTTGGTGGAGTTTTGTTCTATGAGCTGGATGGTTTGGTCGTGGACTGCGTCAACTGCGTACACACTTTGTTCAAGAGTGCGAGGACACACTGCAGCACACTGGCAGCACGAAAAAATGAAGAGAAATACCTGAAGGACGTATTTCAAAAGAACGGCTACCCAATCAACTTCATCAAAAAATACCAACCGCACGCAGCATCCGAACCCAAGTCAAACAGAGAAATCAACAAAAGGATCACCCTGCCATACATACAAGGAATATCAGAAACCGCAACGAGACTGCTGGAAACCTTCGGGATAGGTGTGACACACAAACCGACAAAATCGCTACAATCAATCCTATGCAAACCAAAAGATGAAATAACAAAGGAGAACAAATCAAACATTATTTACAAAATAAATTGTGCCAACTGCGAGAAACACTACATCGGACAAGGCGGACGCTCCCTTCACCTTCGCCTACACGAACATCAGTTAGCAGTCAAACGCCATAAATCTCCTCACTTATATCAATACACGTGGACAACTGCGGACACTCATTCGATTGGAAAAATGTGGAAATCTTAGACAGAGGAAACTCCAAAAACATCAGAGAATTTTTAGAAGCCTGGCACTCAGATCAATCAGCAATCAACAAGCATATTGAAATCAATCCAATTTACCAACCAATCAGGAAAATCATGCATAAATATAGGAACAAAAATCAAACCAATGGGAGACACAACCAAAACAAAGAAGTAAACAATGACAAATTTAATGTCAATAAGCACCAAGCAACATCGAGGTGAACAGAACAAGCTGTGAAACACATATGGAGAAATTCGGACACTTCACTTCTATCTGAAGTTTGTGCTGATGATGTCGTTCAGAAGAACGATGAAAGCTCCACGACCAAACCATCCAGCTCAGAGAACAAAACTCCACCAAAGCCAGTTGGTATAGAACCTATTTCGTATGGTGTTTGTACGTTGTCTTTAATCATATACACAATATTTTATATTCGGCAAGTGTAGAGTTAAATGTTAAAATGATAGAGTTATAGACTAATAATTAAGTAGTTGGAGATAATTTACTACTTACTTATACCTGTTAACCGTCGTGGTAGAGCATAGGCCTCCCACTAGCATTCTTTATCCAACTCTGTCATGGGAAATCCTTTCCAGTTCTTTTCAGTTGCTACTCATCCTTTTCATGTCAGCTTCCAATTCCCGACGCAGTGTGTTCCTTAGTCTTCATCTTTTACGTTTCCCTTCAGGATTCCAAGTTGGCGCTTTCCTCGTGATGAAGCTTGGTAATTTTCTCAATGTACGTGCTATCCACTTCCATCATACTTTCCTAATTTCCTCTTTAACTGGAAACTGATTTGTTTTCCTCCACAGAAGGCTGTTGCCGATAGTATCCGGTCGATGGACACTGAGTATCTTATGTAGACAAGTGTTCATAAATACATGTACTTGTTTGATGATCGTTGTGGTAGTTCTTGAAGTTTTAGGTCCGTAAAGTAAAACTGTGTTGACGTTCGTATTGAAGGTTCTAACTTTGATGTTGACTGACAGTTGTTTTGGGCTCCATATGTTGTTCAATTGTAGGAGTGCTACTTTTGCTTTGCCAATCCTTATCTTTACGTCTGTATTACGTCCTTCTCGTTCACCGATGATGCTGCCTATGTACGTAAAACCCTTCACCTCTTCCAGAGTTTCGTCATCAAGTGTGATTGGGTTGATGTTCTCTGTGTTGCATTTGAGGATCTTGGTTTTTTCCTTATGCATGCTGAGGCTTATTGATGTAGAGGCCGCTACTACACTAGTTGTCTTAATCTGCATCTGTTAGTGGGATAGAAGAGCTAGGTCATCTACGAAGTTCAAATTGTCTAGTTTCATTTAAATTGTCAATTGTATTCTGTACTTTCTCTGATATAATCCAGTCGACTACCATAAGAAAAAGGAAGGGCGAGAGTATGCGACCTTGTCTGACACCATTCCTTACTTGGAATGTATCTGTCATCTGTCCTCCATGCACGACTTTACAGTGTACTCCATTGTGTGAATTCTGTATGATGTTGACAATCTGCTCATGTACAGTCTCTCACACTCACAGTCACTTCTGGCTAGATCTTATATAAATGTTATTTTCTATTTTATGGGTGTGATATGGTCTGTTTAACTTGTATATAAACCAGTTATGTTTGGAATACATGATTCATACCGTGTAGGCTGAGATCGGTGTTCTGGACTCAACAGCCAGGTCTAGGCAGGAAGAAGGACCGATAAGGACTCTAGACTACTCGAACAGGTTTATACATCATTAGTTCAGTCGATAATTCACTATTGTCTAATTGGCGGTTGATGATTGAATACAAGTATTTGATCATTTCATAATTTTTTATAGATTTAATTAAACAAAACAATGACAATGCAACAATTCGAACTTTGCTGATCAACGCTTATTGTTATATATCAGTTGGATGTTATGTAAGTTCAAGGAATGTGAAATCTATTCCAGAAGCTATGTTATATTCAAATAATATCAAGTACTTAGTTTGTAATGGTAATGTAGTTGATCAAATCTGTTAGAATAAATTCTTTAATAAATGCTTATAGAAATTGATATCGTTCGCTTCAAACACCATCATGTTATCCACTTAACTGATGAGTTCAGGAAAGGTTCGAATCCCACAGTGAACATCAACTCTGGGATGCAGGCACATTCAATTGATGAATCCCGATTGGGACGAAACGCGCCTCCACTGCTAGCCACTATCCGTCTTTGTTTACAATGCTTGTGACTTAAGGCAATATCGAGACAATTTTCACAGGATACATAAATATCTATAAGAGATTTTGTGGATATTAGAGTAAGTTAATAGTCGAGTTTGTGAGTCAGTTGAAGATAGACCACCATGGAAATCCCAAAAGCATTGAACGGCTGTTTCGTCCTAGTGGTCTAGAGGTTAAGCGTTCGCACGCGAGACCAACAGGTTCTGGGTTCGAATCCCGTGGGGTGGGATGGTGGATGCGCACTGTTGAGGAGTCCCACACAGGTTTTCCATGATGATCTAGCTTTAATTGAATCATGAACTCAACTATTAAATCTATAAGAGAGACTGATCGATTGCAGTCCTAAACATCATTGGGTTGATTCAGACAAATAATACAAAAATGTATTTAACCAAGTATTTAGTTTGTAATGTTAATGTAGTTGATAGTAATTTTTCATTTCCACAGATATCAATCTTCTATTCGTTTGTTTGGATTTAACTGAACTCCAATCTATTTAATTTTGATGTGGATCAGTTTGACTATTACAAAATCTAGAAATTTCTCATGGAATTTCTCAACAATTACTTATAGAAGTTGATACTTCTGGTAAGAAGTAGGAAATAATCCAAGAACGAATAGTTATATTGAGATTGTGAACTGATTGATGTTAGACCACCATTGAAAACTTGGAAGCATGGAATGGCCGTTTCATCCTATTGCGAGACTCCTCAGTAGTACGCATCCACGATCCAGCCCGATGGATTCGAACCCAGGGCCTTCAGTCTCGTGCTGGTACACTTAGTCTCTACATCACTGAGCCAACACCTAGCGGTGTTTGTACTGATTAGATTCTGTTTTGAGAGATCAAATGACTAGATATTCTTGTATGTCTTATTTTCTCTTAGATTATTTATTTTAACACATAGATATTGGTACAGGGAGGCACCAAATACATATGTGCCACACAGATTTCATTTGATATGTGTGAGGGCCGTGATACTGCCCAGGTGCCCAAACCGAAGCAGATGGTTTCCTTAGGGGTCCACACTCAGAGCCTTTGACCTAAAGATCTGATCCACAAGGCTGTGGAGCAACGTCAGGAGATATAGTCCCATGGTACCTGGCGGCCAACAATTAGTTCAAATTCCATTTTTTCTTTCAGGATCCTGGAGTCCATATGTACCACTAGTTTGTAATGAGGGTTTTCCAACATCCCTAGGTGTGATCTTTGTGTTCACAGACCGTGTTAGAGCGCCGGACATTCGCTTTTAGTCCTCTCAATTTCGTAAATAACTTCGCCGTCTCGAGAAGTCAGTGAGTAGGACTTCCGTGTCAGTGGCTGTATACACGTGGTCATGTGAGAGCATTTGGAGATGGAGAGCTGACTCTCCCCACCCTCGGCCATACCAAATCATTTGGGTGCTATTTGTTAAATATTAAATCATAATGAAATCTTTTATTTTTCTTTTTTCTTTTTATAAGGGTTTTTTAAAATACAATCATGTACACGATTTGTTTTGTTTAATCAATCAATCAAATCGACCACTTACGGAATTATCATCAGCATTATCATCGTCATCAGAACCTCAGGGATTTATTATAATGTAAATGAACAGTATTCTTTTGGAAAGGATTTCTCACAGAATACCAGGACGAATATTGACCAATCAAATCAATCTCAACAATATAATGAAGAGTTTGTTGTTATATCAAGTTTTTTAATTTATGGATTAAGTCTTCAAGAACCAAACATGGTGAGTTAATCTTTTAAATTATGTCATTTATTGTAATTATTGAAGGCCTATAAATGCTTTGGTACGGCCAAGAGTGGGGAGAGTTCGCTCTCCTTCTCGAAATGCTCTGACATGACCACGCCTACATAGCCTCTGACAGGGAAGTCCTACTCATTGCCTTCTCGTGGCGGGGGTGTTGTTTACGAAATTGAGAGGACAAAAAGCGAAACTTCGGCGCTTTAACCGGGTTGGTGTACACGGAGAGTCCACTTGGGAGAGTTGGAAAACCCTGATTCCAAACCAATGGTGCACATGAGATCCAGTATCCTGAAGGAACAAACGACGTACGAACCTACTGTTGGTCACCGGCTACCATGAGACTGCATCTTCTTACGATGCTTCACAACCTTGTGGATCAGACTTTAGGTCGAAGGCTCCGGGTGGATTAACTCAATAATAATGTTTTATACTGTTGTAGTGGCCTCCAAATGACCTAGTACGGCTGAGAGTAGGGAGAGTCAGTTATCCCTATAGAAATATTCTCAAATGGCCACTTAATTATATCCACTGCTAGAGAAGTCATACTCATTGCCTTCTCGTAGCATTATTGTTATTTACGAAATTGAATAAACGAAAAGCGAATCTTATTAGATATATGTAATAATCAAAGATAGAAAACGAAATATTAGTTAGTCAGCCAGTGGTCTTGAGTGCTGTCTGAGGTATAAGGGTGGTTTTCACTTCCCGGTTGCCCATACCATGGAAGGGTTATACTAGGGGTATCTGAAAAGGAAATAGGGTTAGGGGTAGTCTTAGTGACCTGAGAGTGTGACCGCAGTGCCCAAAGTACAACCACTCGAGGTCGGTCACACATGACCTTTCTGTGAGTAATTTTCGTGTCAGCTCAGTACTCGTTGAAACCTTATCGCCGGAAACGGAACTCCGTGGGACAAGGTGAGGTGTGCATTTTTAGGACCGATCTATTCTAACCCAACCCTTCCTTGTGGGAATGCAGCATCGCTGTTATGTTGGTTGTCTGAAGGAAACATCTTAATGCTGTCACACTTCTTTACAGTCAGAAGTACAGCTTCGCATTCGAACCTCGGATTTGCTGCTTTATTTTTACCGCTCTTCAACCGACCTGTCTAGCACTGTAGGATCTTTAAGAATGATTGTTCTAGCCAGAATAACTTGATTGGTCCACAACGATAGTCAAGCTGGGCTACCACATCAAGGTAGCAGGTACAGCTGAGGGAAGCATCAGTGGAAAAGTGTAGATAAATTTTTCTTGGAAATCTAAGTCTTACATATTTATAACTGTGTAATTAGTTACATAGACATCTTGGAAAATAAGCATAATTAAAATATACACAACCAGGCTTCGTGATGTTAAGACTAATTAAAGGTCTACTAACCTTGATAGATTCCTTTAATCAAGAAGTTATTTTACGGTAACAAAATGTTTACTCTACGTTAGTTCACGTGGTTGAACTAATTGAATACTAAATATTTCTGTGACATGATAAAACACAAATGTAAACTATCTTAAGTAGAATATCTAGTCACTATGTTAGTTATCCAACTATTATCACCACTGCCACAAATGAGCAAAGTAGAATTTAAAATTCATCTCACTGCTGAAGAGTCCCACAATAGGACGAAACGGCCATCCAATGCTTCCAGATTTTCCATGGTGGTCTAACTTCAATTGACTCATGATCTCAACTATTAAAAGTAGATTTGTCCGTAAATTGAGAAGACATCAAAAGTTTTACTTCAACGATCATTGTTATGCATTTTTATTATTGTTTGTCGTATGGAAATCATATGGAAGCCCTATAGTTTAATAAAATCAGCGCCCTAAACTAACAGGTTGAAGTATAACAAAAATACATGGTAGCAAATACTAGGAAGATGTGACCATCAATCATCCCTGAGAGAGTGCTTGTGCTTATGTGTATGTCATGAAGTGTATGGGTGAAAGTATATCTACCAGTGGTGTGCATGTAATGCATAAGAGATAGTCAGTTGTAACAAATACGTTTGAAGGGAGTAATGATCATCTACTCTCCCAATTAAATGAATATACCTATACATATCCCATATAATGCATGAGTGGAAACGTATGTGCTACCGGTGTGCGTGTAACTTATAATTGCCACTGATGTGATGACCGCGTGTCAAGACAAGGGGTTGCCGATTTCCTTAAGAACTCATATGCACGCGTTGAGTTTATGAACCTTGAATACTCGGAAACTAATTCCAGAAAACTCGCGCCGATTTCATAAACAAGGTCACTATCGCCATCACCAATGGAAACCAACATGCCGATTATTAGAAATATTCATATCTTTTACTGAACCATCAACATGTATCACGTGTTTTACGTTGGTCACTTTAACAAACTACATTGAATTATGAATAAAATGGCAATTTAACTAAGTAAGTGGAGAGAAACATAGTGACTATGGTTTATATAGTCAAGAACAATCTTATTTATCATAATGAATACACTTTATTTAAATGAATGTATTGAACATTTCTTTTATTATCAGTTTAGGGTTGTGGAGATTGTTGAATTTTAGTTGAGATAATGAATGGATCAATGTTAGACCACCATTGAAAACCTTAAAGCACTGGAAGGCCGTTTTGTCCTTGTATGGGACTCAACAGCAATATGCGTCTACGGCCCCACACCAAACGGATTCAAACCCATTACCTTTGGTCTCGCTCCGGTACGCTTAACCTCTAAACCATTGAGCTGGCATCCTGGAGTTCTACTATGAAGCCTTGACTAATGTAGTCCAATCCCTGTCGGATGTGATACAGTTATCCACCTCAGACAATGGATGTAGGGTTGAGCAAGATCATGGATCGAATTGAAGTTAGATATTAACACGATTGGATGCCAGATCAGTGGTCTGGAGGTTAAGCGAGACCGTGGGTTCTGGATTTGGGTCCCGTGTACGTTATCGTAGATGCAGACTACTGAGGCGTTCTATACTGTAACGGAACGGCCATCCAATCCTTTCAGGTTTTCAGTGGTGGTCTAGCTTAGATCAACTCGTGGATTATTATACACTTATTATTATGACCTTTATGTTTGTCATTTTTCTTCATTTCTGTCAACTGGACAATTATGTGACCAGTAAATTATTTTCATCCTTCTATTCTTCTGTAATCCCCTTGATTATTACGCAACCTCATTTGATAATTAGAATTTCGTACTACTTTATAATGCAATCTTTTCTATCCTTCTATGGAGATATATTTTCCACATAACTATAAGTTTTAGATCATATTATAACTGTAAGCATCTTTATAACAAGGATCTAGATTTATCTAATTATTTGTTGCTTTGTCATATATCTTTCTATTTCAATAATATTCAATTCATGATATGATAAATCCACTTGGTATTGTTTGTTTGGATCTTCCCATTGATGCTTAGGACTGTAATTGATCAGTCTCTTATTGGTATATGTGAATACTGTATGTATTGCCTTGATATTGCCTTGATTCACAAGCATTCTAAGCAAAGATGGATAGTGGCTAGCAGTGGAATATAGCATGCTGCTTTTGTCTTATTTGGGACTCGTCGGCCGGATGTATCTGCATCCCCGAGTTGATGTTCACTCTGGGACTCGAACCCAGTACCGTTTGCTTCAAACGTTTATATAGTTTGTGACTTAAGGCGATATCTAGGTAGTCCGCATAGAATGCACATATGCCAAGAAGAGACTGATCAATTGCAATCGTACACAACAATGGGAAAATACAAGTAAATAATACCAAGTGAATTTAGACTTCATCCGATTGCACAAGCAGGTGGCTCTCAGGCCACAGTAGCTAAGTAGATAACGCGATGGCGTTTGAAGCAAACGGTACTAGGTTGGAGTGCCACAGTGAATATCAACTCTGAGATGCAGGTACATCCATCTGACGAATCCCAAACAGGACAAAACACGTGTCCTGGATTCCACTACTAACCACTAACCATCTTTGTTCATGACAAGACAAGTTTCATAAAACGATTACCCCCCCTACCGTGAAACATTAATCTAACAACAATAATAATGTACTTTAAAGTGTTTATTTCTATTCTATTTCTTGAACAAATTATTAAGAATAAATAAATAAACATGTAAATAAAATCTGGTTTATTTAAACTGAATTATTACAAGTACACATATTCATTTGTTTATTACAAAACAGTTGTCTTTCACACACACACACACACACACACCCGCACATCCACAAACATATGCACACACACACACACTGAACCAGAGATGCTTGTTGATCTGTTTTCTTTGTGAGAAGAGAACTTGTTTCTAAGTATGAATTATAGCACTAATTCCTGTGTACTGTACTATAGTTTATCACAATAAACATTGATCAGAATACATATCTAATTAAGGTCATCTTCAGTTTAATAGAGAATATGTGCTTAATACATTATATTAATTAGTATGAGTAAACTATGATCATTTTTATGATCAAAGATAGATCGTGGTTAGCAGTGGAATCCAGGATGAATGTTTTGTCCCATATAGGATTCATTAGATGAATGTATTTGCATCCAAGAGTTGATGTTCACTTCAGGACTCGAACACAGTATTGTTCTCTTGAAACTTCATGGATTTATTGACTTAGTTATTGAGTATATCCAACTGACGAGTCTTAAATAGGACAAAACATACGTCCTGGATTCGATTGCTAACCACTATCTATCTTTGCTTATAATGCTTGTAAATTAAGGCAATATCGAGGCAATACACACAAGATACTTACTTTGCAATTTCGTAGATTGGTTGAAGTTAGACATTAACACCGTTGGATACCGGCAGGTTCAGTAGTCTACAGGTTAGGCGTTCGAGCGTGAAACTGATAGGTCCTGAATTGGAATCTTGCGAGGCGGGATCGTACATGTGCACTTCTGATGAGTCCCATACTAGAACGAAACGGCATCCAGTGATTCTAGGTTTCTAGTGGTGGTCTACCTTCAATTTACTCATGATCCCAACTATTGGAATTACTATCATAGCCACAAAAATCTCTTCTGATACTTAAAAAATGTCCGAAAAGTTTATCACTCCAATAGATGATCTGTCATTTCAAAGCTAATGGTATAAACTTAATCGAAAATCAATTGCTTGAATATTACAGTTTTTGTCTGATAAAACTACCAATAGAGCAGTTGATCCAATGGTTTAAGCAGTTTATCTTTTTCAGGTGAGGTCAATAGTTGAGATAATGAGGCGTATTGTACAGGTGTTAACTGTTAGTTTTCTAAGAATTTCACATTTGAAGGTGTCTCATACATTCTAGTTTTGAATAGGATATCATTTTGTTTTTTTACACTACTAATAAGTAATATGAGATAACTTGATCACTTTCATGACTTTTTTTATTTATTTGAACACATAAATATTAGTTCAAAGGGGTACCGAATACATATGCGCCACACAAGTCACTTGATTTGTGTGTGGGCTGTGAAACTGTCTCGGTGCCTAGACCGAAGCAGGTGGTTTTCTTAGGGAGCCACACCCGGAGTTTTCGACCTAATGGTCTCTGATACATGAGGGAGTGGAGCAACGTCAGGAGATATAGTCCCATGGTAGCCAGTGATCAATGATTGGTTCATACGTCATTCGTTCCTTCAGCATCCTGCAGTCAAGTTCACCATTAGTTTGGAATCAGTGTTTTTCAACTTCGCTGGATGTATCCTCTGTATCCACTAACCCAGTTAAAGCGCCGGACATTTGCCTTTCGTCCTCTCAGTTTCATAAACAACACCAGTGGTATGAGAAGGCAGTGAGTAGGACTTCCATGTCGCAGGCTATATACGCGTGGTCATGTGAGAGCATTTAGAGAAGGAGAGCGGATGGCAGCTATAAGTGGAATTTAGGACTCAAGTTTCGTTCTATTTGGAACTCATCAGCTGAATTTATTTGCATACTTGTAACTTAAGGCAATAACGAAGTAATTCGAACAAGATGAACATATGTCAATAAGTTTCAAATAACCGAATAAGAAATGAATTAAACTTCACTTCATTGATTAAACTAGTGATTATTTGAACTCAATAGCTAAGTAGATAACGTTATGGGGTTTGAAATGAATGGTACTGAATCTGAGTCTTGGAGTGAACATCAACTCTAGGATGCAGGTAAATTCATCTGACGAGTTGCAAATAAGATGAAGTGTCGCGTGTCTTAGGTCCCATTGCTAACCACTATCGATCTTCGTTTGAAATTTACGTAGTAAGTTATTATAAACATACATCAGTATAGTGATAATAACTTTTCTATTTATTGTTTCTATCCATTTAGATTACATTAAAATTAGCGGTAGATCAATTTCGTTTTGATATTGGTAATAAAGGAACTCTTTCCACTATTGATTATTGTAAGTTTATAAATGGAATATATATTGAATAAGTGATTTCAGTCTTTCTGATTACTATCATTCTTCTCTGTTGGGGACGTTAGATCCCCCCACCAGAACTCACTTGGGAAAGGACCTAATTTTGTAATTTTATTAAGAAAATCTGAGCTTTTTCGTTTTCGCGCCAAAGGCGCTCTTATCACATTCATGTCGTATTTCCCACTGGGAAATATCTTAAATGCTATTGGTCCGTTGTGTCTTTTAGTATGCTATTTTGTAACTCTCCCCAAGGACGGTTTTGCACTGCATATATATGTTTTCGATTGTGTTTGTTGTTATCGCTCGTTTCTGGCTGATTTACAGAATATACTTCCCATTCCAAGCTTGGACTTCTCCCTCTAGTTAGCGGGGCTGGGACAATCAATAGCTAGCTTACTGGTCTTTGGTCACCGAGTCTTGTTCTCGTTCGCCAATTAAGTGAACTCGTGATAGCTTCAAACATAGAAAGCCTATCGAGTCTCTGAATCCTTGATTCCTCATTCCGTTCCGAGTAAGACGAATCAGTAGTAGCATTCAAGTTGAAGAACATAACATTCTCATTTAAGTGACCAGTTTTATTTGCGTATAGAAAGCTTGTATACCAGTATTAGAATTGAATACTTCTTATTACAACCGTCTTGTGTAGTTAGATCTTCAATTATACGAGGGAAATGAGCTTTAACAATGTTAACCTCACTAGTGCGATTAAAATCTGTTTTGTAGCAACAGTAGCAACGTCAAAGAACCTAATTCAAGGTATGATCAAAGGTTTGTGTAGTTTACTATACAAACGTTTAATTCCTGATATGATAAGCCTAAGATTTTAGCCTTGTTGATATCATTATATTCAAGTAAAGCAGATGAAGAAAACTAGTGTAGCAACAGCCTTTGCATCAGTAGGCCTAGGCATACACAAAGGAAAAAGCAAGATCCTCAAATACAACACGGAAAACACCAACCCAATCACACTTGATGGCGAAACTCTGGAAGATGTAGAATCCTTCACATACCTGGGAAGCATTATGGATGAACACGGAGGATCAGATGCAGACGTAATGGCGTGAGTTGGCAAAGCAAGTGTCGCATTCCTACAATTGAAGAACATATGGAACTCAAAACAACTGTCAACCAATTTCAAAGTCAAAATCTTCAATAGGAACGTTAAGACAGTTCTACTGTATGGAGCTGAAACTTGGAGAGCTATAACAACCATCATCAAACATGTACAAGTATTTATAAATAGTTGTCTACTAAAGATACTCAACATCCATTGGTCGGATACGATCAGCAACACCATTTTATGGAAGAGGAAAAACTAGCTTTTATCTGAAGACAAAATTAGAAAAAGACATTGAAAGTGGATAGGTCCTACATTGAAGTAATCATCAAACTACATTACGAGACAAGCCTTGTCTTGAACTCCTGAAGGGAAGCAAAAAACAGAAAGGTTAAAGAACACATTACGTCGGGAAATAGAATCAGATATGAAAAGGATGAATAACAACTGATAAGAAGTGGGAAGAATTTCCCAGGACAGAGTTGAATGGACTGTGCTGTTGGGCGGCCTATGCTCCTTCACAAGGAGTAACAGACGTAAGTAAGTAAAGCATACATCTTGTATCATAGTTATAAAATTAGTATACAAAGACTATCATTACTTTATATTGTTTTCTTATTATATCATTTATAGATTATCAAATTCTACTTATACAATTATCTAGTCGTATAAGACTATGTTATCAACATCAACCAGAGATTCTTCTATCAAATATACAACCAGTAACATTCAACGACTCGTCGTCGTCGACTTCTTCTTCTTCCTTTAAGAGATATTATCAATACTTTTTAACATTTCTAGCCTCTATTGATATGAATCAATCATATTGTAATATATTTATTACATCACAATTAAAAAGTGATACAACATTGATACCTTCTCCTTTATCTATAAAAAGATTACCGAATTCTTTTTATGATCAATTAACAGAATATTTATGTCATTTATATGATTCTAAATCAGAGATCAATCATATTCTCAATGTGATTGGTAAAAGTCTTTTATGTTGGGTAAGTAAAATCATGAAATAAGTTACTTCTTCTGTATTAACATTGAAGTTAATGAAGAGTTTTATCTTGAAAGAATGAAGTTCCAGTCAGTCAATCAATTACAACGTAGGATCAGGCATATATATGCATCGGTCCAAGATGCCATACCTCATTAGCAAAACAAGATGAACACCAGATTCATGGAAGTAATGGATTCAATGGTGGCAATGTAGTGAACAGATTACGGGTGGGGACAATCGAATATAGTTAACACAAAATTACAGGACTTGTTAATAAAATCTAACACTCATAAAGTATCAGAATGGGTTTTGTGGAGATTTTTTGGAAATTCGACTGGTAGAAATCATGAGTCAGTTGAAGCTAGACCTATGGGAAACCTGGAAGCACTGGAAAGCCGTTTCGTCCTAGTATGGGACCCCTCAGCAACCTGCATCCACGATTCCGCCCTCCGAGAGATCCGAGCTCAAGACCTACCAGTCTCGCGCCAGGCGCTTAACCAACTAGACCACTGAGCCGGCTGACATTCAACAGTGTTGATGTCTTAAGTAAATGCTTAATTTGCAAAATGTCCACCAACTGTCTCAAAATGATTCAGACTTCATTATTCTTGCATTTTCATACAAATTGCATTCTGTTTCTATTCTTTACTGTTCGATTCTCTTGTCGCTCTGCTTCCAGACCTTCTGTTCACGACTAACATCATCTACTACTTATGTCAATATAAGTAGCACACACCACAGTAATATATAAAAGAAAGATATAGTACAGGAACAAAGAGGTAGTTCATAGAAAGAAAGGTATAAAGCAATTTAAATGTTCACTGCAAAGAAGTGTGACAGCATTAGGGTGTTTCCTTCAGACAACCAACATAACAGGGATGCTGCATTCCCACACGGAAGGGTGGGGCTAGAAAAGGTCGACCATAAAATGCACATCTCGCCTTATCTCAAGGATTTCCGTTTCCGACGATTAGGTCTCAAAAAGTATGAAGCTAGCACAAAGATCTCTCACAGAAAGATCGTGTGTGACCGACATCAATTGGTTGTCCTTTTGACACTGAGGTCACGCTCTCAGATAATTAAAACCACCTTTAATCCAATTTCATTTTCACATACATCTAGAAGAACCCTTCCGTGGTGTGGGCAACCGGGAATCGATAACTGCCTTCTTACCTCTAACAGCATTCAAGACCACTGATTGACTGACTGTCATTTATTTTTCTATGTGATCCTCTTTCTTTAGGCTTTTGGAATACTACCAATGTGTATTGATCCACAATTAAGTCATTTGTTAGACAATCCTTGTAATGAAAATAATTCAAAATCATATACCCATGTTATTATTCATGGTGATATTTTGATTGTTTTATTAAATTGGATCGTTTATTTATGGAATGTAATGAATTCATCACAATGTTCATCATACAACAAATCAATAAATGTAACCATTTTTCATATTATTCATCAAATATTGAAAATAATTATTGATTGTTTATTGGATCCGGATACAATTGGACAATTGAGTAAAGCATATTGTTGTCAAGTTGGATTAATTCGATATGCAATAATTCCAAATATTGTTAAATTATGTGAATTATTAAAACATAAACTTGGCATATTGAGTACTGAACAAGAAAAAGTTGATTATAAGGTTAGTTCAAATAATTTTCTTCTTTTTGTTTTAAACTACTTGTGAGTAGTTAAAAATGTCATGCAAAAGATAGTGCGATTACAATTTCGGTAGTGGTTAGTCAATGTAAAGAAATAACATATGTATATGACCTTGATAAGTGAATAGAAAGATTTCCATGCTCATTACGTGTATCTATGGTCTATTACCATACAACTATTCTTGTTATCGTTACATTTAATATTCAAATTATGGCACCTACTGATAGTTATATGTTACTGAGTTCCTTCAGGTGTCCGCGATTTGATTTTTGTCCTAATATGATTATACTCGGTAGAAACAATCGGATTCCTTTGAAATGATGTTTGTCAGCTATTCGCTAAATCATAGCTATTGGACTTCATTCCAATTATTAGATGGCTAATGATTTTCAATGCAAATATTTCAAAGTTGTATCAGACGTACTAAATTAAGATCTCATATCACTCATGATGAAAGAGGCTATAAATTCTAGCGCTACATATAGACAATAATATGCAATGGAAGGACCACCATTGAAAATCTGGAAGTACTAGGGAGTTGTTTCTTCCTAGTATAGGACTCGTCCGTAGGGCGTATCCACGATCCCACACCAAAAGAAATCGAGGCTGTTCATCCATTGTATGAAGTCGACAGCTGTCTCTATCCGACGCGGATTGGAGTTGACTAGTCATGGCTTCTCACTAGAAATCCAGGATGCTGGCTCAATGCTCTAGAGGTTAAACGTTTGCACACGAGACCGAACGTCATGGGTTCGAATCCTGTGTGCATGATCGTAGATGCGCACTTCTGAGGAGTTCCATACTACAACGAAATAATCATTGAATAAAGCTTTTTCAAGTTTATAATACTATAATTTTCTAATTTCGTTTGTAGGTAGTGAAATATCAATATTTCCAAACACTTAAAATCTTCAATATGTTTTTAACCATACTTCAATGTTTAGGAGAATTTTCAATGTCTGCTCCAGATCTTGCAAATTTCCTAAGAATGTTTCGTTCAGAATCTGTTAGATTATTTTGTAATAGAATACTACAAGTAAGCTCATATTATCAAAATAGATTTTATTTTATTGCGAATAATAAAAATTATAATTTAAGTAACCGATGATTAATGTGTGCTACTTATATTGACATAAGTAGTATACAACTCTAATCAGGAATAGCATATGTGGCGGCAGAAGATCGAGAAGGAAAGAACGGGGATAGAAAGTGATTGATGTGGAAATGCAGGAGCAGTCAATTTTGAGATGATTAATTGACAGTTTACAAGTGATTCTCAGATTTTAATAAGATGCATCAATATTGCCTTAATTCACAAGGATTCTAAGCAGAGATTGATAGTGGCTAGCAGTGGAATCCAGGACGAGTGTTTCGTCCCGTTTGGGACTTGTCAACTTGATGTACCTGCGTCTGAGTTGGTGTTCACTCTGGGACTCGAACCCAGTACTGTTTGCTTCAAACGCTACCGCGTTATCCACTCGTTTGTACAATAGGGGTTAAGTTTAAATTCGTTTTGTATAGCTTGTTTGAATCTTTCTATTATTGTTTAGGATTGCATTTGATTAACCTCTTATTGGCATATGTGTATCTTGTGCGGATAACCACGATATTCACTTGAGTCACAAGTATTATAAACAATGATGGATGATGGCGTGTCCTGGATTCCACTGCTAACCACCATCCATCTTTGCTTATAACTATTTACCATATCTAATAATTTATTAATATCAGAAGGGATTTTGTGGAGATTTTAGTAATTTCGACAGTTGAGATCATGAGTCAGTTGAAGCTAGACCGGGTCAGTTGTGAGATAGTAACTCGTTGATGACAATGGTGGATGTGTCGCTCAAGTCCGTGAATTAGTTGAAGTTAGACATTAACACCGTTGGATGCCGGCAAGTTCAGTGGTCTAGTTGGTTAAGCTGCCTGTCGCGAGACTGATAGGTCTTGAGTCCGGGTCCCGTGAGCGGGGTCGTGGATGCTCACTGCTGAGGAGTCCCACAATGGTGGTTTAGTTTCTAATGACTCATGATCTCGACTGTTGAAATTTAATTATACTATACAACCCCTATAGACGTTTTTTTCTTCAAAATTTCCTACTATCTAGATACTTGTAAAAATTACACAAAAACCTCAGCTGAATTTAACTCCATTACCAAGTTCTGGCTATTGGTTTCAATTTAGTCAACCACAAGACAGTCTTCTTGTTTTACCAGTTGGACCGGAATTAGGAGATTTAAAATAGTAAGTGGAATGTTTTCGAAACATATATATTAGAGAAAATGAATGTTTGATACTAATCCTTTTTTTACCGCCCGTAGCCCTTTTAGAGCTACTGCCAGTCCCAAGCCTGGGTAAAGGGTTCAGAATTAAAGGGTTTGCAACCCCATCCCATAGAAAACTAACTCGCTAAAACAACATTAACCAGAAAAAATAATTCAAACCTTTTTTCCCGCGTCCACCAATACAATATTTCCAAGCAATTGTTCATATCTTCGATTTAATATCACTTCGATTAGTATTTGTTCACGAAATTGCGCGACCATCTTCCATTATATTGAGGTAGATACCTGTCTCTACCCGACACGGATTGAATTCCGTTGGTCATGGCTTCTTACTAGAACTCCGAGAATTCCCTCGGGAAGCTAGTCACTAGTGAGCACATAGTAATTATCAGTATAGGGTTGTGGAGATTATTAAGTTATCGATTGAGATCTTGAACCGATTGATGTTAGACCACCATTGAAAACCTGGAAGCGCTGGACGCCCGTTTCGTCCGACTGTGGGACTCCTCAGCATCGCTACTCGGTGTCGGGTAGAGAAAGGTATCTACCTCAGTACAATGGAAGATGGTCGCCCAGTTTTGTGGATTGGTTGAGGTTAGACGTTAACACCGTTAGATGCCGGTTCAGTGGTTTAGTAGGTTGGGCGTTCCCGCGCAAGACCGAAGGCCGTAGTCTCGAATCCCTTTGGCGCGGGATCGTGGAGTGCGCACTGCTGAAAGTCCCACAATATTACGGAATGGCCGTCCAGCACTTCCAGGTGACCAATGGTGGTGGTTCAAGATCTCAATGGATAACTTAGTAATCTCCTTAACCCTATACTAGTATTTGTTCAGTTTGATCAGTTCAACTATTTAAAAGCCTTAAACAAGGATAAGCATGTAAATTGTTTGTTGTTTGTAGAAACCATGTTGTGATATGTTGAATTTAGTAATGTAGAATTCAACACCCCTCAGCAGTGCATGTCCACGATCCCACACTAAAGGGATCCAAACCCAGGACTTTCAGTCCCACGTGTGAATGCCTAACCTATAGACGACTGAGCTGGCATCCAACGATGTTAATGTCTAACTTCAATCGATCCGTGACATTACGTAACATTCTATCTATTGTCTGATGTGGATAACTGTCACACATCCAACACGGATTGAATTCCATTGGTCACGGCTTCTCACTAGAGCTCCAGGATTACTATCAGAATGGGGATTTGTGGACATCGTAATAATTTTAATAGTTGAATTCATACTAGGATGAAACGACCGTCCAGTGCTTCCAGTTTTTCAATGATGGTCTAGCTTAAACAAACTCATGAATTCAAATATTAAAATAACTACAATCTTCACAAATCTCCCATTTTGATAAAAACATTTTAATCATCTTACTTCATTCACATTATAATCTATTACTAGCTTATTAATTTTACAAGTCACTTTCTATTTACACACACATACATACACAAACCATCATGGAAAACCGGCAAGCATTGGATGGCCGTTTCGTCCTAGTGTGGGACTCCTCAGCAATGCACATCCACAACCCCACACGTTGAGATTTTAACCTAGCACATATCAGTCTCGTGCGTCAACGTTTAATCTCTGTTCTATTCTATTCTATATCAATTATTAACCTTGAACCAATATTATTTTCTTGTATATTATATCCCCTAGTGATCAAGATATCAGTATTACTTTTGAAAACTCATTTACATCAATCAATCCATTATCAACTGATATCAGTTTACATTTTTGGTTATCGATTAATAATCAATCAACTGATAATGATAATTCACTTAGTGATCAATTTCAAACAATCGATTCAAAACGATACTGCCTTTTCAGATTATTATGTACAAATGGAAATGGTTTAGAGATATTTTTGACAAAATATGGTTATTTAGTTGTTGCTGTATCAACACAAGAAGGTTTCAATTATGTTGTTGTAAGTTATCTCAAATGATGTATTGATTTAATGTCATTATCCTTGATTCGAATCCTGATTCTAATTTGGTTGATTAGCTTTATATATCTAACTTGACCGATTATACGCTTACTCAGCTGTATTGATACTGAGCTGATATCTAAGTCCATATTAGGCAGCTGTACTCTAAATCTTCTTTATGCTAAGCTTTTGAGTCCAGAAGTAGTAATCAGCATCTATAATATTTATATTTCAAACAGATGTGGCTTATATACAGACGAACTAAACCAGATCACACTATTAAATGAAGATTAGTGGTTATACATGAACAAGTCAAATGTGTTTATGAGTAGGAGAGACTGTAACTTATTGACTGACAATAAAATAGTAACAGTAAGACGTATAATTTCCTGGTTAGTTTTCTACGGAATGGGGTCGCTAACCGCATGCCTAAACTTCCTCTTTTATCCGGGCTTGGGACCGGCAGTAACTCTAGAAGAGCTACGAGCGGAGGTGGAATCCTGAAGGGAAGAGGAAAAGAGGAAGGGCAAATAACACATTACGTCGGGAAATAGAGGCAGAAAGAACTGGAAGGGATTGCCAAGAACAGGGTTGGATGGAGAGTGCCGGTGGGCAACCTATGCTCCTCCGCAAGGAGTATCAAGCGTAGGTAAGTAAGTAAGTAAGACGTATTTATCGTAGTTAGTGCATTAATGGAAAGCTCATGATAAAAGGAATACATACACAAAGTATTCTAACCACTCAGTAACTATACAACAAATTAAAATGAACAATAATTTGGAAACTAGTTCCAACTTCTACAATATTCATTCCGCCATAAAATGAATAATTTCGTAATCACCTATTGTCTATATTTTGTCATTATGAAGAGCATCTAATTGGTAAGAGTTCAGGGGTGATTTGAATAATTTCTGGATGACTTACTTGGATCACCTTTGATCAAATATATTATCAAATAGCTTATCTTGTCTCATCCTTTCAGTGTATTCAATTGTTCAGTTGTTTGCTAACTTTTATTTATTATTGAAACCATTAACTGATCAATTTTAGAACCCGATTGAAAACCTGGGAGTACTGGATGTCTATGTCATCCCAGTATGAGACTCCTGACCAAGGCGGATCTATACTCCTCTAACAAAGGTAATCGAATTCAGCACCTTCAATCTCACATACGAATGCTTAAGCAGCATCCAAAAGTATTGATGCCTAAGTTCAATCAATCTATTTAGTCCCATACTAGGACAAAACGATTATTCGCTGCTTCCAGGTTTTCAATAGTGGTCTAACATTGATCGGTTCATGATTTCAAGGAAATTCATCAATCTTCAAAACCCTAAATTGATTTTTGTAATTTTGTAGTAGTCTTACATTCATTTCTTTGGATAACAACAATACATAATGTAATATAGTCTCATTAACACTCTATTGAGCTTTTTAAATCGACTATTGAATTGACAGACTTTAAATAGTCAACTGTTCCTCCGTTATGTCTCTTTAAAGACGAATATGAATTACAGTTGTAATTTGTATGTAAAGTGATTTTTGTACCCTGTTATAACAAGAGCTTATACTCTTGATATGACACGTATAACTTTAGCACTTGAACGCTAGAATCCTTCCAAGTCTCAAATGAGAAGACAGTCAGTCAGTCAGCTACAACATAGGATCAGACACATATATGCATCGGTCCAAGTTGCCATACCTCATTAACACAACAAGATGAACACCGGATTCATAAAATAGTTAATTCAGTAGTGGTAATATATAAAAGAAAGATTGCAGACAGAAGACAAGTGAAAGAAACGTTATTCTAAACAGTGTCAAATTATAGTACAAAAACTATCAGGTATTTATAGTTTTTAGTAAAAACGAAATCATCATTATAGCTATCCAATTTGCACACAGAGGGTTATTAGCAATGTCTTATCAGGAAGCTACATGTAGATATTCTTGAGTATTTTTCCAAAAGATGATTTGATGAAATATCTTTGGCTCTTTCTGAGCTTCTTACAGCTTTCTCGAGTTCACTCGTGGACCGCCCTCACATACCCAATGGTCAAGAGTACTGTCTTTTGATATATCTACAATTCAGTATGATGGATAATATCATTGGGGTAGGGTGGATTCTCACGATCCAATAAGATCCATTCTTAATATCGTATTAATCATTTTGATTTATCAGTTTGATATTTCTTTGCATATCACTGAGGTTCTTATCCAGTGAACTAATTTCATGTTGTCTTACGTAGATGTATTTCATATCGTTAATTTCTATCATTCACGTATTAGTATGTCGGTAATTAGACATACTAAACTATTTATTGAATCATATACAGACAAATGAATATTGTTTATAGTCAATCATATTATTTGAATTGGAGTATTGTATCATCAAGGCAAATATAAAAGGTTTAGACTAGCTTAGACCAACCACGGTGGTTGTGAATACAGTAATCTTTAGTGCTGTTAGAGGTAACACGGCAGTTATCACTTCCCGGTTTCCCACATCATGGAAGGGTTCTTCTGGAGGTACCTGAAAAGGAAATTGGGTTAGGGGTAGTCTTAGTGACTTGAGAGCTTGACCGCACTGCCCAAAGTACAACTACTTGAGATCAGTCACACACGACCTTTCTGTGGATAATTTTCGTGTTAGCTCCATACTTATTGGAAGCTTACCCCCGGAGACGGAAATCCGTGGGATAAGATGAGGTGTGCATTTTTAGGATCGACCTTGTTTAACCTCACCCTTCCTTGTGGGAATGCAGCATCGCTGTTATGCTGGTTGTCTGAAGGAAACACCTTACTGCTGTCACACCTCTCTACAGTCAGCAGTACAACTCCGCCTTCAGACATCGAATTTGCTGCTTTTAGTCTAACTGTTGTTCAAACGACCTGTGTGGCATGGTAGGACTTTTAGGAACAATTGTTCCAGCCAGTATATCTTGACTGGACCATCGTGATAGTCAAACCGGACCACAACGTCCAAGTAGCAGCAACGGTCGAGAACGACGACGATATCTTGGACATATCACGGACGTAAACTCATTAAATCCAACCAACCCTTATATTACTGAATTAACATCTTATATCAGACACATGATTTTTTTCCAATACTACTTTTCAATTTCATATATTTTAACTATCCCAATTGTAGACATGTGGGCCAGATAAATTAACACCGTGTGAATGGCATTCTGTTGCAGTTGTCTTTTGTCATACCCGTCGTCTTTTAGTTACCAAAGCTATACTCAAAGTCTTTATAGATGGTAATATTTGTTATTCTGGGGATTTTCCTCATCCACAAATAAACGGAGTAAGTGTTGCTTTCAATTTATTTCATTTTGAAAGTTCTGTTGATCAAGTAGGAGAGATTTTTAAAGTGTTCGTAACCCAAGTTTTATGCTTTTTAGAATTCATTTGTTTATCTCGCATGCAATTTTGAGAACACGCTTTTATGAAGTTCCTCTTCACAGCTCCGCCTGGACCCCCTTTCGGGCAACTGCCGGTCTCGAGTCCGGATAAAGGAGGAGGGTCGGGCATGGGGTTAACGAACTTATTCCGTAGAAATCTAACCAAAAAAAGTTATTCTTCGTCACAGCTACACTGATATAGTGACCGGACTCGGATATCGTAATAATCAAATCGAACTATATCATTCGAAATATCCGTTCCCTTGGGACCTACCACACCAGATAAGCTTTTTTTGGGATCAGTAAGACTAAAAGAATCAAGTTTTTAGTTTGAGGGCAAGTCACATTGCAGACTGTTTGATGGCAATTAAATGTTTCCTTTGGACAATCAGGAAAGGTCAGGATACACTGTTTACAACTGTCCCATTGTTTATTTACTTTATTCTCAAATCCAAATACTAGAATTGTTTTCGGCATTCATATTTAGCTACTGAGTCCTAAAAATCGATGGGAAAACTTCATCCCATTGCACAAACAAATGGCTGTCAGGACTCAGTAGCTAAGTGAATAACATGATAACGTTTGAAGTGAACGATACTGACTTCGAATCCCAGAGTGAACATCAACTCTGGAATATAGGTACATCCAGCTGATGAATCCCGAAAGGACGAAACGCGCACCCTATATTCTACTGCTAACCACTATTCATCTTTGTTCATAATCTTTTCATTATTTATATTATAAAAACTGAAACTGATATTTTTGAAAACTGAAACATAATCGAGAATATTACTGAATTTCGTAAAGGTAGCTTAAATTTTGTCATTTTGAATATTATAGAATCAATATCAGATGGGTTTTGTGGATACTATGGTAACTCCAACAGTTAAGATCATGAGTCAGTTGAAGCTAGGCCACCATGGAAAGCCTGGAATTACTGGGGATCAGCTTCGTCCCATCGTGGGACCCCCCAGCAATGCTCATCCGTGATCCCGCCTCACAGGACTCGAACCCAGGGCCTAATGGTTTCGCTCACGAGCACTCAACCACTAGACCACTGAGCTGGTATTCAACAGTGTTGATGTCTAACTTCAACTAATCCACGAAACTGAGCGACACATCCATCAATGTCTTCACTGAGTTACTATCTCATAACAGACCTGGTTGAACTCCACTGGTCACTACTTCTCACTAGAACTCCAGAATATACCTCTTGAGCCAGTCACTAAAGGAGCATATGTTGATTAATATCAGATGAGTTTTGTGCTAGCTCAGTGGTCTAGTGGTTAAGTGCTCGCGCGTGGAACCAGTAGGTTCTGGGTTCGAATATCGCAGGGAGTGGGGTCGTGGATGTGCACTGCTGAGGGGTCCCACAATAGGACGAAACGGCATATTATAGAATTAGTTTAAGGATTATGATTAGAAATTAGTCTTTTGGGTTAATTATGAACTAGTTGAAGATATTCATTTCAATGCCTATAGATTCTATTGGTTCTATGTTATATTATAATGTTTTGGGTAAGACTATAATTTATGGATGACCTTTGAGTGACGCCAGATTAACCTTCAGAGTGTTCACCTAATAACCAGGACCAAATGAAGCTTATAAATCTGTGTGAAGAAATAGAATTATGATTTACAGTAGATGGTTAAGGGTTAGGAATTAGATTTTGGGTTTTCATCACGAACTGATATCAGTTATAATACTAAAACTCTATTCAGTCAAATAGATGAGTGAAGATCGCGCCAAAATCCGAGATCTGTTATCTTATACATGATTGATTTGTTCATAAATTATAGTCACGCCATATTTCGTTCGCTAAACAAATAAACTATGATATGTAAGAAATAGTTCCACAGTAGTCATACTTTGATGGCCTTCATGAATATCTAGGCTATCTGTTTCTGTCATCCAGATATTTCAACAAGTTATCTGTTGTTTTTGTTTGTTTGAACACATCATTATATTTATTAACCATATAACCTATTCAAGTGAGTTTATAAGAAAAGTTTACGATCTTTCTTTGTACAACTTACAATAAAGTACAATCATCATCATCAGAGACATCGTGGTGTCTGACAGACAATATCGTATGGAAAACAATGTACATTATTCAAATGTTGATTCCTGAACTGCTAACATGTAACTGACGATCGCTTAATATTCATCGTCAGGATCGATCAAGAAATAAGAAACGGACTATTATTATATATATTCGTACTGTATGATTATTATATAACTTTTAATGGCACAGGATCTGACTCCAGTTTGACCGTTTCTGATTGCTATTGAAATGTACATATCGTCATTCTCGTATCTAGTTATCGAATTAGATAGCGTTAGTGAATACATATATTTGTACAATCGTTGATCGGAACAGACATTCAGAGAGATGTAGCGAAGGAATAGAAGAAGAGAGCTAGACGACACGCAGTGGAGAAGGCATGTGAGCCAACTCCCTTTAACTAACAAACTTACTTACTTACACCTGTTACTCCCAATGGAGCATAGGCCGCCGACCAGCATTCTCCAACCCACTCACTCTGTCCTCAATCTCCCTTTCTACTTATATCCAACTGTTATTCATTCTTCTCATATATGTCTCCATTTCTCGGTGCAATGTGTTCTTATTTAGTCTTCCTCTTTCCCTTTGGACTTGAGGATTTCATGTGAGGGATCGCCTTGTGACACAGTTGGGTGCTTTCCTCAATATGTGTCCTATCCACTTCCAATGCTTCTTCCTGATTTCTTCCTCCGCTTAAACCTGATTTGTTCTCTCCCACAGTAGGTTGTTGCTGATATTGTCTGGTCAATGTATCCTAATTATTTTGCTTAGATAGCTGTTCTTAAACACTTGTATATTCTGATTGATGGCTTTGTAGTTCTCCAGGTTTTCGGTCTCTTTAACTAAGGGTTAATCAATATCTATAGTCACACAGAAAAAATGGTCTGGTCTGCTTGTATATAAACTTCGTATGTCTAAAATATATGCTTCATACAGTAGAGATTGATATTTGTATTCTACGCTGAACGGGCAGGGTTAAGTGACAAACTGCTTGCTATATCGAGTACCAATAAGAATTCAGAGTTGACTCAAGGCTTCTAATGCTGGTTGATGCATCGTTGGTTTACCACTGGGATAATGTCATAGAAGTTGATATTCTGACTGGCGATTTTATTACATGATATTTGACAGGCCATGCGACATATGAGAGTTATTTAATCAAGTTGATCTGATTACAAATGCTTCATGTTACTCTAAAAAGCATCATTGACACCTGGTTCAAACATAAAAATAGGTCTCTTACAACTATTCCAATGATATCGTGCTGTTCGGTTCTTAATGCTTATTAGATTCAATTTAAGGTGGCTGTCAACTGGTTATCATGACATACAAGTAACACTATCTCAATTGTGATGAGTGATAATTCGTATGGAACCTTGTTTCAGAGGTTGTTTTCCTGGATGGCCGTTTCGTCCTATTACGGGACTTGTCAGCAGTGCGCATTCACGATCCCGTCTCGCGAGATTCGAATCCGGGACCTATCCGTCTCTCACGCGAACGCTTAGCCTGTATATCACTGAAATTGCCGGAATCCAACGGTGTTAATGTTTAACTCCAATTAATCCACAAAATTGAGCGACACATGCACCCTTGTCTTCAGTGGGTGACTATTTCACAACAAGCTTGGTTGAACTCCACTGGTCACTGATTATCACTGAAACTTCTGGAAATACCTCTTGAAGCCAGTCACTAGTTGGATCTAGTTTCAACTTTGTGCTTTAATTCGATTGATTATTCATTATTCTCGGTATTTCTATATTTTTTAAATTCAGATTATTCAATAATCTTTCTGTATCTCAGTGATAAACGTCTAAGGAGAAGCATCAATTCCGTAGGGTCTGCAAGTACATCATTCAGAGGAAAATAAAAGGGGGGGGGTAATTTAGCTTCAGATTTTTCATTCTGTTTGAGGATTATCATTCAATGTTGTTTCTTTTCATCCTCTTTTTGTGTATGTTTTACAATACTACTCATTATAATTGAACACCTTGTGTTGCTATTAGTACGTGAGGTTGTAGAGACTGTTAAATTTTATTAAAACCAGTGAGAACCTTAAAACTCTAGATCGCCATTTTTTCCTAGTACGGGACACTTCATCAGTGTATCAGCAACTCGATAGGTAATCGAACCAAAGACCTTCAGTTTTGTGCGCGAGTGCTTATCTCTGCATCACTGAAGCGACATACAATGATGCATAAGCCTAACTTCAATCAGTTCACAATAGTACAAGGGTAACTGCCTCACTAGCTTCTTAAATTCATTCCATTGAGTTTTGGCTCATTAGTTTAGAGGTTAAGTGGTCGTTCACGAAATCTAAGACCCTAGGTCGAATTTCTTGTGGAATCTTGAGTGCGTACTGGTGAGGAGGAATTCCAAGGTAGAACAGGATAACTGTACAGTGCTTCTAGGTTTCCAGTATTTGTCTAACATAGGTCATTTCATGATACAAATAACAATCAATAATTCTGACAAACCTCTCTGCTATATTTCTTATTATGTCATTAGCAAATGTATCGTTTAGTAGACAACAGATAAATCGTTTAATTACCGACCGAATCACAACACAACGGATAATTGTGGAACAATCGATTGAATGGAATTCATCACTCTACATCAACTTCATTGATTACGAGGAAGCATTTGATATAGTGGACAGGACAACACTGCGGAGGCTTCTTCGACACCACGGCGTGCTTGAGAAGATAGTCAATATCATACGGAATTTTTATGATGGATTAATCTACAAAATCGTGAATGAAGGACAGCTCATAGACTCGTTTGAATTAAGGTCCGGTGTCAGACAAGGTTGCCTACTCTCACCCTTTCTCTTTCACCTGTTGATCGACTGATTCATGAAGACGTCAACATCTGATGGGAAGCATGGGATACAGTGGACAGATAGGATGCAGCTGGACAATCTAGACCTCGTAGATGACCTGTCACTTTATCGCACACGCAACAACAAATGCAGAAGACGACTAGTGTAGCAGCAGCCTCAGCAGCAGTAGGTCTCAATATACACAAAGGGAAAGGCTAGGTTCTCCGACACAACACAGCATGAACCAATACAATCACAATTGACGGAGAAGATTTGGAAGAGGTAAAAGCCTTTACATATCTGGGCAGCATCATTGATGAACAGGGTGGATCTGATGCAGATGTGAAGGCACGGATCGGCAAAGCAAGAGCAGCATATTTACAACTGAGGAACATCTGGAACTCAAAGCAACTGTCAACCAACACCAAGGTCAGGATTTTCAATACAAATGTCAAGACAGTTCTACTGTATGGGGCAGGGTCCTGGAGAACTACGAAAGCCATCATCCAGAAAATACAGGTGTTTATTAACAGTTGTCTACACAAAATACTTTAGATCCGTTGGCCGGACACTATTAGCAACAACGCACTGTGGGAGAGAACAAACCAGATCCCAGCGGAGGAAGAAATCAGGAAGAATCGTTGGAAGTGGATAGGACACACATTGAGGAAAGCACCCAACTGCGTCACAAGGCCAGCCCTCGATTGGAATCCTCAAGGCTAAAGGAGAACACATTACACCGATAAATGGAGACAGACAGATAGACATGAGAAGAATGAACAACAATTGAATAGAACTAGGAAGGTAGTCCCAGGACAGAGCGAGTGGTTTGGAGAATGCTGATTGGCGGCCTCTGCTCCATTGTGGCTAACAGGCATAAGTGAGTAATTAAGTAAGGAAATCATTCAATTAGAATCACCTAATAGATTCAATACAGATAAGTTTCTGTTCAATTTTGATCCTTTATTTTGCCAATCGATTGTTCATTTGCATAATGTGCTAGTTACCGGTTGTTTTTTTAGTTGAATTTTTCAAAACTACTGATTAATGTTTCAGTAGTTTCCTTTTTCATCTCACTGTCTCCGTATTTTTCCCAAATAGAATATATTCATTCTACATATTGGTGGTTGTCCAAATTGGGTTGATCAAATTGCTTACACTAAATTATTATGTAATATCAATTCTAGAACTGGTCGACGTAATGCTGTTATATCTAAACAACAAACGATGAATAAACGTTCATATATCAATCGTGAAACTTTATCTGTTTCATCAATTTCATCAATATATCAAGAAAATTTAAAGAATTCCTTTAATCTTTTCTCTCGACAACTTGAAATTGGTAAAATACATAAAGTGGATCTAGGTAATGAACGTTTATTATGGGGAAAATTATGTTCATTTCAAGGGAAATTAATTTCATGTTCTATGTTTAATGAAGCATTATCGGATATTATATGGCAAGAAGTTTATTCACATGGTAATTAAATTGATTCATTTTAATTAGTTTCTACGCTATTTTGTATCATTATCTTAATATGTTTGTAAGCAATGATGAATATTGGCTAGCGGTTCGTCCTATTTGAGACTCGTCAGCTGGATGTACCTGCACCTCCGAGTTGATGTTCACTCTGGGACTCCAACCCAGTACCATTGGCTTCAAGCACCATCACGTTATCCACTCAGATACAAGCCAAACAACACAAAGTGTATCTTAATATAGTTATTATGTAATCTGTTTATTTGGATTAGATAGTATATGGTGGTTATAAACTGGAGTCTAGAAAGAATATGCATTAAGTCTTATTTGTGATTCGTCAGTTGGATGGGTCTGTATCTTAGATCTGATTCAATCAATCAATCAATCAATCAATCAATCAATCAATCAATCAATCAATCAATCAAACTATTACTAAATCCATAAAAGTATGCGATGTATGGGGAAAAAGTATGCAAATACTCTGATAATTACATGAACTCATACAGTAGGGGGGGTGATTTGTGGAGTTGTAGTATTTCGATAGCTTCTCGGTAGAACTCTAGGAATGCCATCTTGAAGCTTGTCATTAGTGGGTGGTCTAGAGGTTAAGTGTTCGTGTTATGAAATTCGTATTTCGTTTATTATTAGTATTATTATTGGATAATCGTTTAGAAAGAGGAAACTCAAAGGAAGGTTCTTCATGTTTCTTGACTACTTAGTTATATTCAGTCTTGAAGCTTAATGGAGAGTCAATCAGGGCCATTCATTTTTTTTCAATAATGATATTGTTTTTCATTTATTAAATTGGAGTCATTACATTTTACTCTGTGAAGCTATTGTCTTCAAGTCACAAGGGTAAACCTCAATAATCATACTGTCCCTTTTTGTAAAAATCTCATTTAATTCACAATGATACACGATGATTATAGTGTACCATTGATAATCCCGACCGTTGTTCCTACCCTGACGTGGTGGTCGGGCTTGCCTTTCGTGATGAAGCAACCGAGCTATACTGGCTGGAACAACCGTTCCTCTAGGTCCTACCATGTCAGACAGGTCGGTTGAAGAGCGGTAAGACTAAAAGCAACGAACCTGAGGTCCGAAGGCGAAGTCGTACTGCTGACTGTAGAGAGGTGTGACAGCAGTAAGGTGTTTCCTTCAGACAACCAGCATAACAGCGATCCTATCTCCCCACAAAAAGGGTGCGGTTAGATGAGTTCGACCCCAAAAACACACACCTCACCTTATCCCACAGATTCCCCTCTCCGGAGGTAAGGTTCCAATAAGTATGGAGCTAACACGAAAATTATTCACAGAAAGGTCGTGTGTGACTGACCTCAAGTAGTTGTTCGTTGGGCATTGCGGTCACGCTCTCAGGTCACTAAGACTACCCCTAACCCAATTTCCTTTTCAGCTACCTCTTGAAGAACCCTTCCATGGTATGGGCGACGGGAAGTGATAACTAACCTCTTACCTCTAAAAACACTCAAGACCACTATAAGACCATTGGTAATATCCATCTGAATTTTACGAATTACAACTTGAAACCAGTCACTTAAGATGGTAGTTGGAGGTCGTCAACAGGAAACCTTGGATCTAAGTTTGGTACTACAAAGCATTCGTCAGTAAAGTGTACCTGTAATATTTAGGGACCCGATGCTTTCTAAGAAGGACTTGTTGGCTACCTCAAAACACCATCTTATCTTAACATAGTGCACACAATATTGAAGTCACCTAAACTAGTGGCCACATTACAACTTGTTCGATACGATTCGATCTTTACGAAAGAAGGATCTGACATACATGATATTGATCACCACTTAGTGATCAATCAATCGTAACTACATCTCAGTTCTACAGGAGGTCAGTTGCAGCTAGGATATCTCAGTGTTAACCTCTCTGACTGTGAAACTGGGTGGTATGAGATAGAATCCGTCAGGGAGCATCAGTTCCCTCAAATTAAAGGTACACCTTGCTACCGAGTACCACGCAGTATGAAACCTAGGTTCAGGGTTTTCTGTCAACTACATTCAACAACCATCTTATCTCAACATAGTGCATTGAATGTCGAGTCACCTAGACTAGTGGCCACATTACAAATTGGTCTAAAGGATTCGATTTTCACGAAAGAAGGACCTGACATACATAACATTGATCACTATCCAGTGATCAATCAATTGTAAACTTGTTACTTTTTAGTATATGATAGTTTCTAACAAAGTATGTTCACTATCTACCATATTCAAGTTGTTCAATTTGTACTAGTTGTAAGTTCGAATCCAGGACATTGTTTCTTTAATGAATATCAACTTACAATAATCATAATAACTAAATTCATAAAGATATTCATACCGCTTTTATTCCCCTATCTAACTGTTTTCTTTCTACTAGGACCTTGTAATTTAACATATCTATTGGACAATGGATGTTATAATATAAACAATACTACTACCAATACTACTACTACTGCTACTAATACTACTTATACCAATATCAGTAGTATTAATACTGATGATTCTACTGGGAATATAAATCATTTCACAAAAATTATATTTCATTATCATGCTAAAGCAGTAAATTTATATAATTCTATATGTTTAGAATTAAATAGTGAAAATCTTGGTTTAATTAGTGCATTTGAATGTATCCATTTGTTACCATGTCAACAAGAAAATCAATATTTATTAATTAATGAAAATTTTTATCATAAATATTTATGGTTTAAACATATTTATTATAAATGTAAAAATTATGGTGGTTTACCAGCAACCATATTAGGACCTAAACGATTTGAAACATTTCGAATAACTGTAAGTTCGTTTTGTTTTTGTTTTGAACCGGGCGCCTTTCCCCCCTCAGGGTCATTCTACCCTGTTACAATATTCAATTTTTTTTAGAATTTTTCTGAAAATTCCTTGTCATAAAAGTTATCAGTGAAGTATAATGGATTAGGAAATTAAATCATTAACATGTGGGTGGATGACACGGGATTAATACCTTCAAGGAGCACCAGTTCCTTGAAGCCTACCATATACACCTTACTGACGAGTGCCAAATAGTATGAAGCCCACAAATGCCCTGGTACGGCCGAGAGTGGGGAGAGTCCGCTCTCTCTCGAAATTCTCTCACATGGCTACGCGTATATAGCCTCTGCCAAGGAAATCCTACTCACTGCCTTCTCGTGGTGTGAGTGTTGTTTACGAAATCGAGGGACGAAAAGCGAATGTCCGGCGCTCTAACCGGTTTGGTGGACATGAAGAGTCCACCTAGGGGAGTTGGAAAACCTTGATTCCAAACCAGTGGTGCACATGGACTCCAGTATCCCGAAGGAACAAATGGCGTATGAACCAATAGTTGATCACCGGCTACCATGGGAATGCATCTCCTGACGTTGCTCCACTGTCTTGTGGATCAAACCTTCAGGTCGAAGGCTCCAGGTGTGGCCCTCTAAGAAAACCACCTGCTTTGGTTCGGGCACCCGGGAAGTATCACAGCCCTCACACATATCAAATGAGATCTGTGTGGCACATATGTATTTGGTGCCTCTTTGTACCAATATCTATGTGTTAAAATAATTAAAAAAAACACCTTACTGACGAGTGCCAAATAGTATGAAACCCCGGTCTAGAGTTTCCTGTTGATTATCTTTAACTACTATCTTATCTCAACATAGTGGTTGCAATGTCAAGTTATCTAGACGAGTGGCCATCTACAACTTGGTTGATAGGATCCGATCTTCACGAAAGAATTACCTCACATACATGATATTGATCACTACCAGTGATCAATCAACATCCAAAGTTTAGTAATCTTAGCTATAGGCACTATACAGTTCTTTTAACAAGATTTTTAAATATCATGTGACTAAATCATCAATTAGAACACCGACTTATATGACCTTTTCTATGTGTTGAACTAATGACGCGTTAACCGGGATGATCAGTCTTGAGTTAACTTTGAATCCTTAGTGGTACTCGATATAGCAAGCAGCTTGTCAATTAGACTTGAATGTTCATTCCAGAATACGAATATCAGCCCCCAATATATGAATCATATATTTTAGACATACTTAGTTTATATATAAGCAGATTAGATCTCATTACACAATAAAATGAAATATAATCATTATACAAGATCAAGCCAAAAGTGGTTGTGTGTATAGGAGACTGTAGCTAACAGAATAAGAACAAAATTAAGAATATTAAATCGTATAACAGTAGTTGGTGGGTCAAATCGGAGCTTATAATGAAAGGAATATAATAATAGTCTATAAATAGTTCCCAGACTTACTTAATTACGCCTGTAACCCTCAATAGTGCATAGGCCGCCGACCAGCGTTCTACAACCCACTCACTCTGTCTTGGACCTTCCTTTCTAGTTCTATCCAACTGTTGTTCATTCTTCTCATGTCTGTATGTCTCCATTTCTCGGCGTAACCTGTTATTTCGTCTCCCTGTTATTATTCACTCTTGATAATTCCAAGTGAAGGTTTGTCTTGTAACGCAGTTGAATGCTTTCCTTAATTTGTGTCCTATCCAATTCCAGCACTTCTTCCTGATTTCTTCCTCCGCTTGAATCTGATATATTCTCTCCTGCAGTAGGTTATTGCTGATAGTGTCTGGTCAACGGGCCCGAAGTATTTTGTGTAGACAACTGTTAATAAATACTTGTATTTTCTGGATGATGGCTTTCATAATTCTCCAAGTTTCCGCCCTATACAGTACATAAAAAAGTTACCCATAACTTGAACTTTTCCGGATACAACAAGAAGGTGTAATTCGCATGAACCTATACATACATTAATGAATATTGTCATGAACCACTTATCTAGGAAATGGTTCACCATTTTATTCTTGTGTATGATTTATTACAGTATCATGACTGTAGCTAAATTGTTCAGATATTCATAGATAAATATATATTTGTTTCTCTAGTAATATTCACTATACTGTAGTGTCAGTTGCTATGTCAAGTCCACATAACTTATTCTAAGCTTTCTGACAGATTGATTTATTCATTTTTCTTGTGTCACTTTTGACCTTTTTAATTATTCATCTTACCTCACTTCGCCTTGATTCAATTCTACTATGAATATTGAGTAATGCTTGATTAAAGTGAGTTGGCTTACTTGGCTTCTCCATCGCGAGTTCTTTTGTTTTGCTTCGTTTACCGATCATCGATTCTACGAAATAGACGTATTCAGGAACTCATTCTTGTATTTGAGTTACTGATTCACCGTTATTCACTAATGCGATTCAAGTCGATAAAATATACGAAGATTAATCACATGTATATATCGATAACAATCATAATATGATTTAAATGGAGTCAGATATCTGGTTACTAAACTACTTGTCAACTAGTATCAAAGAGGGGTTTTGTAGATATTATAGTAATTTGAATAATTGAGATCATGAGTCCATTGAAGCTAGACCACTATAGAAAACCTGGAAGCATGCGAGACTGATAAGTCCTGGGTTCGAATCTCGTGAGGTGGAATCATGGATGCGTACTGTTGAAGAGTGCCACAATAGGACGAAACGCCCGTCCAATACTTATCAACTGTTAAAATCTTTCATTTCGAATAGTAAACTTCTAAACATTTCAAATGGTTCTCTATCTTGTTTTGACCTATATCACAGTAAACTAATCATTTATATGATTTCTCTCATCTTTTTGTGTTGTATATGGGCATTGAAGGATTCAATCAATCAAATTGGAGGTATGGGTGTACTGTTACCAATTCTTAAATTACTTCGATATTTTCCAACAAATGACTATGATAATTCATTGAAGAAATTGTATCCTATAGATGCTACATATTTATCAACAGATGATATAGGTTTAACTGATCTATTCATCTTTGCATATCAACGTTATATTCATGATATGAATATTGTGTTCAATGATGAGATGACAAAAACTGATAATCTACCTCATGATATGGTCTCCATGAAGACATCTTATAATGTTTCATTGAATGAGTCAAGTGAATTACGTCCACGTTCTACATCTCTTTCGTTAATTGGCACTGATGGTACTAGTAATAGTACACCAAATTCAAAAGATGAACGAAGTAGTTCTTTTTGTTCAATTATATCTAGTGAGTTTGAAGTTTTAGGAATGATATTTTTAGAGACTGTTTACATACTACTAAACCTTTTGATCAGTACACTTGGTATTGTTTTGCTTGTATCTTCCCATTGAGGTTTAAGACTGCAATTGACTAAGTGAATTTCAATTCACCTCATTGCACAAGCAAGTGGCTAACAACACTCAGTAGCTGAGTGGATAACGAGGTGGCGTTTGAAGCGAATGGTACTGGGTTTGAGTCCCAGAGTGAACATCAACTCTGAGATGCAGGTACATCCAGCTGACGGGTCCGAAATAGGACAAAGTGTCTCGCGTCCTGGATTTCACTGGTAGCTACTATCCATCTTTGCTTATAAAAGCTTTGGATCATTAGTTAGATATTTTCATGAAAATATAATTTTACGTATAACTTTTAATTAATGTTTGAATGTAGATGCATCTCGGTGATTAGTTACCTAATTTAATAGTTGAATACATGAGTCAATTGAAGTTAGACCACCATAGAAACACCTGAAACTACTGGATGACTGTTTCGTCCTAGTATGGGACTGACTCCTCAGAAGTTATCTTTTAAGTTTCGCCTTTTTATGCTAATAGGATAACTTGTATCAAGATAATTAGAACTGATCAATTCAAATAAACGTTTGACATCCACTCAGTTAGTACGACAGTTAGAATTCAGCTAATGAATAATCTTGGAACATTATCCTGATGAAATCTAAAGGTTGAATGTCTTATTATGATAACGTTATGGACCATTCCAAGTGATTAAATGAAAAATAAATTGTGGTAGTTATATAACGCAATTATTTATTATTTAAACATATGAACATTGGTACAAGGAGGCACCAAATACATATGCACCGCACAATAACAATGAAGCTAGTGGTAGTTATCATTTCTTCATGTAAGGGCCAGAATGCCTCCCGGGCGCCAAAACCAAAACAGGTGGATTTCTTAAAGGGTCACTCTCCGAGCATCTGACCGAGAAATAAAATCCACGAGGCAATGGAGAGACGTTAGGAGATACAGTTCTATGGTAGCCGGTGACTATCCATAGGTTCATAATTCATTTCTTACCTCAGGAACTTGTAGCCCACGCTCACCATTGATTTGAAATCAGGGTTTTCGAACTTCATTAAGTTGATTCTCCATATCAACCAACCCAGTAAAAGCTCCGAAAATTCGCTTTTCATCCTCTCAAATTCGCAAATATCACCGCTGCCTCGGGAAAGCGATGAGCTGAACTTTCTTGCCAGTGGCTGTATACACGTGGCCACGTGAGAGCATTTGGAGAGGAAGAGCTAACTCTCCCTACTCTCGACTTTACCAGGGCAATTGGGGGCAAAATATTGTTGAGAAAAGGATGAAAAATATCATTTTCGGGTTCTTAATAACATTTGAATTAATTAAACACTAGACATTTTTAATGGATACATAACTAAAAGCCTACGAATCAGTCATTGCAAATTAACACTTATATGTACAACAACCTAAAATAATTGCTATAATATCCACAAAACCCTTCTGATATGAATCAGCATATGCTCACTAGTGACTGTTTTAAAGAGGTATTTCCTGGAGCTCTAGTGATAATCAGTGGAGTTCAACCGGGTCAGTTGTGAGATAGTAACTCACTGAAGACAATGATGGATGGTGGCTCAATTTCATGAATTAGTTAAAGTCAGACATTAATACCATTGGATGCCGAGAATTTCAGTGGTCTAGTGGTTAAGCGCTCACATGTGAGACCGATAGGTCTTGGGTTCGAATCTCGCGAGACGAGATCGTGGATGCTCACTGCTGAGGAGTCTCACAATTGGACGAAACGGCCGTTCAGTGCTTCCAGGTTTTCAATGGTAGTCTAACATCATTCGGTTCAAGATCTCAATCGCTAACTTAATAATCTCCACAACCTTACACAAACATTTGACTCAATTATAAACATGAATCGGATACATATCCATCTATATATACAATGCATTGTATTTTCTCTTTTTTTTCTTATAGATAGTACATTGAGTAATAGTAGTGTGGCTAATCTACTCTTAATTCTTCGTAATTTAATATTGTCAAAACCGGAAAATCGTGTACAAGTTTTATCTCCTGATTTTATATTACCCCTTTTATACCTTTTAAAAAAGGTGGGCAAATTATCTTACTGGTTTGTATCAAATGAAGATGTTTTATTATACTTAAGTGTTGTTTATTATTTTCTTTATTAATATTTATAAAGTATAGGAATAGTTCCTTGATGTAATCTGGTTGAAGGATCAATAAAGAACTGATTATGAATACAATTATCTTAAGCGATTTTAGAGGTAAGAGGTTAGTTATCACTTCCCGTTCGCCCATACCATGGAAGGGTTCTTCAAGAGGTAGCTGAAAAGGAAATTGGGTTAGGGGTAGTCTTAGTGACTTGAGAGCTTGACCGCAATGCCCAACGAACAACTACTTGAGGTCGGTCACACACGACCTTTCTGTGAATAATTTTCATGTTAGCTCAGTACTTATTGGAACCTTACCTCCGGAGAGGGGAATCTGTGGGATAAGGTGAGGTGTGTGTTTTTGGGGTCGAACTCATCTAACCTCACCCTTCCTTGTGGGAATGCAGCATCGCTGTTATGCTGGTTGTCTGAAGGAAACACCTTATTTCTGTCACACCTCTTAACAGTGGGCAGTACGACTTCACCTTACACCTTGCAGTCTCATGTTAGCCGGTGACCAACAATAGGTCCATACTCCATCTCTTCCCCCAAGACCCTGGAGCCCATGTGCATCACTGCATGCTATCACTGTTATCGGTCCGTGCAGACAACTGTGAACATAAATTCCATTAAAGGAACAACAAGATTTCTGATTGGGAAAATAGCGAAAATGCCGTAGAATTTCTTGAAGCGTGACATTCGAATCAATTGTCACTCAACAGCCACTTGGACATAGACTTCATCAATGAACCCATATGGAAGAGGTCGATCAATCACAAGACCAGAGATCAACTGGCAAGGAGAGTCAAAGGCGAGACTATAATTTATGGACGACCATTGAACAAATCTTAAGTGACCCTGATAAATATTAACCAATCATAAGACAGTATAGAGTAAAAATATACTATACTAAACCAAAGAATTAAAGTGGATACACTTCTTTTACATGGTTCAAAAACTTGTCAAAGTCAGGAAAAGGCTCTACAGTCCTGGAATCGTAATGCCTACGGTAGAAGGACTCATCCATATGGTTCCATAATAGTCGGCTTCTAGATCCATGATAAGGTCACAAAAACTCTTTCAGTCTCGATCACATAGCTTAGATATTGTTTGTGTGGGCTCCGGTTGTTGGGTCCGCAAAACGCCTTATGTGAACCAATACACGATGCACACAATCAAGTCTATGTAGGAGTTGTACGTTCTTCAATCATCCGAATATTGTAGTACCCGGTTGCAGCCAGTGATGGTGGTGCTTTTATTATCCAGTTCGCAATCTACCTTAGTCTCAATCTGGATCGAGTGAAAAAACCCTATTCTTGCGGACTTCTTCCTGTAACACATATTACATAGAAAGACAACATCACAAATCATGTGATTATCACAATCACAAATAAAGGAATTTCTTAGTAATCCCATTTATTGTAGTCACTCAGTTACCTCGTTTACTCTACAATTCTCTGTGAACCGATCATACGTAAACGTCAGGTACTGAAATCGGCTCTGTGACTTTGAAATCCCTCAAACGCTTATGATTGGCCTATTCGTAGATTATAATCTTGCCATTTGTAAAATAACCGGAAAGTTCACTTCTACGTGATGTAGGCACTAAATAACAATGACAATACTACAAGTATGCCATCTAACTTAGAGGACACCACAGTCAATGCTAACAACCGAAGTTGCAAATCTTCTCCATTACAATATTTAATTATTTGAATACATTAATATTGGTACAAAGGGACACCGAATACATATGCACCACACACAAGTCACTTGATTTGTGTATGGGCTGTGATACTGCCTGGATGCCCAAACCAAAGCAGGGCACATTATACATATAATCTATCTTAAACTAAGTACTGATTTTATTAATTTACTGAAAACATTTTTTTGATTGAGATCATGAATTGATTGATGTTAAATCACCATTAAAAACCTGGAAGCACTGGACGGTCATTTCGTCCTATTGTTGAGCTCCTCAGCAATGCACATCCACGATCTCGCCCCACGAGTTTCGAACCCAAGACCGATGGGTCTCGTGTGCAAACGCTTAATGGTGGTCTAACATCAATCAATTCATGATCTTAATCAAAAACCTAACAATCTTCAAAACCGTATACTGATAATGTTTTTTTGCCTTTTTTCTTTCTATTTAACAGCTTCATCCATTACGTTTCGATTCATTTGTAGTATCTACAATTCATGATCTCTTCCGTGTTCTTATCTATTTACCTAGTAAAAGACAATCTTTATTCAATATGAATACAATACAAAATTGGTTTGATAATCAAACTAATCAAATATTATCTGGAAATGTTTTATATCTTGCTTGTCAATTATTATTAGACTGGGATTTATGGTCAAAACCTAATTCCATAGCAATTATGTTACATTTACAGAAATTAAATCAATTGGTTATTGATTATAATAGTTTATTAAAGGAACTATCAGTTGATTCATTATTAGGATCACTTGTACAGTATCATAAGTAAATCATATTTTTAATGATAATAAGTTTGTATATATTGGATGTTAAGAGATTCCTTAGTAACTAAACGATTCTTTAGTTTGTCAATATCGGGTTGTGGAGATTGGTACGTTTTCGATCGAGATCATGAATCGATTGATGTTAGACCATCATTGAAAACCTAGACGACCGTTTCACCCTATTGTAAGACTCACCAACAATGAGCATCCACGATCCCGCTCGTAGGATCAGCGATCAGGGAAGCTAACCCATGTCGGGTAGAGACAGGTATCTACCTCAGTACAATGGAAGATGGTCGCGCAATTGAGGTTAGACATTAAAAACGTTGGATACCGACTGAGTGGTCTAGTAGGTCAAGTGTTCGCGCAGGCTGAAGGCCCTGAGTTCAAATTCTGCGAGCGTGATCGTGGATATGCACTCTTGAGGAGTCCCACAATAGGACAAAACGTCCGTCCGATGCTTCGAGATATCCAATGGTGGTCTAACATCAGTCGGTTCATGATCTCTTTGGTTTGTTTTGGACTACTGTCATAGTCGACTTTATGATGTATGGGACAGTGCAACTAGCGTAATAATCTTAATCGATATGTGGTGATATACAATTTAATCTTATTATGTAGTTTTTAATTGTACCTAAATTAATGGTTGCTCTGATTGTCAAAAGGGGGCATCAGATTCGTGACTTCCAAAGGAACTCAGCTTTCACCATAAGGTGTCACAACTCTTCTAACTCCAATTGCAGAGTTTCAGTGGTTTGAATTATTTTTTCTGGTTAGTATTGCTTTAGCGACTTAGCTTTCTACGGGATGTGGTCGCTAACTTTATGCCTAACTCTCCTCCTTTATCCGGAATTGGTACCGGCAGTAGCTACAGAGGGGATCCTGGCGCAGTTCTTAATAGGACGATGATATTTATTTCAAATCTGCCTCATTCCTTCAGTCATTTTAGATTTCAAATATGTACAAAACTTTAAGCTGGTTCATATGGAGTTCATAAAAATGCTTATCATTAAAACTTTACCCAGTAATTGTAATGGTAGTATAATTATATCAACGAATAGTGTATTCATCTCAAGACATATCAAGAATGCATGTAATTTTGAGTAATTTCAAAACTGATCGAATATTTTGTAGCGTGTTTTTTATGATGTGTCGTTCAGTTTTCAAAAGAATTTTGTTTTGTATGTACCATGAATTCATTAATCATTTACATCAACTGATCAATGATCGATGTTTGCTTGCCAGTTATTGCTGTTCAAATCCTGTCGATGGTGGTTGTTGATTACCTATAACCACTATCTTATCTCAACATAATACACGAAATGTCGAGTCATCTAGACTTAGTGGCCACATTGCAACTTAGTCTATAGGATTCGATCTGCACTAAGAACGACCTGACATACATGACACTAATCATCACTCAGCGATTAATCAATTGTCAATACCTGTCGATTGTAATGTGGAAATTAGTCTAGATGACTTAACAAAATACACACTATGGTTAGATGTTAAACAAGATGAGGTGGTTAGCTTTAAACTCTGCTTGATCTAGGTTTCATTCATGATAGCTAGAACTTATGATTGCAGAGTACCTCGAATCTTTTGGGTACTGATACAGTACGATTCAGCTTCATAGATTACAATGTTACAATTGAGAGATTCGGTTAGCGACCGGGCTAATTCAAGTATACTAAAAACTCATATAAATGTTTTAATAAGTTGTAATGTGATCAAATTTCAATTGTTATGAATGCACATTAAAGATGAATTCTTAGCTGAAAATCTAAAGTTATTGAGTGTTCTCTCTGCTACAATAATTTCCCAATTGACCTCTGTTTATCATAAAATCTGAGTTTTTATAGGACTGAGTGTATTACAGACGAAAGTCTGTAATAGTAGCAGTAATAGTAGTAGTATAAATAATATAAAAGAAAGATTGCGTATAAGGATATAGTAGAGGAAGAAAGAATTAGTTCGTAGAAAGAAAGATATGAAGCGATTTTAATCTCTAAGGGGAGACAAAGAGTGTATACACATATGCTATTGTGATCGATTCTGAGCCATGTCACCCAGAGTCTCCAACCATTGGTTACGACAATCACACAGATCCCAACCAAGCAGTCTTCATCTACCAACATGGCTAAGACTAAGAGTTAGTAACCTTAATGACTGATGCCACGTTTTGACTTGACCGTCCCTAACTTTCATCCAACCGTCTCCAACACTACTCAGCAATGAGCGCCGTGGTAATCGGTGTTCAGGCATACACAACACGTGATAAAGATTCACAACCTCACCAACTGACTAACCATCGTCCCCTAATACCTTAGCATCTAACCACACTATTACTTACCTGATGATCACAGCAGATGAGAGCGATATATCTAAGATATCTATGATTAAATACTAGTAACTTACGAATATCTTCTACTCTTAATAGCCGCATTTCACATCCATAAAATAGAACAGAACGAACTTGATAAGTGTTGCTAATTTGAACAATTTATTCGGTTCCTAAGCTATTCTGGTAACCCGCAAGCTAGAACTACACAGTGACCTGAACTCGAGATAAAAGGCGCAAAATGAGCGAAAAACACTTTACTCCAAAAGTTCATTTTTGTACAGAAAACAAGGGTATTAATAGATGGTAACATTTGTTAAATCAACATCATATTTTGGCCAATCCGCTAAAAGACATATTATGCTACTGATCAATAGTATCACGCCACGTTGACATTCTAGAAAGCTCCATCATGCTCTGATTGGCTAGGATTCTTCGACTCCTTTAGGGCCTCTGGAGGCTCCGTTGCAGTTCTTGGAAAGCCGACTCAACAGAACTGCTGCACAGTATACTCATCTCTTAACTGATAGACAGATATCTCGCCTTCATAGGTGGTAACATAAGTTGACAAGATCCAAACGAGATTTCTTTCGTCTTTTTTCTTCTTTTTCTTCATTATTAATCTATTATTATTATTATTTTCGTTCTTTTCTAGTCATTTAGATTCATGGTTAAATGATCTGCCCACAACATATACTACTGATATCTTATTCAAACTACCTATATTAACTACTAATATAAGAAATAATAATGATAAATATGAATTATTAATATCAAATCAAATAAGAATAGAAATGTGTAAATTAATTGAAGTGAAACTGTTGCCAAGGGCACAAAGTAATGATTTAATGAAATTAATTAATTTTATTATCACTTGTCCAATTATGATATTGGTAAGTTGGATTAATCAGTAATAATAGTAATAATAATAATATTAATATGGTTGAGATCATGAGTCATCTGAAGCTAGATCACCATGAAAACCTGTAAGTACTGGATGACTGTTTCGTCCTATTGTTGGACTCCTCAGATGTGTGCATCCATGAGCCCGCCTTGCGAGATTCGAACCCAAGACCTATCAGTCTAGCGGGTGAACGCTCGTGGGATTCGAACCCAGGGTCTTCAGTCTCGCGCGTGGATTGGTTGAGATTAGAAATTATTATTATTATTATCCATTCGTACGTTTTATTTTGATTAATAAACATCTACTTCAAATTGATATCTTTATGAAACATTTTTCATCTATTAAATCTTGATGAAGCCTTATTTGGTGAAGCCATTTAGCTTTTCTGTGATTAGATTTCGTGTTTTTAAGTCTCAAAAACTCCACTCGTGAAGTTGATTGAGTAGGGGAATCTTTACCCTTAGGTTTTAGCAAGAGGACATCACACAAGAGGGAAATTATAGTCTTCATGCATACCAATGACACATAAGTTTTAACCCAGCTCCCCTTGGCTTACACATAGATATACTCACCCGAGGTAAGTATAGTCTACATGCACATCAGTAACATACACGTTTTTCACGCATGCATTCCATAGCATACTTATAGGTATATTCTCCCACCTGGGAGGATAGATGATCACCACTCTCTTTGAACGTATTCGCTACAGCTGATTGTCTCTTAAGTATTATATACATACCACCGGTACTGGCACTTTAATCTATGCACTTCATAACATATACATTAGCGTAAATGATCTCAAGAAGGATTGATGGTCACCTCATCCCCTAGTATTTGCTACTGTATCTTCAACATTTTGATCTAGGTCCTGTTGCGAGCCTGCACTCGTACTCTTTCCATATACCTATATACACCAACTATACAAAGCGACACTCACACAATTCATATATAAAAATATACACATCGAGTAGCTCGCAAGATTTATTGAACCCTGAGTTGTCATGAGGAAGTTTAGTGACTGATTTTGTTACCATCTATATCTGTATCAAGTTGTTCCTTTTTTACTCGGGCGAGGGGGGTCTTTACAGATGGATTAGGATTTTTTGGGGGATCAAACCTTTAATATTTATTTCTTAATTTTAGGTAAAGGATGTAATAACTATGTTACATAATTGTTTTGATCGAACTCATACCAATGATCCATTTACATTATTCATTTATGAATCAGATTTAATTGTAAAATTGTATAGTTTATTACTTAGATCAAATTATCAAGTGGATATTGAAACTAAGAAATTAGTATTAAAGGTAAGTGATATACATAGAAAGTTATTGTGATTTTGATATTCCTTATGAAGCTATGAGAAGTATTCATTAGTAATTAGTTGTTATTCTATCATTAAGTGATTAAGAGTTGTGAAAGTATCAGTCTGATGTTATGATGGTTGAGTGACACTATCGTGATGCCCTGGTACGGTCAAGAGCGAGACAAGTCAGTTCTCTCTCTCTTCCGCGCGCGCAAAACACTCTCATATGACCATGGGTCTATAGCTACTGTCATGGAAGTCCTACTCACTGACTTCTCGCGGCGGGAGTGTTGTTTACAAAACTGAGAGGATGGAAAGCGAATGCTCCTCACTTTAACTGGGTTGGTGGACACGGAGGATCCTTTTGGGGAAGTTGGAAAACCATGATTCCGAATAAATGGTGCTAATTGGCTCCAGGATCCTAAGGGAACAAACGGAGTATGAATCTGATGTGTGGGCGAAGATGATAATGATTGGTTGTTTGCTTAGTTAGACTTGTATATAGTCTGACAGGCGTTAGATGAGTTATATATTTTCTTATCTTTATTATTATTGATTGTTGTTGAATTGTTGTCGGTTTTTGGTGTGTAAATGTATTTATGCTCTAGTCAGGCTAATCACATGTTCTTGATCTGACTTGTGTTAAAATCCTGTAGAATAGACACTGGGATTGGATCTAGTGTAGATATTCGTCTAAGGTAAATTAACGTCCATTATTGAGCATTATATCAAGATTTAATGTTAGTCGCCGACTACCATAGGACTGCATATCCTAACATTACTCCACTTCCTTGTAGATTAGACTACTTGGTTAGAGACTCGAAGAGTAGCCCTCTAAGAAAAAAATCTGCTTCGGTTTGGGGGGGGCTCTCGAGCAGTATTCCAGCACATTGCACTGAAAGTATCAATCAGAAAATAATAGTTAGAATAGCTGTTTCGTTTAAAACTCAAGTTTATTTATCAGGTATGTGAAAAGAGCATGTTCGTCTTAGAACTTGGGAGATATATATATATATATATATACACTAATGAAGGGATTGAACTAACGTGACGATTGAGAATCTGGTTCAAAAAGACAAAGCTCAGTCAGTCAGCTACAGCATAGGACTAGGCGCATATATGCATCAGTCCAAATGACCATACCTCATTATCACAACAAGATGAACACCAAATTCATAGAAGTGGTCACTTCAATGGTAGCAATGCATAAAAAAAAGATTACATATAAAGACAGAGTATAGGAAGAAATAATCAGTTTGTAGGAAGAAAGATATAAAGCGATTTCAATCTCATAGTTTAAGAGAGGACAGAGAGTGTATACACCAACGCTATTGTAATCGATTCTGATCCATGTCACTCAGAGATCAAGGAGCACGTACCAACTGAATATATATTCATTCCATTATGAATATTCTTGAATTATATCACCAACATTGACTAAATAGAAGACAATCGTGTACGGTGACGCAGCTTCGTGGCTTGGTTGGAGTTAGACATCAACACCGTCGGATGACGGCCGGCTCAGTGGTCTAGTTGGTTAAGCGCCTGGCGCGGAACTGATAGGTCCTGGGTTCGAACCTCGTGTGGTAAGGGATCGTGGATGCGCGCTGCTGAGGAGTCCCATGTCAGGACGAAACTGCCGTCCAGTGCTTCCATGTTTTCTATGGTGGTCTAGTTTTAATCGACTCATTATTTCAACCAGTGAAGTTTCTAGAATCTCCACAAAACAGTTCTAATCACTATATAATTTCTATTATCTTTATTTATTCATCTTCATTTCTAGTTTATTCATAAATTAGCTTTATCTGATCGAGTCACGGATAAATACAAGTCACAATTATTTCTTAAAGATTGGAATGGTTTCAGTTCATTATTGAATGATAATAATAATTCAAATATATTAATATTATTACAAGATTATGAAATTGTTAAAATATTCTTGGATCTAATGAAACGTGGTATGTATCTTCTTTATTCATTGTTTTGTTATCTTTGTTGAGAATCGAGCCAAACTAGTGTAGTACTGATCAAGGTACCTAAGATTTACGGAGCAGGTTTCAAACTCATAACTGAATAAGTAAAGATAGATGGTGGTTAGCAGCAGTGGAATCCAGGACGTGAGCTTCGTCCTATTTTTTGGGACTCGTCAACTGGATGTACCTGCATTTCAGAGTTGATGTTTACTTTGGGACTCGAATCTGGTACCGTTCATATTAAACGTCATCGTGTTATTCACTTGGGTACTGAGTCCTGATACTCATCTGGTTGTGCAATGAAGTGAAATTTAAATTCACTTGGTGTTGTTTTACTTGTATCTTCCCATTTTTGTGTACGACTGTAATTGATCAGTCTGTTGTTAGCATATGTACATCTTGTACGGACTGCTTCAATATTGCCACGAGCTTTATAAGTAAAGATGGATGGTGTTTGAAGTGAACAGGGTACTGAGTTCGAGTCCCGGAGTGGACCTCAACTCTGAGATGAAGGTACATCTAGTTGACGACTCCCAAAACAGAATGAAACGCACGTCCTTGATTCCACTTCTAGCCACCATCCATTATTGTTTATTCAGTTATAAGTTTGAAACCCGTTTTGTGAATCTTAATTTTGGTTTCATGATGTTTACGCAATAAATAAGAATTATATTGGGATAAAAACAACTACTTGATTTTATTTAATTAATACACGAATGTTTCTGGTGATTTATAAAACCGTCGTGTTATTAAGTCTTGAATATTGAAAAAAGTGCGAGACTGAAGTTCCTCGGTTCCATTCCCCTTTACGTGATTGTGAATGCGCCCTGTTGAGAGGTCTCATACTAGGACGAAACAGCCTTACAGTGATCTAAAGTTTTCAATGATGATCTGACTTGTATCAATTCGTGATTTCAAAGGAATAAAAGCTGTTGATGTAGCTTAAATTCCTTGTTCTTTAACATAATCTATGAAATCAGCTCATTTGAGCCATTGGTTTGTATGGTTTTTCCGAACAACTCAGATTGTATTGACTAAAAAGATTGTTTGATAAAATTATAATCTCTTATCCAGGTTGGTTGGATTGTCATATACTATGCTTAAGGGAGATTTTGTTCTGTTGTTAGGACAGACTTGTATGGATAGAAATAACAATTGTGGTTGAATCATTTAATTTGAATTATTTTAAGTATATACTTCAGCATCCTACGACCTAGAACTTACTTACATAAGCATGTTAATCCTCATGAAAGAAGATATCCCGCCCACCAGCATTCTTCATCCAACTCTGTCATAGGAAATCCTTTCCAGTTGTCTCTAGTTGCTATTCACCCTTTTCATCTCTACTTTGAACCCTCAACATATTGTGTTCCTCTATCTTCCTCCTTTTCGTATCCCTTCAAGATTCCAAGTTAGCGCTTTCCTCATGATGCAGTTTGGTAATTTCCGTAATGTATGTTCTTTCTATTTTCATCATCTTTTCCTAATTTCCTCTTCATCTGGAAGCTGGTTTGTTCTCTCACACAGTAGGCCGTTGCTGATGGTATCCAGTCAACGGACATTCAGTTTCATGTGTAGACAATTGTTTATAAATACTTGTACCTTTTTGATGGTGGTTGTGGTAGTCATATACTTTTCAGCTCCGTACAGTAGAATTATGTTTTCGTTTGTATTGAAAATTGCGACTTTGATATTAGTTGACAGTTGTTTTGAGTTCCAGATGTTTTTAAACCATAGGAATACTGTCCTTACTTCGCCAATCCTCACATTTACGTATGCATCAAATCCTCCTTGTTCATTTTTGGTGGAGTTTTGTTCTCTGAGCTGGATGGTTTGGTCGTGGGGATTTCATCATTCTTCATTTCTATCTGAAGTTTGTGCTGATGATGTCGTTCGGAAGAACGATGAAAGCTCCACGACCAAACCATCCAGCTCAGAGAAGAAAACTCCACCAAAATCATCCACCTGAGCTACAAATCTCCACCATCCCTCCTTGTTCATCGATGATGTTGTAGGGACATGTTGAACTTTCCATCTCTTCTAGAGTTTCTCTATCAAGTGTGATTGGGCTAATGTTTTCTGTGTTGTATTTGAGGATCTTGTACTTTTTCTTGTGTGTTTTGGGGCCTACTGTTGCAGAGGCTGCTGCTACACTGACTTTCTTCATCTGAATTTGTTGGTACAACCAAGAAAGAGCAGTATATTAATTATGTAAGGAAAGTTGTTCGTCCTTTGTATCATACCAACAGGAAGGTCGTTATCTATGCATGTTAAGTACTTACAACTACGAAAACAAGAACCATTAGAGTGATAAAACTTGAAATACGACGTTGAAATGAAGAGAATGAGTTTATAGTTTTGTTCACAAATAACATGTTATGGAACCGGTTGCATTAAGTAAAGTTGAACTCATAGATAAATATGTTTAGTGTGTATTTGGATAAGGGGTAATTCAAGATGTGTTCAGGAGAAATGGAAGCTTTTATGCCAGGGTAATCTGAGTCTCTCCGGGGGCTACTGTCGGTCCCAAGACCGGGTAAAGAAGGAGCGTTGGGCATGGGGTTAGCGACCCTGTCCCGTAGAGAACTAACTCGCTAAAGAAAAATGCTAAACCGCCAATCTGAGATAATTTCCAATTCATTGTAAAAGGATTAGTAACGTTCATTATGAAAAATAAGAATATCAGTGACTAGAAAATAATGTAGTGAAACAGTCAGACAATCGCCAAACGATAAGTCTATGTGATTGGTTAAGGTGTGACTTCATTTTCTTAAGAATGAGAGATATCCTGTTGATGGAAAATCATGGCTTAAATTTCTTAGTGTACAGTTATTACTCGATTCCTCTCAGCTGTTTAGAGTGTGGGGAAGGTACCCATCCAAGACAGTATTAAATAGTCGCATAATATCATGGGTTGGTTGAAGTTAAACATATACACCACTGGATCTCGAGTCAGTAGTGTGTAATAGAAGGTTCTGAGTTTGATTTGCAATAGCAGAGTCGTGAGTGTACAGTACTGGAACAAACCATTCGTTCAGTACTCTTAAGTTTCCAATGATTGTCCAACCACAATTATTTTATGATAAAAATCTATCTTCTCACTATCAGTCTTTTCATTCAAATAGCTGGTTAAGTTTGGAGCATAGGAAGTTTCTTTATCATTATCAGAATGGGATACCTTCCAAAAAACAACAGGAAAGTACTTCCGAAGTAATAAATTTATGTAAATTCGTCCCAACTGAATCAGGAATTGGGTTTACATAGTATCAAATGCATAATTTTCCAATTCAGCTTCAAGTACATATTAACGAAGCATACAATAGGAATCAAGCTTGAATATAACATTCTTCAAATATCCTCTGCTTTTTCTATGCTTATTCATGTGATGTTAGTTTATAATATCACTTTTCAACCAGTTAATGATAAATCATTATCTTTTTATCTAAATAGGACTGTTTCAACTTTTATAGGCTATTCATTAGTGATTCTAAATCCTCTTCTGTAATCTTCTAAAAATTGAAGATCCATTATCATTGTACACACCACTCGTCGCTACTACTAATTGAATGGTCTACTGAAGTCGGATTAGTGTCGTTGTAGTGGCCTTGTCGCTCTACTGATTCTGAGATGACCTAATTTGATTAGTTAGAGGTAGTAAAAGTCGTAACAAGGTTTCTGTAGGTGAACCTGTGGAAGGATCATTTTCATAACGCAAAAATATACATTGAAGCATGCACCTAGCTTCGTACTGGACTGCATGTACCCTGGCTTAGTGGTATTTATCCTAGGCTTCAGCATTGAAGCATCCATTGTACTCTGGAAATTGTGAAACTTCTGTGTAATGTCATTTGATGAAATTAAGAGCTAATGTAGATCATATTCCTCTAAAACATGTCATGAAAAAATATACACACTTTAAAAACAAACAAACAGAATTCTTAAGTGATTTGTGCAGACTGCTATGTGGTCTCATACTAGAACGAAACTGTCGTCAGTACTTCTTGAATTTCAATGATTCTCTAACATTGATTAATTCATAATCTTCATCAAAATAGTTATCAAATTCACTTGGTATTGTTTACTTGAATCTTCCTATTGATATTTAAGACTGCAATTGATCAGTCTCTTAGTGGTATATGTGCATCCTGTGCGTATCACCTTAATTTTCAAGCTTTATAAACAAAGATGGATAGTGACTAGCAGTGATTTCTAGGATACGAAACTTCATCATTTGAGATGGCTGGGACACGTGTTACGTATACCTAACCACCGACTGCCTCGACATGCGATGCTCAATGGTATAGGAGTAGGTTGGAAGAAAGTTAGGGGCCGCCATATAAAAACATGGCACAAGTCCTTGACGTCACTGACAAATGGACTGAGTCATGTTGGTAGGTGTAAACTACCTGGTTGGGATCCGCGAGATGATAGCAACCGATGGTTAGAGACTTTGAATGACATGGCTCAAAATTGTTTGCAATAGCATAGGTTCCCTAACCTTTTGTGTCCTTCCAAATTCTAATCTTCTGAATTCCTCATATTCCTTTCTTTTTCTCTTTCCAAATTTATTTCACTGGATTATACTCTTTAAATAACATCTTTAAACCCTAATGTTTTTGATTACTGTTTATATTCCTACCGCCTCTATCAGTACGGGATTTAAATCGACAATTATATCTCTGTGCTAATGTGATGTGGCAACTCGAACTGATGTACCTACGTACGTATGAATTTCTACGTTGTTACTGACTGATTGATTTATTTGGAACTCATCAGTTGGATGTACATGGATCTCAGAGTTGATGTTCACAAGTGAGTGACTATCAGGACTCAGTAGCTAAGTGGATAACATTATAGCGTGTTCGAAGCAAACGGTACTGAGTTCGAGTCTCAGAGTGAACATCAACAAGTCTAAGATACAGGTACATCAAGCTTGAGGATGAGTCCGAAATAGGACGAAGTGACGCACATCCTAGATTTCACTACTCACTCAAAATAATTAATTCTTAATCATTTACTAAGTTTTATTTCTAAATACTTTTAGGTCCTTCATATGATATTTTGGGATTGTTACGTTTAATGGATCTATTATATCAAAGTCCATTGAAATTTCGTATTTTAGCAGTAAATACCTTTATGGATATATTTAATAAATCATCAAGATATGTTATTGAAATTTTAAATCAATTCCCAGTATTCTTGGATTCATTTTTCCGTTTATTGATTAAATGTCCTAAAGAGTAAGTGTTTATAGCATGTGTAATGTCTTTATGACTTGTTCACTTATCAAGTGTTATGTTCACCAATTCTGAACATTGACTTATTGAGCAGGCCAATGATGTATAAACAAAATACGAGCAGCCTAGAGTCAACTCTGAGTTCTTATCGAATCTCCGAGATAGTAGCTTCTCGTCTAACCCAATTGATTCAGACTAGAACAGTGATATTTATTTATTCGAACACATAAACATTGGTACAAGGAAGTATCATATACATATGCGCCACACAATAACAATGGGGACAGTAGAAGTTATCATTGATTTGTGTGAGGGCTATGATACTGCCCGCGTGCCCAGATCTAGGTAGGTGATTTTCTTAGGAATCCACACCCGGAGCCTTCGACTTAGAGGTCTTTCCACAAGTCAGTGGAGTAACGTCAAAAGATGCAGTCCCATGATAAACCGGCAAAAACAATTGATTCATACGCCATTTATTTTTCTCAGGATCCTAGAGCCCGTGTTCACCATTGGTTTGGAATGAGGGTTTTCCAACTCCCCTAGATGGATCCTTCGTATTCACTTACCCAGAAATTCGCTTTTTCCCCCTCAATTTCGTGAACAATACCACTGGAACGAGAAGATAGTGAGTAGGACTTTCCTGTCAGTGGTTGTATGCACGTGTCCATGCGAGAGCATTTGAAGAAGAGGAGCTGACTCTCTCCACCAGAGCATTTGGGGACAACAAGAATACATATAATAATAATCCATTAATAGATCCTAGCGGTTACCATTCACTTATTCTTCGTTCGAATATAACAATATGTTATCTATAAGTCAACGATATAAAAAAACAGTATCTTGTGCCTACACTATATTTTAATAGAATTATATGATGAGATGTTGGAGAAGATTTATAGCTGAGGTGGATGATTTTGGTGGAGTTTTGTTCGAACACATCACTTCTACTTGAAGTTTGTGCTGATGATGTCGTTCAGAAGAATGACAAAAGCTCCACAACCAAACCGTCCAGCTTATATTATTATATTATATTATATAGAGTGCTATGTTCATTCTGTTTAGATGTGTAGTTGATGTATGGTGTTTATATATTCTTCGTAAATCAAGGAAAATATCAAGGAATTTTACCATATTTGCTTCTAACAATGATTCCTTGACTATAAGCAAAGATGAATAGTGTCCAGCAGTGGAATCCAGGACGCGCGTCACTTCGTCCAATTTTGGACTCATCAGCTGGATGTACCTGCATCTAAAATTTGGTGCTCACTTTGGGACTCGAACCCAGTACCGTTCGGTTCAAAAGCTATCGCGTTATTCACTTAGTTACTGAGTCCTGATAGTCACCTGGTTGTGCAATCGGGTGAAGTTTAAATTCACTTGGTATTGTTTACCTGAATCTTCTAATTGATGTGAATTTAAAGCAATATTGAGGCGATGCGCACAGTATGCACATATACCAATAAGAGGCTGATCAGTTGCAGTTCTGTACATCAGTGGGAAGATTCAAGTAAGCAAATACTTAATGAACTCGTAGGCTAGTTTAAAAATCTTGGGAGCACAGAATCGAAAGTACTGGGTTCGAATCCCACAAGCGGGACCGTGGATACACACTGCTGAGAACTTCCATACTAAAACGAAACAGCCGTTCAGTACTTTCAAGTTTTTCAAGACGGTCTAGTTTTAATTGACTTATGAATTCAACTATTAAATTACCATAATCTCCACAAAACCCCTTTCTGATAATACTTCCAAAAAGTTGATTTTTGAAATATTGTCTATGATATACTTGAGCTCTAACATGTTTAAACCACAAACATATTGGTGTATTATCAATCAGTAAGGGGAATTTATAAAGATTGTTATGCTTTAATTATTGAATTCATGAATTGATCTGAGCTAGACTACCACTGAATACCTGGAAGCGATGGACGGTCGTTTCGTCCTAGTATAGGACTCCTCAGCAGTGCGCATCCACGATCCCGCACCTCGCGAGATTCGAATCCAGGGCCTATCGGTCTCGCGCCAGGCGCCTAAGATACTCCTGAAATTTCTAGTGAGAAGCCGTTACCAGTGGAGTTCAACCAGGCCTGTTGTGAGATATCAGCTCACTCAAGACAATGGTGAACGGTGGCGCATTTTCGTGGATTGGTTGAAGTTAGACCTTAACACCATTGGATGCCAGCTCAGTGGTGTAGTTGGTTAAGCGCCTGGTGCGAGACTGGTAGGTCCTGGGTTCGGATTTCTCGGGGGGTGGGATCGTGGATGCGCAATGCTGAGGAGTCCCATGTCAGGACGAAACGGCTGTCCAGTGCTTCCAGGTTTTCCACGGTGGTTTAGCTTCAAATGACTCATGATTTCAATCTGTGTACATATTATATTTATATATCATTTTTGTATTTATTACAAAGGAATACTCATCAACTTGACCGAATATCAATATCTCGATTTGGATTAAGTGGGATTCGCTTACCACAAAAACATTTAAGTGACGTTCATTCAAAACGTCTAGGAGTAAGTTCTCTAATTGTTTTTAATTACTTTTCACAAGAAATACAATTATCAAAAGTTCTGTTGTAGTAAACGAGAACACAAATTGGGACAATTGGATACATGAATACAACATTACAGAATCATCGTATTAAAGATGATTGACTCATTCTGGCTCTATGACTATACCTTTGTTTATTCATGTTGGAAATTGTTGTTAAGCATGAAAGTGGATATCTTTCTAGAAGCTGACAGAAATCTGGATACAAGATTTAATGTGTCCATCGATCACCATCAAACTGTAGAGATCATGTTATGAAAGCAGTAACATGTGTACAAGTAGTGACAGGTTAATCAACGGTTGTGGAGAACACAGTGTGAACAATCGAATGTATTTAAACACCATAGTATAGAATCTCTCAATAAAATCTGAGAACCATTCAATAAATACTTCATTTACAAAATGTCAACCAATCGTCTCAGACTTCATTGTTCCTGGACTTCCACAATAATCATTCTTTGCTCTTGATCTAGAAGGCATTTCCAGTTTGATTGATGATACATACTACTTATATCTATCGAAATTAGTAGTTAGTTGAATGACAAATTGAAAGTTGAAATCAGTCATTATTTCAATCTTTGGCGGTCTGCTTGAATATCTGGTCTATCTGTTCCTGTCATTTATATATTTCAACAAGTTATCTATCCTTTTTGTTTGTTTAAACATATTATTATGTCTATTAATTGGATGACATACTCATGCGCGTTTATGAGAAACGTTTACAACCTTGTTCTGTACAACCATCAAAGATTAAAACCATCATCAAAGACATCGTAGTTGCTGAGAGACAATATGTATTGGAAAAGATAAAAATTATTCAGATGTCGATTCTTAAATTGCTTACATCTTATCAGGGATCATTCAATATCTGTCGTCAGGATCGATCAAGAAACAAGAAAAGGAAACTTATTGAAATATTACTTAGCATAGGCTACCTACCAGCACTCTCCATCTAACCCTATCCTAAGCAATCCTTTTCAGCTCTTTCGAGTTGTTATTCATCTTTTTCATATCTGCTTCTATTTCCCGACGTTATATGTTCTTTGGTATTCCATTTTTCCGAACCCCTTCAGGATTCCAAGTTATGGCTTGCCTCGTGATGCATTTCGATGATTTCCATAATGTGTGTCCGATCCATTTTCATAGTCTTTTCCTAATTTCTTTTTGATCTGGAAGTTGGTTTGTTTTTTCCCACATTAGGGTGTTATAGGCTGCTGTCGTTGAAATATTATGTGCTGAGAATTCTATATTGTACCAAAAATATAATATTGAATAAAGACATTAATAATAATAATAATTGTCAATATAGGGTTGTGAAGATTGATAAGTTTTGATTGAGATCATGAATCGATCAATGTTAGACCACCATTGAAAACCTAAAAAACACTGGACTACCGTTTCACCCCAGTATGAAACTCCTCAGCAGTGCGCGTCAACAATATCACACCAGAAGAACTTGAATTCAAAACCTTCAGTCTTGCTCGTGAACACTCCATCTCTAGACCACTGAGATGGCATTCAACGGTGTTATTTCCTAAGTTCAACTAATCCACGATATTGCGCAACGAATAATCATAATGATAATAAGTTGCATTACTTTGAAAACAACATATAAAAGAGGGTTGCGGGAACTTTTAAATTTTAATAAGATCACAAACCGGTCTAAGTGAGATAACCTTTGAGAGCATAGAAGCTATGGACATCTGTTTCGTCCTAGTACGGGACTCTTCAGAGGTGCTCATTCATATCTCCACCATTGTAAATCGAATACTTACTTACTTACTTTCGCCTGTTACTCCCAATGGAGCATAGGGCACCGACCAGCATTCTCCAACCCACTCTGTCCTGGGCCTTCTTTTCTAGTTCCATCCAATTCTTGTTCATTTTTCTCATGTCTATCTCCATTTCCCGGCGTAATGTGTTCTTTGGTCTTCCTCTTTTCCTTTGACCTTCAGGATTCCATGTGAGGGCTTGTCTTGTGACGCAGTTGGGTGCTTTCCTCAATGTGTGTCCTATCCACTTCCAGCGCTTCTTCCTGATTTCTTCCTCCGCTGGGATCTGGTTTGTTCTCTCCCACAGTACGTTGTTGCTAATAGTGTCCGGCCAATGGATCTGAAGTATTTTGCGTAGACAACTGTTAATAAACACCTGTATTTTCTGGATGATGGCTTTTGTAGTTCTCCAGGTTTCTGCCCCATACAGTAGAACTGTCTTGACATTTGTATTGAAAATCCTGACCTTGGTGTTGGTTGACAGTTGCTTTGAGTTCCAGATGTTCCTCAGTTGTAAATATGCTGCTCTTGCTTTGCCGATCCGCGCCTTCACATCTGCATCAGATCCACCCTGTTCATCAATGATGCTGCCCAAATACGTAAAGGTTTTTACATCTTCCAAATCTTCTCCGTCAATTGTGATTGGATTGGTGCATTCTGTGTTGTATCGGAGAATCCTGCTTTTCCCTTTGTGTATATTGAGACCTACTGCTGCTGAGGCTGCTGCCACACTGTTCGTCTTCTCCTGCATCTGTTGTTGCGTTTGGGATAGAAGGGCCAGATCGTCTGCGAAGTCTAGATCATCCAACTGCATCTTAGATGTCCATTGTATCCCGCGCTTCCCTTCAGACGTTGACGTCTTCATGATCCAGTCGATCACCAGGAGAAAGAGAAAGGGTGAGAGTAAGCAACCTTGCCTGACACCGGTCTTCACTTCGAACGACTTTGTCAACTGTCCTCCATGCACGATTTTGCAGTGTAATCCATCATATGAATTCTGTATGATATTGACTATCTTCTGAGGCACGCCGTAGTGTCGAAGAAGTTTCCATAGTGTTGTTCTGTCCACGCTATCAAATGCCTTTTCGTAGTCAATGAAGTTGATGTAGAGTGATGAATTCCATTCAATTGATTGTTCCACAATGATCCGTAGAGTTGCGATTTGGTCTGTACACGATCTATCCTTACGGAATCCTGCCTGTTGGTCACGAAGTTGGGCGTCTACGCAGTCCTTCATCCTGTTTAACAATACCCTGTTGAAGACTTTTCCCGGTATTGAGAGAAGAGTGATGCCCCTGTAGTTATCACACTTGCTGAGATCGCCTTTCTTCGGTATTTTGATCAGAAGTCCTTCTTTCCAGTCTGTTGGTACTTGTTCCTCATCCCAAATCTTATTGAAGAGAATGTGGAGTATCCTTGCAGTTGCCGCTACGTCTGCTTTTAGTGCCTCTGCTGGGATGTTGTCCGGTCCTGCTGCTTTGCCACTCTTGATTTGTCTGATGGCCATGCTGATTTCTTCAATTGTTGGTGGGCCAACATTGATTGGGAGGTCCGTGGGTGCTGCTTCGATGTTGGGTGGGTTCAGTGGAGCTGGTCGATTCAAGAGTTCTTTGAAGTGTTCTACCCACCTGTTTTGTTGCTCTTCAATGTTGGTGATTACCTCGCCTTCCTTGCTTTTCACTGGTCGTTCTGGTTTGCGGCGATTTCCAGAGAGTTTCTTTGTCGTGTCATACAGTTGTCTCATGTTTCCTTCTCTTGCAGCCTTTTCCGCCGTCGTTGCTAAATCTTCCACATATTTACGTTTGTCGGTTCTGATGCTCCTCTTCACTTGTTTGTTTACTTCTGTGTATTCAGCTTGTGCCTTGGCTTTTTCTGCTCTTGTTCGACTGGTATTGATTGCTGCCTTCTTGTTCCTCCTTTCTTGAATCTTATCCAGTGTATCAACAGTGATCCATTCCTTGTGATGGTGCTTCTTGTGACCCAGGACCTCATGACATGTTGAAGTGATTGCCTCTTTGATCCCCTTCCAGTTGCTCTCCACAGTAGTTCCTTCTCCATTGAGTAGATCATGAAAGGCCTGGAACTTGTTGCTGAGGACTATCTTGAATTTGTTGAGTTTGTTAGTATCCTGAAGAAAGGCCGTATTGAACTTTTGTGATATTGTCCGCCCCGTTGTCCAGTGCTTCTTGAGTTTCAATTTCATCTTGGCGACCAGCAAGTGATGATCTGATGCTATATCAGCTCCTCTCTTGGTTCTCACGTCCTCTATAGTCCTCCTGAACGTTTTGTTGATGCAAATATGGTCGATTTGGTTTTGTGTATAGTGATCCGGTGAAGTCCATGTGGTTTTGTGTATGCGTTTATGTGGGAATATGGTGCCGCCTATGACCAGCTTATTGAAGGCACATAGATTTGCAAATCTCTCACCATTTTCGTTTCTTTCTCCCAGTCCGTGTCGTCCCATGATGTCTTCATATCCAGTGTTGTCCGTTCCAACCTTGGCGTTGAAATCTCCCATCAGAATGGTCAGGTCCTTTGTTGGGCACTTCTCGACGATTGACTGCAGCCTATTGTAGAATTGATCTTTAGCGTCTTCATTGTAGTCGTTGGTAGGCGCATAGCATTGGATGATGTTCATTGAAATGCCCTCTTTCTTTGTTTTGAACGAGGCTTTGATGATCCTTGGTCCATGAGATTCCCATCCTATAAGTGCATTTTGCGCTTGTTTGGACAGCATCAATGCAACTCCTTGTGTATGTGGTGCATTTTCTTCTTCATGGCCGGAGTATAACAGGAGCTCTCCTGTAGTTAGTCGTTGTTGTCCAACTTGTGTCCAATGTGTTTCACTGATCCCAAGTACCTCTAGGTTGTATCTTCTCATTTCTGCAGCAATTTGGAAGGCTCTTCCGGTGTCCCACATTGTACGAACATTCCATGTACCTAAATAAATGGTCGCTCTGGTTGTCAGAAGGGGCATCGGCCTCGTAACTTCCGAAGGAATTCGGCTTTCATCATGAGGCGTCATAATTCTTCTAAATGAAGACCTTCTGACTCCCAGGGCAGAGTTTAAAAGGTTTGAATAATTTTTTCTGGTTAGCGTTTTTTTAGCGAGTTAGTTTTCTACGGGATGGGGACGCTAACCCCATGCCCAACCCTCCTCCTTTATCCGGGCTTGGGACCGGCAGTAGCCCCCGGAGGGACTCCAGGCGGAGTTGTAAATCGAATACTAGATCTTTAAACCACTAAACTACGATAAAATGATGTGCTTGCAGGTCATCTTTTGACACACACATACACACAGCTACAAAGTTACCAAGGAGCATTGATTCACATTTACACTCCTATCATCATGTTTTTCTTTTTTTTAAGTCAACGAATGATTCTGGTCATGGTAGTTCAATTAATTCACAAACTGATGACTTATACTCACCAACTCTATCTATTCCACAGAATAAAACATCAATAACATCATCTTTATCAAATAATGAAGTAGAATCTGTCTTCAATAGTCCAACCAATACACATATCCCTGATATAATGGATGATATGAAAGATATCAACCTATTGAATTCATTTCCCATTTCAAGTATGAAACAAGAACCTATTACTATTTCAGATCATATTAGAACAAATCAACGTTCAGTTTCAATATCCAATAATTATAATCTAAAAAAAACTTTACCTATTCAATCTCCAGTTTCATCTTCTAACACTTTTCAACATTATACTACTTATAACAATATACATAGTAGTATAAGTAATTCATATAAATTATCATTAAAAAATGATAACATTTTAGAAGATAATTTAACTCAATTAATTATTAAATGTTTACATGAAATTCTATGGATGTCTAGTCAGTTAGAACGTTGGCATTTGAGTACAACCATTACAAATGATGATCCATGGGTGGTAAGTATTCAAAACGTTTTTTTCTTTCTATGCAGCAATTTGGAAGACACTCCCGGTGTCCCACATTGTACGAGCATTCCAGGTACCTAAATAAATGGTTGCTCTGGTTGTCAGAAGGAGCATCGGCTTCGTGACTTCCGAAGGAACTCGACTTTCATCATGAGGGGTCATAAATCCTCTAAATGAAGAACTTCTGACTCCCAGGGCAGAGTTTAAGTGGTTTGAATGATTTTTTTCTGGTAAGCGTTTTTTCTACCGAGTTAGTTTTCTATGGGATGGGGTCGCTAACCCCATGCTCAACCCTCCTCCTGTATCCAGTCTTGCGACCGGTAGTAGCCCCATAGGGACTCTAGGCGGAGTTATAATAACCACATTTTCATAGGGCCAGGAAATCATTTTTTTCTTTGAAAAAAATTAAACTTGTTTGCCAAATTTTCCATTTTTCTAATTTACTACTCATTAAGTTAATCATCATCATTACCACCAGGGTGCTTGTTACCTGTGTGGTTACACCACAGGATTGAGCTGTACTAATCAGATTGTAGTGTTAAGACCTATATGGTGTCTGGTTCTCCTGTGAAGCGCGATTGACCTGTACTGCTCGGGTTATAAAGTTTAAGCCTGGGTAGTGTCTGACTTTCATGTTGAACGGGATTGAGCTGTACTATTTGGGTTGTCACGTGAAAGTCTGGATGGTGTCTGATTCTCCTGAAAATCAATGGAAAACTATCCTGGCCCACAAGGGTATATTATATAACTGTGAAGTTAATCATACTAAGAAGTAATGTTTCAGTTAGATTGAGCAGTGAACAACTATTTAATTAGGTTAGTCAGTTTAGAATTACCAGTTAACGTGAATAGTAACTCGCTTGATACATCAGTAGATACATTCTGTTGTATTATGAATTAGCTAATATTCCTCCATAATACTATTGGTTCGTATATGTTCGAGAAAAGGGTATATTATATTACTCAGGATATTAAAGACTGTTTATGGTGAGACTATAATTTATGGACGACCATTGAGTGATTCTATAAAGACCTTGAGAATATTCACCTATATACTACGGCTAAATGAGGGTTCTAAACCAACATCGAGACGCTATTTAGTCAAATAGATGAATGAATTTCGCGCCGAATGCCAGGAACTGTTATCGTAAATCTGATTTATTCGTCCATAAATTATAGTCTCTCCATGTTTGTTGATATTAGGGTACATTTTGTTTATTCTATGAAGCACGTTTGCCCTCATATGCCCTGGTACGGCCGACGATAGGGAGAGTTAGCTCCCCCTCTCTAAATGCTCTCAAGTGGCCACGCATATACAGCCACTGCCAGGGAAATCTTACTCACTGACTTCTCGCGGCACTATTGTTGTTTACGAAATTAAGAGGATGAGAACCGAATGTCCGGCTCTTTAACCGGGTTGGTGGACACAAAGAGTCCTCCTTGGGAAGTTGGAAAATCGTCATTACAAACCAATTGTGCACATGGGCTCCAGTAACCTGAGGAGTTGGATGATGTATGAACGTATTGTTGGTCACCGACTACCATGGGACTTCATCTCCTGACATTACTTCACTGCCTTGTGGATTAGACCTTTAGATCGAAGACTCTGGGAATGCGCTTTTAAGAAAACCATCTACTTCGTTCTGGGCACCCGGACAGTATCACACAGAACATACAAATCAAGTGACTTGTGTTCAAAAGGTTCTATGATGAACTTAAACTTGTTATTAATCTAATACACATCGTTAACATCCTTGTTAATAAGTTCTATTTGGTTATTATATATAGGGATATTATAGAGCTATGGTATCATTTATGGAAATCAGTAGTCAGTATGTTCTTATAAAACCTGCATTTTGGATTATTCAACGACTATTTGAATTCATTATTTATTCATTAGAACAATCATTACCAAATTATAGTAAGTGACTTTTGTAAATTCATTCATTTATTCATTTCATTCCATCTATAGACTGAGATAAACTTGCAATTTTGTTGTGTTTAATAACCAGTTGCATTTAGTTGTTATGTAAAATGAATAGGATATCGAATTCAAAATGCTCGTTTCATTTCATTTAGTACATGGTCGGGCCCCAAATGCCATGTTATGGCCGAGAGTGGGGTGGACTCACGCTCCCTCTCGAAATGCTCTCACACGGCCACGAGTATACAGCCTCTTCCAGGGAAGTCCTACTCACTGCCTTCCCGTGGCAAGGGTGTTGGTTACGAAAATGAGAGGACGAAAACCGAATGTCCGGCTATTTAACCGAGTTGGTGGACACGAAGAGTCCACCTAGGGATGTTAGAAAACCCTCATTACAAACCAATGGTGCACATGGGCTCTAGTATCCTGAGGAATCGGATGGTGTATGAACGTAATGTTGGTCACCAACTACCATGGGACTGCATCTCCTCACGATGCTCCACTGCCTTGTAGATCAGACCTTTAGGACCTGCTTCGGTCTGGGCACCCGGGTAGTATCATAGCCAACACACACACAAATATGGTGTGGCGCATATATATTTAATGCCCTCTTGTACCAATATTTATGTGTTCAAATAAATAAATAAGTACATGGTCAACTGGATCTAAGTGTTGATATTCACATTCAGATTCTAACTCTACACAATTTTATTTTTAAATTCTTATTATGTTATCTATTGAAGTACTGAATTCAGATAATCACGAACTTATTCAATGAGTATACTGATGATACCATAATTAATAAAATTTTAGGTCTCTAAATGCCCTGTGGAGAGTCAGCTCACCCTCTCCAGATACTCCCACATAGACACGTGTATACAACCACGGATAGAGAAGTTCTACTGACTGTCTTTTTGAATAACGGGTGTTGTTTACGAAATTGAGAGTGAAAAGTGGATTTCCGGTGCTCTAACCGGTTTGGTGGATATGAAGGATCCACCTAGGGGAGTTGGAAAACCCTCAATATTTGGTAACATACATACTTCTTGTGTAAATTACTTTGTTACTAGCAGTTTAAAATGGATAGGTTATGACTAACAATGGATGTTTATATCTATCTGACATATGAAGCTATGTGTAAATATGATCTAACTGACGAGTCACAGGTATAGATAATTGTGTATTATAATGATAACTTATTCATTGTTTGCCCAATTCCTGCAGTACATATCTCTATTAAAAATATATGTACTTGACTTATTCTATACTTTGACTTCTTTTGCAGATCAGAATTTGTTGTTTCCAGGTGCAGTTGATGGAGATAAAGTTCGTAGAGTTGTTCATTTATTTATGATGTTTCTAGTTGATACTACTTGTAATCATAAAAACTGGATCGATTATGAATATCGGGTAGAAGTAAGTTGGCATTCTTAGTTATATGTTTGTATATGCATATTAATAGCTAAGTGAATAACGAGATGGTGTGTTTGAAACGAACGGTACTGGGTTCGCGTCCCCGAGTGAACATTAACTCTGGGATGCAGGTGTAGTGAACAGAACACGGGTGGGGACAATCGAATGTATTTGACACAAAATTACAGGACTTGTTAATAAAATCTAACAATCAAATAGTAAACACGTAATTTACAAAATCTTCATCAATTGTCTCATAATGACTCAGACTTCATTGTTCTTGCATTTTCATACAAATTGCATTCTGTTTCCATTCTTTACTGTTCGATCCTCTTGTCTCTCTGCTGCCAGACCTTCTGTTTACAACTAACATCATATACTACTTATGTCAATATAAGTAGCACACACCACACAGGTACTCCCAGCTGATGAGTCCCAAATAGAACGAAACAAGCGTCCTGTGTTTCCACTGCTAACCACTATTCATCTGTGTTTAAAAAAGCTTGTGACTTAAGGCTATGTTAAGACAATCAGCACAGTATGAATATATCAACCAGGTGTCTCTTCCTACCATGGAGACTCGTCAACACTGCATCCAAGATTCTGTGGGAAATTGAGCCTAAGACTTTCAGGTCTTATAATCAGAACTTATACGTTTGGCCACTATATCCTCATTTGATAGTTTACATATTTACTCACACTTGTTAAAACTCTTGGAGGAGCGTAAGCTGCCCAATAGCATTTTTCATTCAACCCTGTCTTGGGTAATCCTTTTCAGTTCTTTACAGTTGCTGTTCATTTTTTTGACATTTGCTTCCGATTCTCGTCGTAGTGTGTTCCTTGTTCTTTCTCTTTTCCGTTTCCCTTCAGGATTCGTGATACAGACTGATGATTTCTGTAATGTATGTCCTATCCACTTTCATCGTCTTTTCATAATTTCCTCCTCAGCTGGAAGTTGGTTTTGTCCTTTTCTACAGTAGGCTGATAGTTTACATGTCTAATTTCAAACAATTCATGATATTGCATAGCTACTTACTAATGATGTTCGAAGATGGTTGAGTAACAACATCGCGAATTGATTGATGTTAAACATGTAAATAACTGATTGTCAACTGAATGATCTGAAGGTTTAATTGAGTTAGTGAATAACGGAATTAAAATAAGTTTAATACAACAGTAAAGTTTCGAATATATATATTTTGAACAGTCATTGATCTGAGCAGACAATCAAGGAAGCGAAGCGAAGAACAAAGAAAGAGAAGCGAAGTGAAATGGCTCACAGTGGAGAAAGCGAATGAGCCAACGCGGTGTAATCAAGCATGAATCGATTTTATAGTCAGACAAAAATAAGTTACAAACATAGGATGAATATGATAAGAAATACACATACATACCTTGACATAGAAACAATTAAGGTAGACAAGCGAATAATTGACAAGGTTAAAATGTAACTAAAAAAGAATGAATAAATTGCTCTGTCCGAAAGCTAGAATAAGTTATTTGGGTTGCCATAGCAACCAACACTACAAGGTAACAGTTGGTTACATAATATTAACTACAGTGTATCATATAGTCACTTGATTACGTTTATAAAAATAAAACAAAACAACAGAATCACTGGTGTTTTTTTATTATACCTGGACAAATTTTTGAAATTATTTTTTCTGGTTAGCGTTTTTTTAGCGGGTTAGTTTCCTACGAGATGGGATCGCTAATTCCATGTCCAACCCTCCTCCTTTATCCGGGTTTGGAACCGGCAGTAACTCTAGAAGAGCTACAGGCGGAGGAAACTAGGAAATGACAATGGAAATGAATAAAACATACAATAGAGAAACCACCAAACTGCATCACAAGGCAAGCTTTAACCTGAAATCCTGAAGGGAAGTGGAAAAGAGGAAGGCTAAAGAACACATTACGTCAGGAAATAGAAACAGATATGAAAAGGATGAATAATAACTTAAAAGATCTGGAAAGAACTGTTTAGGACAGGGTTGGATGGAAAATACTGGTAGGGGTTGTTGGGGACGTTAGATCCCCAGGACTCACTTGGAGAAGGACCTGATTTTGTAATTTCATTTGGAAAATTTGATTTTTTTTTGTTTTCGCGCCAAAAGCGCTCTTTTCACCTTCATGTCGTATTTCTCAATTGGGAGAATCTTAAACGCTATTGGTCCGTTATGTCTTTTAGTATGCTATTTTGTAACGCTTCACAAGGACGGTTTTGTGCTGTATATAGACGTTTTGATTTGTGTCTGTTGTTATCACTCGTGTTTCCCGACCGAAGCTGCTACCTTGACGCGGTGGTCGGGCTTGCTTATCGTGATGACCCAACCGAGCTATATTGGCTGGAATATATGTTCCTGTAGGTTCTACCATGCCAGGCAGGTCGATTAGAGAACGGTAAGACTAAAAGCAGCAACTCAAGGTCTGAGGGCGAAGTCGTACTGCTGACAGTAGAGGGGTGTGACAGCAGTAAGGTGTTTCCCTCGGACAACCAGCATGACAGCGATGCTGCTTTCCCACAAGGAGGGATGGGGTTAGAAAAGGTCGACCCTAAAAATGTCACACCTCACCTTACCTCACGGATTTCCGTTTCCGGCAGTAAGGCCCTTTGAAGAACGAAGCTGACACATTAAAAACCTTCCACAAAAAGACCGTGCGCGACCGGCCTCAAGAAGTTGTCCCTTGGGCTCTGCGGTCAAGCTCTCAGGTCGTCAAGACCAACACTAATCCAATTTCCTTTTCAGGTCCCTCAAGAAATGCCCTTCCATGGTGTGGGCAGCCGGGAAGTGATATCAGCCCTCATACCCGTAACAGCACACGAGACCAAGTTGGTCACATTCAAATCCTTCCTACACCTCCTGATACATTCAAATCCTGGCTTTTTGTGGAATATACTCCCTGTTCAGATTTCCACTTCTCTCGCTAGTTAACGGGGCTTGGACGCAACAGAATAGCTAGTTTATTGGTCTTTGGTCACAAGTCTTTGTTCCGTTCACAGTCTAAGTGAACTCGTAACCGCTCCAAACCTAGCAGGAGCTTATGCTCCTCCACGAGGAGTAACAGGCGTAAGTAAGTAAGTAGAGATCGTCGGTATAGTATAATCTTTACCATTTTCCTATTCTTCATCTTGATAAATACTTTACTTCTTTTTTTGTTTGTTAGTTAATGGAATCCTTACTACATTTATTACAAGAATCACTTCTTATATGGGAATTAAATTCATTACAATGGAAAGAAGTTCAAGCATTAACTATACATTTAATTCTATGGTGGATTATTAATAATAGTTATTTACAATCTCGTCTATTTATTTATTCATTAACTCACTTACATTATATCATTTATCAATTGGAATCAAGATCATGTTTTGAAGAAGTAAGTTCATTGTTGTATTAATCTTCTGCCGCCAGGTATTTCAATTTCGATTGATGATACATACTAATTATATCTGTCGACATCAGTAGCACACACCACACTCGTTCCCACTTTAAAGCAGTCGTTCTTGTGGTGCTTCTGCTCGCCGTGCCACTTTCTTCCTCTTCTCTGTAATCCTTACCACGCCCTCCGTCAAAATATGGAGTTTGCAACGCACTGACCTCCATAGCTTCGTAGACCTACTGGGCCATCAAGATTCGATGTCTTCTCAGCAGCCATACGTCCCACTGTTCCTCTTTGTCAACAGCACTCGCTAAATTCAATGCTGCCCCGCCAGAACACTCCATCCAACGCCACCTCTCTGCAACGGACCGCTCCAACTAGCACCTCAGTTTCAGGTCCGCAACGATGTCCGCAGGACAGAACCCTCCCCTTCCTGGTCGACAGCGACAACTTATGTAGTGAACGAGGTCACGCTCGTGGAATTCGAACTCAGGGCCTTCAGTCTCCCACGAATGCTTAACCTTTAGATCACTGAGTCGGCCGGTATCCAGCGGTGTTAATGTCTAACCTCAACCAATCCAGGAAATTGCGCGACAATCTTCCATTGTACTGAGATAGATACCTTTCTCTACCCGACACGGATTAGCTCTACTAGTCACAGATTCTCACTAGAACTCTGAGAATTTCCTCACAAAGCTAGTCACTAGTGAGCACATAATAATTATCAGCATAGAATTGTTGAGATTATTAAGTTTATGCTTGAGACCATGAACCGATTTGTGTTAGACCACCATTGAAAACCTGGAATCACTGAACGGCTGTTTCGTCTTATTGTGGGACTCCTCATCAGTGCGCATTCACGATCCCGCTCGCGGGATATTCTTCACTATTCAATAGAAATATTTAACTTATATTTATTTTTTTATAGTGTTTATTCCCTCAGTTTGTTTTGTTAATTTCTATAACATAACATACTGCTTTTGATGTAACAAGTAGCTTGAGCCATATTTTCGATTGTGTTTTTCATAGTATGATTTCTACCATTCAAAGTTTATGGCAGTGAAATTGTCCATTTGTTCTACTTTCAATCAATTCACGATATTGTGCGACTATCTTCTACTTTGTTTGATGGGTACATTCTTCAAGCCTAACAGGATTAAACTTTAATGTTCATGACTTCTTATTAGACCTCTTCATTTCAAACTTCAGTTGTATTGCCTTTTATAATGTAGGTGGTTTAACTTAGAGCCTTTCAATGTCAGTTTGGTAATATCATAAACGATTACTTTAAGATTTGAGCTTCTAGAAATTAATACACAAGGGCTTAATGATATTGACTTCAATTGTAACCAAATGCTTTTTGTAGGTTTGTTATCTTCATGAATTTTCTTGTTGTCATTGACTCTATTATTAGATTCCCGACCTTTGTTGCTACCTTGACGTGGTGGTCGGGCTTGCCTATCGTGATCAAGCAACCGAGCTATACTGGCTGGAACAACCGTTCCTCAAGGTCCTACTATGCCAGACAGTCTGTTGAAGAGCAGTAAGACTAAAAGCAAAAAACCCAAGGTCCGAAGGCGAAGTCGTACTGCTGACTGTAGAGAGGTGTGACAGCAGTAAGGTGTTTCCTTCAGACAACCAGCATGACAGCGATGCTGCCTTCCCACAAGGAGGGGTGGGGCTAGAAAAGTTCGACCCTAAAAATGCACACCTCGCCTTATCCCACGGATATCCGTCTCCGGCGGTAAGGTCTCAACAAGTACGGAGCTAACACAAAAATTACTCATAAAAAGGTCATGTGTGACCGACCTCAAGCAGTTGTCCCTTGGGCACTGCGGTCACGCTCTCAGGTCACAAAGACCACCTCTAATCCAATTTCCTTTTCAGGTACCTGCAGAAGAACCCTTCCATGGTATGGGCAATCGGGAAGTGATAATCGCCCTCATACCTCTAACTGCACTCAAGACCTTGTGTATTCATAGCTATCATTAGATTAAAAGAGACACTAAAGGAACACTTTTTTTATCCAGAAGGACAATAACGGCTTCACAATTCAAGTTAAATGACCAAGTTATAAATCATCTTCAATACTGTTTCTTCAGAATTTGGGGGGGGTATTTGAGGTTGATTCCACTGTAACATTCAGCCTTAAGAAGATTAGAGTTTAACCTGAAAGTACCTTATGAGCTGGGTTAGCATAGGGAGTTGTAAACGAGATGATCTGGAAGAGAAAATGACGAAAGAAAAATGAACCGGCAACTCAGTTAAGCATATAGAATGCACTTACTTTAATAATGAAAGCAGTTGACAACGATCACAAATAGCACAAGCATAAGATTGAGACAATTCGATGATCAAAACAAGAAGTTAATAGTGTACCACATGTCAGTTATTCGAAGTTCTTGAATTCATACTTTTACTGTTTATTCATTTAAATGATAATGGATCATCAGTTAAGGAAAATGCAGCAATTTGGATGACTCTTCCGGTCTCCTACATTGTACGACCATTCCATGTACCTAAATTAATGGTTGCTCTGGTAGTCAGAAGGTGCATCAGCCTCGTGACTTACGAATGAACTCGGCTTTCATCATAACGTATCATAACTCTTTTAAATGAAGGCCTCCTACCTCCCAAGGCAGAGTTTAAATGGTCTGAATTATTTTTTCTGGTTGGCGTTTTTTTATCGAGTTAGTTTTCTACGGGATGGGGTCGCTAACCCTAAGTCAAACTTTGCTTCTTTATTCGGGCTTGGGACTGGCAGTAGCCCCCAGATAGGTTCAAGGAAGAGTTAGCTAAGGAAAATACTCCATTTTTATCATTCACTAACAAAGCCTATTTTTTTGATCTTCTATTATCTAGATTGCATTTCTTGTTTATCGTTTGGACAAAGTAATAGAAATATGGTCAAGATATGAAGAATCCATGATAAATGTAGATGATATACATAAAATGGAAAAACTCAGTGAAATTCCCAGTGATCATTCCGTGAATATTCCTCTTAACCACGATGTAAGAAATGTAAATAAGAGTATTCCTTCTGAGACTAATCCTATCAGTGACCATTTATCATCACATATGAATACCAATTCACAATCACATAATCTACTTGTATATTTAACTCCAATAATCTTTAAATTATTTAAAGATTATAGTGTATTATTAGAAATGGAGAAATGGACACCTAATTTACCAAAGATGACATCTGATTTTCTTGAAAAATTTAAAGTTTATCGTACTATACCACATGGTGAATGGCAATGCTTTCTTGAAAACCGTGTATGTTGATAAATTTTATTTTCAATTTTATTTTAAACTACTTAAATGATTTAAGTAACTAAACTTTTTACGTAAAATATTTATGCTTTCCTATGTTAAAAATCTGTACAATGTATATGTTTACATCCTTGTTTCAACTCCAACAATTGCTAATTCATTTTTAGGACTCCATTATCTTCATATTATTGATTTAAATTTTGTAAAAGTCACAAATATTAGAGAGTTTTTAATGGTGGTCGACCCATGAGTTCAACTATTAAAATTACTTTATTCTCCATAAAACTCCATTCTGCTAATAATCATCATGTGCTCATTAATGATTTGCTTCGAGATGGATTTTATGGAGTTCCAGTGAGAAGCTGCGACCTTTGGAATCCAATCTTTGTCGGGTAGAGACAGATTAATTATATCTTTTTCAATGATTGAATTGTACGATGTTATATCATTCCTACATTCTGTGATCCCATGTTTAATAATGATAAATAATATCTCAAAAACCTTTCGACTATATATTGTATATATAAGGCAGCCTTTGTGAACAATTCATTCAGTCTAGGTATGGAAGATGACCATATTTCGATCAATCGACTAACTTCATTCTTTTGGGATGTTTCAAACAAATTACTTAGATTTGTATTCTAAATAGGATATGGGAAGATGTTCTCAAACTGATCAACTTTATATATCCAACTTTTTTTATGTCAGGAGATATCTCTAGTTAGATTAGGCAATTTACATACTAAACATATTTGTATTTTTGAAGAATATTTATTTTTAACAGTTTGGATCATGAGTCAGTTGAAGTTAGACCACCATGGAAAACCTGGAAGCACTGGACGGCCGTTTCGTCCTAGTGTGGGACTCCTCAGAAGTGCGCATCCACGATCCATCCTCACGAGATTCAAAACCAGAACCTATCAGTTCTACAAATCCCTATTCTATTATGTAATATGAGATTCTCATTATCAGTGTTTGATACTTTTCTTGTTTGTTTTAGCTTCAACCAGTAGCAGAATTCTATACAATTCAATATATCATCAGTACAGCAACAAATCAAAGTATATATCGTGCTAAAGCTAATGATGATATTGAAAAATCTCGTTATAAACATAAACATTATTTAGATAATATATCATTTAATTTACATTCTTATCTAATACATAACATATCTGAAATATCCAATGAATCATTGATCATTCCATGTGTTGTTGATCCATCAACTTCTGAAAGGTTAACTGATCATTCTGTGACCATGACAACAAAACATATTACATCAATCGATAATAATCAATATGATATATCTCAATCATCTCTTATCAACAAACAAAATTATTATCCAACAGAAATAGAAAAATATAATCAACAAATGAATTATTGGCATGCTTTATCATATCAATTAATGTATACATCATTGAATGCTCCATGGTTTATAAGGTGAATTTATATTGATTATTGATTTTATTTATTTTGATCCCTTCCCTCCTCCCCTCCTTCTTAACCAAGTTATAATGGATTAAATTCACTTAGTATTGTTATTTACTTGAATCTTCTCATTGATGTGTTAAGACTGTAATTGATCAATCTCTAACATTGGTATATATATGTGCATCCTGTTTGGATTACCATGATATTGAGTTCAGTCACAAGCATTATAAGAGAAGATGGATAGTGACTATCAGTGGAATCCAAGAAACGCGTTTCACCCTGTTAGGGACTCGTCAGCTGTATGTACCGGCATTTCAGAGTGGATGCTTACTTTGGGACTCGAACCCAGTACCGTTCGCTTCAAACACCATCAAGTTATCCACTTAACTACTGAGTTCTGATAGCTACATATTTGTGTAATGGGGTATTGTTTACATGAATCTTCCCATTGTTGTTTAGGACAGCAATTGATCAGTCTCTTATTGGCGTATGTGCATACTATGCATATTGCCTCGATTTTACCTTAATTCACAAGCATTATAAACATAGATGGATAGTGGGTAGAAATGGAATTCAGGACACGCGTCACTTCGTCCTATTTGGAATTCGTTAGCAGCTCATCAACAGCTAAGTAGATAACGCGATAACATGCGTCCTGAATTTCACTGCTAGCCACTATCCATCTTTGCTTATAACGGATTAGATTTAAAACACTACAGGTTTTTAATCTCATTAATAAAATTTGCTTAAAATTTATATTTTATGGTTAGCATGTTTTGTTGTTGTTGAGCGAGTTAGTTTTCTATGGGATGGAGTCCTTAACCCCCCCCTATACCCAATCCACCTCCTTCATTCTGGGCTTGAGACTGACAGTAGCCCCAGACGGGGATAGCATTTGAACAATTCATTCTGAGATGGTGGAGAAGATTTGTAGCTCAGGTGGACACAAGTCGAAACAATCTAATGTATTTGAATACAACATTACAGAATCTCTTAGTAGAATCTGAGATTCATACAGTGAGTACGTCATTTGTAATATGTCAATCAATCGTCTCAGACTTCATTGTTCTTTCGTTTCTCCACCAATCATTCTCTTTTCTTCGACCTTCTTAACCTTCTGCCTCCAGGTATTTCCCTTTTGGTTGATGATACATGCTACTTATATCTGTCAATGTCAGTAGCGTACATCATAGTAGGAGTTTTAGTGTTTAGAGGATCAATGATTGCCTGTACTAACAGTTACGTAATTCAATAGTAAAAGGTCTTTTTATCATTTGCCTAGAACTGTTTAGCTGTTTCATAGCCCAATATCATCCATTGCAAACTCTTTTAGCAGGTTTCAGTCAACTGTAATGTTTAAATAGAAACAAGTATCCATAATATATTAGTTTATTGAAGACATCTTGTGAAGACTTTATCAATTCGAAGTTAGTCTTCATTACACAGTGACATAATTTATAGAAACAAACAGCTATTTGTTTCGTCGTATTTTGAATTTTTTTAGTAACGCGGTGGGGGCGGCACTTAATTCTTTGAATTGAGAGGCTTCCAGTTCTTCACAATGGTCCAAATTCATCGATTTTAATCAGTTTAAGACTATCATTTAGTACTAATTATGATGAATTGCTACAGTTGTGCTTGTCGTAAGATATTAAGTTATTTCATTTAGGTTCATAGATATTTACTACTTAGAAGGATAATGGTTATCAGTAAAATCTAGGATGCGCGTTTCGTGGAGTAGATTTGTAGCTTCGGTGGAGTTTTGTTGTCTGAATGCGCGTTTCATCCTCTTTGGGACTCGTCAGCTGGATATATTTGCATCCCAGAGTTGATGTTCACTCCAGGACTCGAACTCAGTACTATTCGATTCAAACATCATGGCGTTATTCACTTAGCTACTGACTCCTGATAGTCACTATTCATCTTTGTTTAAAGAAGCTTGTGACTTAAGGTTATATCGAGGCAATACGCTCCGTATAAAACATATGCCAACATGAGACTGATCAATTACAGTCCTAAATAACAATGGAAAGATACAAGTAAAACAATATCAAGTGAATTCATTATATAGAGGTTTTCAATTATGATGTAATCTCTTCTAATCATCATATTTTTTCGTCATTATCCTTATCATCTCATTGTTTTTTTCTTCGTAATGTTAGTTATGCAAAAGTTGAACATTGGCGTTTATCTGCATTGGAAACAATCAGTCGTATACGACCAAAATTAGAACCAAATGTAACATTCAATTCACATATAAATGCTAGTGCTAAACGAGATGGTTTATCTTTAATTAAATTTATACAATCACGTATACGACCACATTCAGTAGATAATGATCATACATTATTTATGGCATCTATTTGTCATTCATTATCCACATTGAAAGCTTCTTCTAGTGAAACAAGTTTAGATATTTCACAGAATGATGAAATAGAATGTAATACTGATGTTATTATGAGACAAATTATGAAACATCCTCAACTTTTGAATCAAACATCCGTTGAAGAAAATGATGATCGTCATGGATCGACTTCAAATAATGATGATGATATAATTCATATGGAAAATGAAGTGTTTGATTTATCGGATGATCGACGTGGTACATTAATTCCAGATGAATCTATAAAAACTCCGTAAGTTCCTAGTTTTTGGGATTTAGTATTGTTATCAGAATGGGTTTTGTGGAGATTTTTAGAAATTTCACTGGTTGGAACAATAATCACCTGCTCACTAGTGACTGACTTCAGAAGACACTCCTGGAGTTCTAGTGAGAAGTCGTTACCAGTGGAGTTCAACCAGGTCTGTTGTGAGATATCAACTCACCGAAGACAATGGTGTATGGTGGCGCAACTTCGTGGATTGGTTAAAGTTAGACATTAACACCGTTAGATGCCGGCTCAGTGGTCTACTGCCTAAGTGCTCTCACGCGAAACCAGTAGGTCCTGGGTTCGAATCTCGCGGTGTGCGGGATGTCAGGATGAAATGGCCGTCCAGCGCTTCCAGGTATTCCATGGTGGTCTAGTTTCATTTAGTATTGTGTTTATTGAATTTTATTGATAATGAATAGTAATATTGAAGGTTTGTTTATTTTATGGCCTCCAAATGCTCTGGTACTGTCGAAGGTGGGGGAGAGTCAGCTCTATCCCTCGAAATGCTTTCATATGGCCACGTGCATATTACAACTAACAGGAAAGTTCTACTCACTGTGTTCTTGCGACACTATTGTTGTTTACTAAATTGAGAAGGCGAAAAGCAAATATCCGGCGCTTTAATCCGGTTGGTGGATATTAAGGATCCATCTAGGGGAGTTGATAAACTCGGATTTTAAATCACCGGTGCACATGGGCATCAAGATCTTGTGGAAAACAATGGCGTATGAGCCAACTATTGGTCACTGACTACCATGGGAGTGCATCTCTTGACGTTGCTCCACTGCCTTGTGGATCAGACCTTCAGATCGAAGGTTCCGACTGTGGCCCCCTATGAAAATCACCTGCTTCGGTCTGGGCACCCGGGCAATATCTTAGCCCACAAACGAATCAAGTGATCTGTGTGGAGCATGTATATTCGGTACCCCTTTGTACCAATGTTTATGTGTTCAAATAATAAATAAATAAAATGCCTATATGAATATTTCTTATACACAGATATTCAGCATCTGTGGTTCATTTCTCCTATCAAGAAGCTACATTAGTGAATAGAGTTGTGTTTATTTAGTTCGGAACGTTCGGTCTTCTCCCTTACACAAATGGAAGGTACATTTACACTAGATACCCTCCCATTTGTCTATTCTACAGGACTTCAAAACAACTCAGATCAAGAACACTTGACTGACCTGACTAGAATGTTGAGCATACTTCCACTCCAATCGCCGAAGAAAAAGGGGAAACATATAACTCATTTAATAACTGTCAGACAATCTACTGTGATATATGCTACTGATATCGATAGATATAAGTAGTATGTATCATCAATCAAAAAGGAAATACCGTAAGGATCCTTCATGTATGAAGTCATGTATACTATTCAGTAGTTACCTTACTGATGTTCATTTGAATACATTTCTCTATTTCACTCAATTCATACAAAGCTATTATCATTTTGTTCTTTATAAAAGCTCTTCAGTATAATGAACATTAAAAGGTTATAATTATCATTTAGCGAAGTCATCAAATTATGAATTCCTGGCATGTTTATCAAAAATAAAATCTTCGGTTTGTTTTTCACAGATATGATCAAATAGTTTTCAGAGAAAGATACCTATTCACTTGTCAATTCATTTTGTAAGTTAGCTATTATAACGTAGAAGCAGGCACATATGTACACAGTCCAAGTTGCCATACCGCATTAGCACAGCATGCTGAACACCGGATTCATAGAAGTCGTTACTTTATTGGTGGCAATATATAAAAGAAAGATTAAATATAAGGATATAGTACAGGAATAAAGGGAAGAGAGTGTATACATCGAGGCCATTGTGATCGATTCTGAGCCATGTCACACAAAGTCTTCAGCCATTGGTTATGATAGTCATGCGGACCCCGATCAAGTAGTCTGCATCTACCAACATGGCTAAGACTAGGAGTTAGTAACCTTAATGACTGATGCCACGTTTTGGTATGGCCACTCCTAAGTTTTTCCATCCGCCTGCAACAGCATTGTGTATCGTGGTAATCGGTGTTCAGGGATACATAATACGTGACCCAACCATATTAGTCGATGAAGATTTACAAGTTCATCAACTGATTTTCTATCATTCCCTAATACACTGCGTCTAACCTCGCCATTACTTGGTGATTTTAGCACATATGAGCTATATTTCTAAGACATCTAATTAAGTAGTATCATTTTGTCCAACAAAGATAACTAGTTTAAAATTTCTTGAATCTCAGTTACACATCGGTGGAGCAACAAAAGCATATGAATCAATAGTTCATTTGAAGATTCTAACATCACTATACATCCTTTCATTTGAATACCTCATCATCGAATACATTAGCTCTAATTCACTTGGTATTGTTTTACTTAAATCTTCCCATTGATATGTTCGGACTGCAATTGATCAGTCTCTTATTGGTATATGTGCATATTGTACGTATTACCTTCATATTGCCTTAATTTACAAGCATCAGGATTCAGTAGCTTAGTAGATAACGCCATAAGGTGTTTGAAGTGAATGTTACTGAGTATGAGTCCTAAAGTGAAAATCAACTCTGTGCTGCAGATACATCCAGTGGACGAGTCCCAAATAGAATGAAATGACGTGCATCAAACTAGATTTCACTTCTAATCCTATCTATCTTTACTTCTTCAGAATCATCTTATCCAATTCTTCGAACACTTCCACTGAAGATCCAGTCAATGATGATAACCAATTAAATCAAGTTAAGATAAGTAACAATTCTAATAATGAATCCTTTATCTCATCTATATCATCTCATCAATCAACTCCATTGAATTCATCAATGATTCATTATATACCTCAAATACAAAAAGGTAAAGGTATTCTATTCAGTGTGAATGCACAATTAATTCTAGCAATTAAAGTCATTCAAGGTATATTAACATTAACACAGAATCGTCTGATATTTGATACATCTATTCATAATGTCATTAACGATAATAATAGTAATCTATCTAATGATGATTACAATACTACTAATGATACTACTGAATTATCAATACCATTTGGATATAAAATTATCAATGAAAAACTAGATGTAAACAATACAAAATTGAATCATTGTAAGTTAATGAATTCTTTTAATTAGTTTATGGTGTTGATATTGATTATAAGCTAATGAAGTATTCAGTTGTTGTTGTTGTTGTTGCTTTTGTGTGTGAGTGGCCTAATATCTGACAGTTGAGATCATGAGTCAATTGAAGCTAGACTACTATAGAAAACCTGGAAGCACTGGACGGCCGTTTCGTCCTATTGTGAGACTCCTCAGCAGTTCAATAAACTAATGATCTCAACTGTTTAAAATTACTACAATCTCCACAAAACCCCTTCTGATACTAATCAACATATGCTCACTAGTGACTGGCTTCAAGATATATATCCTGGAGTTCTAGTGAGAAGCAGTGACCAGTGGAGTTCAACCGGGTCTGTTGTGAGGTAGTAACTCACTGATGACAATGGTGGATGTGTCACTCAATTTCGTGGTTTGGTTGAAGTTAGACATTAACACCGTTGGATACCGGCTCGGTAGTCTAGTGGTTAAGCGTTTGCACGCGAGACTGGTTGGTCCTGGGTTGGAATCTCACGAGACGGGACTGTAGATGTGCACTTCTGAGGAGTCCCACAATAGGACGAAACGGCCGTCCAATGCTTCCAGGTTTCCCATGATGATCTAGCTTCAATTGACTCATGATCTCAACTGTTGAAATTACTACAATCTCCACAAAACCCTTTCGGAAACTGTCTCATACCCATCACGGGTTTGACTCCATTGATTACGGCTTCTCACTAGAAATTCAGAAGATCTATGTTGAATCTCGTCACTAGTTAGCATATGATTATTATTAGTAGCATGAAGTGTTACTCAAGATCATGGTCTGATATCTGACTGCAATTTGATGATTTCTGATTGCTTGTTATTGATAATATACATGTCGTCAATTCTTGCATATATAATCCTCAACAGTGTGCATCAATGATTCCACAATGAACGGACTGGAACACTTCATCTCTAGTCGATTGAACTTTTTGGCATCCAACGGTGTTCATGTCTAATTTCAATCGATCCTTGATCTTGAACAACATTTGACGTGTTGTTTGAGGTTGATAACTGTCTCATACCGAACACGAGTTTCATTCTATTGATTACGGCTTCTCACCAAAAAATCAGAAGATCTGTCTTGAATCTAATCACTAGCGAGCATATGATTATTATTAGTATGAAGGGTTACTCAAAATCATAGATCGATTGAAGTTTGAGAATAACATCTCTTGTTGATGGTTCAGTGGTCTGGAGGCTAAGCACTCGCAATTGAGACCAAAAGTTCTGGGTTTGATACGTTTTAATGTGGAACCATTGATGCACACTGCTGCAGAGTCCCATACTGTGAATAATCGACTGTGCATTGATTCTATGTTTTCAATGGCAGTCTAGATTTAACAGACTCACGAATTCAACTATTAAAAAGCCAGATAATTTGATGCAAGAATAAATGATCCAGTTAAACTCGTCAATCTAAATGTATATGAATGATATCAACAATTCACCATACTTGTATTTCGTTTTAAAGAATTTTTTCGATTATCTACTTGACAAAGCGATTAATATATCTATATAAATAAAAGCAAAGCAAGGGTCGCATTCATACAGTTGAAGAATATATGGAACTCAAAACAACTCACAACCAATATCGAAGTAAGTATCTTCAATACGAACGTCAACACAGTTCTACTGTATGGAGGTGAAACATGAAGAACTACTACAACCATCATCAAAATGGTATAAGTTTTTATGAATAGTTTTTCACTCAATATACTCAATATTGGTTGGCTGGATATCATTAGCAACAGCCTACTGTAGGAGAGAACAAACCAGCTTCGAAGTGAAGAGGAAATTAGGAAAATACATTGGAGTTGGATAGGACACACATTGAGGAAATCATCGAACTGCATCACTAGGCAAGTTCCAACTTGTAATCCTGAAGGGAAGCGGAATAGAGGAAGGCCAAAGAACACATTACGTCTGGAAATAGAATCAGATATGAAAAGGATGAATAACAATTGGAAAGTGCTAGGAAGGTTTGCTTGGGACAGGGTTGGATGGAGAGGTTTAACATGCGTAAGTAAGTAGGTAAATATAAATCAAACTTCACTTCATTTCATAAGCCAGTGTCTATCTGGACTTAGTAGATAAGTAAATTGCTCAATGGTATTTAAAACAAACGATACTGGTTTGAAGTCATGGAGGTAGATATCAACTATGGGATACAGGCATATCCAGCAGATAATTCTTACATCAGACGAGATACACATCTAAGATTTCACTGAAAGCCACTATTCATCTCTACTTTAACTATCTACTAGATAATTTACTCTTTATATTTTCATTTATTTCACTTTTCAGCTAGACAAATATTCTATATTCGATATAATTGGTCATTAGCTAAATTACGTGAATTACATTTACGTCGTTACAATCTACGTCGTTCAGCTATTGAGATATTTTTTGAAAACAATTCTAATTATTTTTTTAATTTTGAAACTAAAGTAAGTTGAAGTTGAGGTTAGTTTCTATCATATTGACCTATCAAACTTATAAAGCACTTTATTTATTCCCATTCATTATTAAGCGTTTAATACTGTTGAAGTTTTAATATCTGACATAGAAACATAGAGAGAGGGGGCATTTACGCAACTAAAATTGAAACAAACTGAACAATGGTTTAACATAGAAATGTACCACTGGAGCTTTAGGTCTTTAATTATATGTTTGGATTATCTCACAGATCTAGGAGGAAACATCTTTTCGAAATAATTCAAATCAACATTCTATGTTTCTATGTATTGTATTGAGAGATCATGATTGTTTAACTTCTCAAATAAGAACTGCTAAATAAAACGTAAAATTATCGCGGGTCATTCGAATGTAGCAGTTTTTATCTTTGAGATAAGTTAATTAATTTTATTTTAACTGTTTAACTACTCATAAGTAGACAAACGGGCTGTGTAAAATAAACCTGATCAGTACGAACTTTAGTTAGAAGTGAGATGTTCGACATTTGCACTGCTGATGATGTCGTTCAGAAGCATGATGAAAGCTTCACAGTCAAGCCATCCACATTAACCATATATGTATATATATATTCTGCATTATCTGATTTTCAATTACTGACATTTACTTTCATGTTTAAATAAATCTAGATTCGTAATAAATTCTATTCGATCATTATGAGTTTACGATTACCAAGATTAGTTTATAGTCAAGGTCGTAATCCTAGAGAAACACTTAAATTATCTGGACTTACAGAAGTAAGTTATGATGTAATTCATTATGTTTATCTTATTTATTCTATTTCATTGAATTTCATTAAGATATATATTAACTGTGTATCATTGAATGCTGAGATTAACATACTTATCATGTGATCTGTTGAGTTGGGATTCGATTTTGTTCTCATTCTCTTTTCTTTGATCTTCTTAATCTTCTGCGCCAGACGTTTCACTTTCGATCGATGATACATACTACTTATAACTATCGACATCAATAGTGCACAGTACAAGGTCATTTCTTGACAAACGTTGATTTTAAAATGATACATAATTGCGTAACCCTACATTCATTGTCTTAGGTGGATAAATGTCTCACAATTGACACCCATTAAACTCCACTGGCGGTTTCATCCTATTGTTGGACACGAAACGGCCGTCCAATACTTTCAGGTTTTCATGATGGTCTAGCTTCGACTGACTCATGATCTCAACCATTGAAATTTTATGATTATTATTCAGTTTTTATCATTATGACCTTCGTGGATTGGTTGAAATTCGACATTAACACTGTTGGATGCGAACAATTTCAGTGGTCTAGAGGTTAAGCGTTCACGCGCAAGACTGATAGATCCTAGGTTCAAATCTCAGGGAGTGAGATCGTGGATATGCATTGCTAAGGAAGTCCTATACTAGGATGAAACAGCCATCCAGTACTTCCAGGATTTCTATGATGGTCTATCTTCAATTGACTCATGAATTATATGACCTTTATGTTTATCAATTAAACAATTATATGACCTATAAATTAGTATCATTTTTCTATTCTTCTCTAATCCCCTTGAGTTATTACGTAGCCTCATGTGATAATAAGTTTCGACTGAATTGATGATGTAATCTTTTCTATCCTTTTGTATTTTCCATATAACTATCACAATGAATATACAGCTTACATATACTTAATGTTCTATTCAATAATACAATAGGATTCATATTCATGAATTGAATAGAAGGAGAATATAAAAAAGAAATCTAACCATTAAATATTATATAAGTAGTAAATTCTTTGAGTATTTCAGTAGTAAATGAGCAGGAGATTAAAAGTTTTATTGATTTTAATCTCTATTAACTAACTTTTTAGTTAACATTTTCTCTAATAAATTAAATTTCTATTAGGATGGAGTTGGTAACCTCATGCCCAACCCTCCTCTTTTATCCAGACTTTAGACCGGTAGTAGCCACAGAAGCGAAAATTAATCATTTTTTTTAAATTTCCATCTTATTTCTTGTTGTTATTCGTGTAAAGCATCATCACTCTTTTTGTTTATTCTCAGAGATGATTAAAAAGTGGATTATAACAAGAAATAGAGAGAAGTTTAAAGATTGAAGAGATGAAACTGTGGTGGAATTAAAGAAACAGAGAAAGAGAGAGAAAGAAAAAAAGAGATAAACACACACACACACAAAGAAACGAAAAACTAGTGGACAATATTATAAGCAAAGATGAATAATTAGATGGTGGCTGGAGGTAGTTAACAAACAACCGTGGACCCAGGTTTCATGCTACTTGGCACTCGTAAGTAAGGTCTACCTATAATCTTGAGGGAACTGATGCTCCCCGACGGATGGTTGATAACATTCGATCTGCAGTAAGAAGGGCTTGACACACATGACATTGACCACCCAGTGATCAACCAATTGTGATTACATCTCACTCCTACAGGAAGTCGGTCGCGGCCCAGATAGCCCTGTGGTAACGTCTCTGACCGTGAAGCTGGATGACACGAGATCGTATCAGTTAGGGAGCACTAGTTCCTTCAAGATTACAGATACACCTTGCTGACGAGTGCCAAATATCACGAAACGTAGATGGGGCAGGGTTTCCTGTTAACTACCTCCAACCGCCATCTGATCTCAACATGGTGCGCGCAATGTCGAGTCATCTAGACTTGTGGCCACATTGCAACTTAGACGATAGCATTCGATCTGCACTAAGAAGGATTTGATATACATGAAATTGATCGCCACCCAGTGATCAACCAATTGTGAAAGATGGATAATGGATAACAATGAAATCCAGTTTAACGCGCGTTTCGTCCTATTCGGACTCGTCAACTGGATTTACCTGCATCCCATAGTTGATGTTCACTCCAAGACTCTAACCCAATACCATTTGCTTCAACCTCCATCGCATTACCCTTTTAACTTCTAAGTCCTGATAGCCACTTGCTTGTGCTATGGGGTGAAGTTTAAATTCACTTGGTGCTGTTTTACTTGTATCTTCCCATTGTTGTATAGGACTGTAATTGATCAGTCTCTTGATAGCATATGTACATCCTGTGCTCACTGCCTCGATATTGTCTGAAGTCACAAGCTTTATAAGCAAAGCTTGCTAGTGGCTAGCAGTGGAGTCCATTGCACCCCATTGCATAAGCTATTGGCTACCAAAACTTAGTAGTTCAGTGGATAACCCGATGGCGTTTGAAGCGAACGTTACTGGATTCGAGTCTCGGAGTGAACGTCAACTCAGAGATGCAGGTACATCCATCTGACAAGTCCTAAATAGGACGAAGTGATGCGCATCCTGGATTTCACTGCTAGCCACTATCTATCTTCGCTTATTAAAGATATATTTCGTTAAATTGGGAATTCATGAAATCGGAAGAAAATCTAGTTGAAGAAAAAGCATTAAAACTGATAACTTCTATAAGTGTAGTGCTTGTTACTTAAAATATACATAAAAGTAATGATTGTTCTTTTTCTATATTTTTAGCGTTGGGTAAATAGAGAAATATCAAATTTTGAATATCTAATGCGTTTGAATACAATAGCTGGTCGAACATTTAATGATTTAGGTCAATATCCTGTGGTAAGTAGAGATCCTCTTTGAAGATGTTTGTTTGAATTTAGTTTGCTTAACATACTGATATCAAATAAGTAAACTATTAAGAAACTGGAAACACAAGATTTTTGTTTCGTCTTAGTTTAAGAAACCTGGAAATTGTATCCCTTAAACTCGTACATGAGATCGAGTATTGTCAAGTAACCCTCTGGTTTCTCGTGATTCTTTGTGGTGTGAATCAGTCTTAACTTATAGTCTGTAAGAATATAAGTTATGTAGGACTATACTTTATGCACTGAAATAACTTATGGGAGATGATATTAGGTAGTTAACTTGATGTGTAAAGCTAATTATTGGTTCCCTACTTTAAGAAATAATTATAACATGGTTACAACCTGCGTCTGAATAGATTTTGTGTAAAAGGTTTTTGGTAGTTATTAAGTGTTAGAGTTTACATCAATAACTGGTCTTAGTTAAACAACCACTGGAAATCAGAAATATTGGACAATTTTTTTCGTCTTAATATGAGGCTTCTTTGTACTGCGCACCTACGACCACCCTGGAGGTTGGAAAGAGGAACTACAGGTTTATTGATAAGCTTTTAGTATCTTCACTACTGTATCAGCATACAATGATATAACTTCATTCAATTCATAATATAAAATAATCATCTTCCAATACCATTGGTGAGTTATGTATTTCAGCTAATATGATTAAATCTCACTGGCTACGGCTTCTCACCATGACTCCCAACATTGATTTTCGGTTCTTATCTCACTAACGTTAGCATATGATGTGAACTATGAAATGCAACAATCTCAGAAAATCCTGTAGTCTAGCAATAGTTGTATGCTTGTTAGTTTCTAATATTGAGGGACGATTTCCAGAGTTCTAATGAAAAGCCAATGACTAATTGAATTCAACCACGTCGAGTGTAAGGCAGTTACTTACCAACAGTACTACCAAATAGTTTTGCAATATCATGAACTAAATGCAGTTATCAGAAGGGGGTTTTGTGGAGATTTTAGTAATTTTGTAGTTGATTTCATGAATCAATTCAAGCTTGACTAGTGAAGCAGTGACCGGTAGAGTTCAACCGGGTCTTTTGTGAGATAGTAACTCATTGAAGACAGTGGTGGATGTTTCGCTCAATTTCGTGGATTAGTTGAAGTTAGACATTAACACCATTGAATGCCTCCTCAGTGATCTACGGATTTAGCTTTCGCGCACGAGACTGATAGGTTCTAGGTTCTAATCTCGCTAGGCGGGATCATGGATTCGAACTTCTGAGGAGTTCCACAATGGGACGAAACGGCCGTCCAGTGCCTCCAGGTTTTCCATGGTGGTCCAACTTTAATTGATCCATGGAATCGGCTATACATGCAGTTAGTTTAAAAGTATAAAAGTGGATATTATCGTTTTCTTTTTCTTTTTCTTCTTCTGAAATTTCTTGGTACAGTTTCCTTGGATTTTAGCTGATTATACTTCTTCAGAATTAGATTTAAATTCACAACATACATTTCGTGATCTTTCACGACCTATTGGATTAGCTAATCCGAAATTCATTGAAGAAGTCAGAGAGAAGTGAGATTTTAATCTATTTGAATCATGTTTTATTATTGATTATATAAAGATAAGACATATATATTTGATTTACTTTTGTGGAGAATACTGATTGGCAGCCTATGCCCCATCGGGAGTAACAGCCGTAAGTAAGTAACTTTTGTGGAATATCAGTAACACATAAATCATTCGATTTGTGTGAGGGATTGGATACTGCCCTGGGTGCAAAAACCGCAACAGGTGGTTTTATTAGGAGGCTACACCCGGAGCCTTCGATCTGAAGGTCTGACCCACAAGCCATTGGAGTAACGTAAGGAGATGCAGTCCCATGGTAGCCGGTGACCAACAATAGGTCCATATACCATTTTTTCCTTCAGGATACTGGAGCCCATTTAAACCATTGGTATGGAATGAGGGTTTTCCAACTTCCCTAGGTGGATTCACTATGTCCATCAACCCGGTTAAAGTGTCGGACATTCGCTATTCTTCCTCTTAATTTCGTAAATAACACCTGCTTGAGAAGGCAGTGAGTAGGAGTTCCGTGGTAGTGGTAGTGTGCATGTGGCCGTATGAGAGTAATTGGAGAGGGAGAGCTGACTCTCCCCACTCTCAGCCGTATCAGGGCATAGTGACAAGTACTATTCTTTTTTTTGAGAACTGATTCCAGTGGATTGATTTCCATACTATTATCTTGTAAATATTTAATGTGGAATAAAGAATAGATCATTTGGAGAGCTGAGTAGTACCACTAAACAATGACATATTGATCTGATACTTTCCAATCGATTCATTACATTTAACATTCAACATTAAATTTAAGTTATTTGAGTGTCGCTTGCTGAACTTTTTACCTGAATAATGTAGAAAACAAACATTGAACAAAATTCTTCTATAAAATCATGCTTGTAAGTATCGGTATTATCTTTTTGATTGAAATCATGAATCGATCGATGTTAGACAACCACTGGGAACTTGTAAGCGTTGGACATCCGTTTCGTTCTAATACGAGGCTCCTCAGAAGTTCGCGTTCAAGATTCTGGGTACGAACCCCGCGTGTGAGATCGTGAATGCACACTTCTGGGGAGTCTGGTACTAGGACGAAACGGCCGTCCAGTGTTTCCAGGTTTCCACTGGTGGTAGTCTAATATCGATCGATTCATAATCTCAATCAGAAACTTAACAATCTCCACAACCCAATATTGATAATCAGTATTATCATTAATTACATTTACAATATATTGAATTCATTTACCAGAAGGGTTTTGTGGAGATTTTTAGAAATTTCACTGACTGAAATTATGAGTCAATTGAAGCTAGACCACCATGGAAAACCTGGAAGCACTGGACAGCGCGAGACTGATAGGTCCTGGGTTCGAATCTCGCGGGGTGCAGGATCGTGGATGCGCACTACTGAGGAGTCCCATACTAGGACGAGACGGCCGTCCAGTGTTCCCAGGTTTTCCATGGTGGTCTAGCTTCAATTGACTCATGATTTCAATCAGTAGAATTCATTTACATTTAAATGCTTTAATTGAGATTTTGTTTTTTTTCTCTATGTTATATTACCTACTAAGATATAATTCATTTGAAGATCCAAGTGGTGTTATGCAAAAATTTCATCATGGAACTCATTATTCAAGCGCTGCTGGTGTCTTGCATTATCTTGTCCGTTTGGAACCGTTTACAACGTATCATGTAAATTTACATGGAAATAAGTTAGTATAATTCAGTTAGTGTTTATAATATTTCTTATAAGATACTGTTGTTAAACCCATGTCCAACTTTCCTCTTTTACAAAATACTAGGACTGATAGTAATCCTAGAAAGGCTTCAGGAGGAGTTACTTACTTAGTGAGGCCTGTTACTCTTAGTTGAGAGGCATAGACCATCGACCAGGATTCTTCAACCAACTCTGTTCGGCTTTCCCTTTCCCCTTGTTTTTACATGCTGTTCATTCCTTTGATATTTGCCTGCAATTTCTGGCTCAATATTTTCATTGACTCTCCTCTCTTCGTTTGAATTTCAAGATTTCAAGATAACACTTGCCTCGAGGTTCAGTTTGATGAAAACCACAATGTATGTCCTATCCACTTTCAACATCTTTTACTAATTTCCTCTTCATTTTGAAGCTGGTTTATTCTCTCCTACAATAGATGGTCGTATCCGGTCTACGGACGTTGAGCATTTTACGTAGACAATTGTTCATAAGTACTTGTACATTTTTGATGATTGTTGTAGTAGTCATCCACGTTTCAACTTCGTACAGTAGAACTACGTTGACGTTCGTATTGAAGAATTTGACCATGATGTTGGTTGACAGCTGTTTCGAGTTTCAATCGTTCTTTAATTGTAGGAATGCTGTCCTTGCTTTTCCAATCTTTGCCTTTACGTCTACATCAGATCCTCCTTGTTCATTGATGATGCTACCCAGATAAGTGAAACTTTCCACCTCTTTCAGAGTTTCTCCATTAAGTGTGATTGGGTTGCACTCTGTGCTGAATTTGAGTATCTTGCTTTCTCGCTTGTGTATGTTGAGGATTACTGCTGCAGAGGCTACTGCTACACTGGTTGTCTTCATCTGTATTTGTTCGTGCATATGGGATAGAATAGCCAGGTCATCTGCAGAGTTCAAATCGTCTAGTTGCATACAAGCTGTCCATTGTATTCTGTGCTTTTCCTCAAATATCAAGGTCTTTTTAATCCAATCAACCACTAGAAGAAAGAGAATGCCCGAGAGTAATCAATAGTCACTTTATCCTACAGTAAGGTTCTTTCACACAAATTCTATTTATTTCTATGTTCAGAATAATTAATTACATCAATATCAACTCTGAGATGCTGATACATTCAGCTGGATAAGTTTTACGTATTCTTCAACAGAAATCATGAAATCCTATTAGAGTGTAATGGTATTGGAAGTTTTATCGATTTTTCAAAACTTCTTAATAGTTCATTTTGTTTATTGGTTGTTTGAATAATCCCATTGATGTTTAAGACTACAATTGAATAGTCTCTGTTGTTGGCTTATGTGTATGCTGGATATTGGTTAGTAGTGGAATCAAGGACACGAGCCTTTTTGTCTTATTTGAGACTAATCATCTGAATATACCTGAATTATAGAGTTGATTTTCTGCTAGGTTTGAAGCTATCAAGAGTTCACTTGATCTGCGAACGAGAACAAAGACTCAGTGACCAATGACCAGTAGGCTAGCTATTTGATTCGTCCTAGCCCGCTAACTAGACGGAGAAGACCAAGCTTCAAACCTGGCATTTTCACTCCATAACTCGAACCCAGTACCGTTTACTTCAGACACCACTGAGTTATCCATTTACTTAACTACTAAGTTTTGATAGGTTGCATAGATTTTCTTATTGATGTTAAAGACTAAATTGATCAATCTGTTTTTTTTTTTCTTTTTAATGATAGATTTGATGTTGCAGATCGTCAATTCTATTCTATTCCAAAAGCATGGCGTTTTATATTAGATAATCCAAATGATAACAAAGAGTTAATTCCGGAATTTTTCTTTTTACCTGAATTTCTACGAAACAGTAATAGTAAGTTATATCACATTTCTAAACTAAATAAATATTGATTGTAAGGAAAGATAACTAGTGATTAGTAGTGGAATTCAGGACGTACACAACTTCGTCCTATTTGGGTCTCTCATCAGCTAGATGTACCTACATCTCAGACTTGTTGGTGTTCACTCTGGGACTCGTACCGTAGTATCGTTCGATCTGAACTCCAGATCGTTACTCTCTTAGCTACTGATTCCTGATAGGCATTAGTTTGTGCAATGGGGTGAAGGTTAAATGTACTTAGTATTGTTTAATTGAATCTTCTCATTGATGTTTAAGACTGCGATTGATCAATCTGTTATTGGCATATGTGCACATTGCGCGTAACTCCTCGATTGATAATCATCACAACTTCTTACTAGAATTCCAAGTAATCACTTCAGAAATCATTTTATGATAATTGTTTCTAGTTTATATATCAAGGTGTAAGTTGATATTCACCAATTAAATCACACTTGACAGAGAAGATTTGGAAGATGTAAAAATCTTTACATATTTGAGCAGCATCATTGATAAACACTGTAGATCTGATGCAGATGTGAAGGTGAGGATCTTCAAAGCAAGATCAGCATATCTAGAGTTGAATAACATCTGGAACTCAAAACAACTGTCTGTCAACCAACACCAAGGTTAGAATTTTCAATACAAATGTCAAGACAGTTCTATTGTATGTAGAGGAAAATTGGGGAACTACGAAAGCAATCATCCAGAAGATACAGATGTTTATTCAGAGTTGTCTTCGCAAAATACCTCGGACACTATCAGCAACAACCTAAATTGAGAGAGAGCAAACCAGATTCCAGCAGAGGAAGAAATCAAGAAGAAGTGTTAGAAGTGGATAGGATACACATTGAGGAAAGCACCAACCTGTGTCACAAGGCAAGACCTCATCACTTGGAATCCTCAAGACCAAATGATGATAAGGAGGCCAAAGAAGAACACATTACATCAAGAAATGGAGACAGAAATGAGAAGAATGAACAACAATTGAATAGAACTAGGAAGGAAGGTCTAGGACAGAGTGAGTTGGTTGGAGAATGCCGGTTGGTGGCCTATGCTCCACTGGGAGTAACAGGCGTAAGTAAGTACTTAAGTTGATATTCAATACATAGATTCAATAATCATGAAGAACTAGTTTAAGTTCATCTTCTGGTCACGTTTAAAATGTTTCAATGGTTAAGATCATGGGTCAATTGAAGCTAGACCACCATGGATAGTAACTCACTGAAGACAATGGTTGATGTTTTGCTCAATTTCGTGGATTAGTTGAAGTTAGACATTAATACCGTTAGATGCCGGCTCAGTGATCTACAGGTTTAGCTTTCGCGCACGAGACTGATAGGTTCTAGGTTCTAATCTCGCTAGGCGGGATCATGGATTCGAACTTCTGAGGAGTTCCACAATGGGACGAAACGGCCGTCTAATGCTTCCAGGTTTTCCATGGTGGTCTAGCTTCAATTGAATCCTGATCTTAATCATTGAAACTACTATAATATCCACAAAGCACATCTGACGTTTAAAATAACCTGAGATTTATAGATGACCAACATGAAAACATCATGTAATTATCCAGCTTAAGTCTTATATCGTCATGTTTTCATTAGTTTATTTATCATTCCCATTGGAATATTAACTTATACTTACAATACTATACTCTTTCTTTATTCACAAACAAACAGATTTTGATTTAGGCTTTCGTCAATATAATCAAAATCGTATTCATGATGTAGAACTACCGAATTGGGCTTCAACACCAGAAGAATTTATACGTAAACATCGTGGTGCATTGGAATCTGATTATGTTTCATCACATTTACATTTGTGGATTGATTTAATTTTTGGGTAAATTTTAATTAATTACTCATATTATTATTATTATTAAATACGTCGTTACAGTCGAACTGATAATGTGTTCCTATCAGAGGGGTTGAGATCATGAGTCGATTGAAGATAGACCAATATGAAAAACCTGGACGCATTGGACGGTTATTTCGTCCCATTGTGGGACTCCTCAGCAATGCGCATCCACGATCTCGCCCCGCGAGATTCTAGTGAGTTCTAATGAGATGCAGTGAGATAGTAACTCCCTGAAGACAATGGTGGACGTGTCGCTCAATTTCGTGGATCGGTTGAAGTTAGACATTAACACCGTTGGTTACCAGCTCAGTGGTCTAGTGATTAAGCGCTTGCGTGCGAGATTAATAAGTCCTGGGTTCTAATCTTGCCAGGAGGGGTTGTAGATGCGCACCGCTGACGAATCCTATACCAGGACGAAACAGGCGTCCAGTACTTCCATGTTTTTCATGGTGTTCTATCTTTAAATAACTCATGAAGTCAACTATTAATACAAATGAATTAATATTTATTTATTTCATTATTTACAGTTATAAACAACGTGGTCCAGATGCAGTGAATGCATTGAATGTATTCAATTTTGTAACATATGAAGGTGCTGTAGATTTAGATAAAATTAGTAATTCATGTGAACGTGAAGCTTTAGAAAGTATGATACAGAATTTTGGACAAACTCCAAGTCAATTACTTAAAGTAAGTAAATAATTTCTATGACATAATTGATTTATATCATCTATATATAAAAGATTGTATGTGTTCTTTTAAAAATTCACTGTTCAGAGACACTACTTACGTATATGATAAGTCTTCTTCAAGTCCCCAAATACCCTGATACGGCCAAGGTTAGGGAGAGTTAGCTCTCCCACTCCATATGCTTTCATATGGCCACGCGTACATAGCCACTGTCAGGGACGTCCTACTTATTGCGTTCTCACACAACGTGTGTTGTTTATGGAATTGAGAGGACGAAAGGCGAATGTCCAACACTTTAACCGTGTTTGTGGATTTGAGGATCCATCTACAGGAGTTGGTAAACCCTCATTCCAAACCAATGGTTTAAATGGGCTCCAGTATCCTGAAGGAAAAAATTGGCTCATGAACCTATTGTTGGTCACCGGCTACCATGGGACTGCATCTCCTTACGTTACTCCAATGGCTTGTGGGTCAGACCTTCAGATCGAAGGCTCCGGGTATGGCGCCCTTAGAAAACGACCTTCCTCAGTCTGGGCACCAGGGCAGTATCACAGCGCACACACAAATCAACTGACTTATATGGCACATATGTATTCGTTGCCACTTTTGTACCAATATTATTGTGTTCGTTTTACACCACAAGTCTCTTAAACACTAAAGCCAATACCTACTTTAAACATCGTAAATGTTGATTGGATGACCTTTTAGTACGCAGTGAACCAGAGAACTATGTAGTTTGTTTATATATTCACAATTGATTGGTCACTGGGTGGTGACCAATGTCATGTGTGTCAATTCCTTCTTAGTGCAGATTGATTACTATCGACCAAGTTGTAATGTGGCCACTAATCTAGGTGACCCGACATTGCGTGCACTATGTAGAGATTAGATGGTGGTTGGAGGTAGTCAACAGGAAACCCTGCCCGATCTAGGTTTCGTGCTATTTGGCACTGGTCAACAAGGTGTACCTGTAATCTTGAAGGACCTGGTGCTGGGTAACACGGGATCGAATTCGTAAAGAAGCGCCAGTTCCGTCAAGATTACAGGTACACTTTGCTGACGAGTTCCAAGTAGCACGAAACCTCCAACCACCATCTTGTTTATATATATTCGATAATTTTAATGTTTGAATATACTTTCTTGAAAAAAGCCAAATGAAACGTTGGATTTACTTGAAATTCATCCTTCCTCTTTAATGTCTCATATCAATAAGGTGCCCAAATATTATGAAACTATTCGATGAAATTTAGACAAAAGTTCTTATATATGAAACCCTTGATTGTTTGTTTTTTTATGATTTTTCATTAATAACATTCAATTCAATCCTATCGAAATCATTTAAACAAATGACTTTGATCAACTAGGTCAGCGAGACGATAGCAACCGATGGTTAGAGACCTTGAAAGTGACGGCTCGAAATCGTTTGCAATGATGTGCACAGGTGCATCCACTCTTTGTGTTCTCCCAAATTCTAATCTTCTCAATTCTTCATTTCCTTTTTTTCCACTTTTCAAATTTATTTCGCTGGATTATATTGCTTGAATAACATCTTCAAACCCTAATGTTTCCTATTACTGCTTATACATTTACTACGTCTACCACTATGGGATTTGAATTGACAATTGTATCTCTGTGCTAATGTGGTAAGGAAACTCGAACTGATGTACGTACGTACGAAGTTCTACGTTGTTGATTGACTGTCTGATTGTAAAGAAATTACTTCTTTTTGATGTAATTTTGTTCTCTGAGCTGGATGGTTTAGTCGTGGAGCCTTCATCATTCTTCTGAACGATGTCATCAGCTCGAACTTCAGGTAGAAGTGAATTCGTTGAATTTCTTCACATATGGTTCACAGCTTGTCTTTTAGACCTGGATGTTTGATTGGTTTTTGTTGACATTAAATCTGTCATTGTTTAGTTCTTTGTCTTGGTTGTATCTCCCACCATCTTGAAATTACTAGAATTGATTTGGATCACTTCTTGTGGTTATAGATGACTTGATTAGATGTATGGTTACAGGTAATATCAAACAATACTTCTGTTTTACAATCTCTAAATGATTTAGATCAAAGTCAGACGAATTGAAATCTCGATAGCTGCTTGTAGTCAACTACTGAAGTCTGTCAGTCAGTGGTTGGAAAACCTGTCAGACGTAAGCTAATTTGATATTATTTGGAGGACTTGACACACATGACATTGATCACCACCCAGTGATCAATCAATTGTGATTACATCTCAGTCCTACAGGAGGTCAGTCGCGGCCCGGATATCCAAGTGGTAACGTCTCTGACTGTGAAGTTGGGTGACACGAGATCGAATCCGCCAGGGAACACTAGTTCCCTGAAGATTACAGGTACACCTTACTGACGAGTGCCAAATAGCACGAAACGTAGATGGGGCAGGGTTTCCTGTTAACTACCTCCAACCACCATCTAATCTCAATATATAGTGCCTGCAGTGTTGAGTCATTTAAACTTGTGACCACATTGCAGCTTGGTTGATAGAATTCGATCTACACTAAATAAGGCCTTGATATACATGAAATTGATCGCCACCCAGTGATCAATCAATTGTGGAGGGAGTATGACATCTGACATTCAAATGATCTTCAATGACTAGATTAGAATATTGAACTAACAGATTCATATGTGTAAAGTATGCAAACTGACTAATCTAGTAAAATATTGTGTTACATTCTAACTTTTTCACCATACACCAATCAGACTACATTTAATTCATGCTCAGTACGAGTTATTCAAATTAAATGATTTTAATTATTTGATCAGTTTAGTGTTTGTCATAATCATTTAATTATCTCTGTTTCTTTTTAGTAGTTGAATTCATGAGTAGATCTAAGCTACAGCACCATTAAAAACCTGAAAACAGTAGACGGCCGTTCGGTCCCATTATGCGACTCCTTAAAATTGTGCATCTACGATCCTGCTCGCGAGACTCAAACCCCAAGACCTTCGGTCTCTCGAACGAACACTTAACCTCTAGTCCATATGGCTGAGATATTATCCGGGTGCTCAAACCAAAGCAGGTGGTTTTATTAGGGGACCACTCTCCAAACCTTTGACCCAAAGGTTTATTCCACAATTCAGTGGAGCAACGTAAGGAGATGCACCCCCATAGTAACCGGTGACAAATGATTGATCCATACTTCATTCTTTCATTCAGGACCCTGGAGCGCATGTGCACCCTTTGTTTGGATTCAGGATCCTCGGTGTCCATCAACCCGGTTGAAGTGTCGAACATTCACCTTCTATCCTATCAATTTAGTAGACAGCAGTAATGCCACGAGAATACAGTGAGTAGGACTTCCCTGTCAGCGGTTGTATGCACATGGTCATATGAGAGCTTTACGAGTGAGAGAGCGGACTTTCCCACACTCAGCCCTATCATGGCATTTGAGGGCTTCTCAGAATATTTCATACCATGACCAAAAACCATTATGATAAGAAGAATAATTTTTACAAACTTCTAATCAATAATAATTTTAATTCACTTGGTATTGTTTTACTTGAATCTTTCCATTGATGTTTAGGACTGCGATTGATCAGCCTCTTATTGGCATATGTGTATACTATGTGTATTACTTCGATATTACCTTAATTTACAAGCATCATAAGCAAAAATGGATAAAGGCTTGCACTGGGATCCAGGACGTGCATTTCGTCCTATTTGGGACTCTTCAGCTTATAATACTTGTAAATTAAGGCAATATCGAGGCAATACACATAGTATGCATATATGCCAATAAGAGACTGGTCAATTGCAGTCTTAAAACTCAATGAGAAGATTCAAGTAAAACAATATCAAATGAATTTAAACTTCACCCCATTGCACAAGCTAGTTTCTATTAGGATTCAGTAGCTAAAAGTGGATAACGTGATGACGTTTGAAACAAACGGTGTTGAGTTCGAGTCCCCAGATGAACATAAACAAGTCTGAGATGTTGGTACATCCAGCTGACAAGACTCAAATAGGATAAAGTGTCGCTTGTCCTAGATTTCACTCCTAACCACTATCCATCTTTGTTAATAATTATTTTATTATTATTATTTTTCTTTCAATCTATAATTACAGGTACCACATCCAAAACGTTTAACCTATTCTGAATGGTTATCTATATTAATTCATCAGTGTAGATTACCTGTTATTAGTTTATTAACTTATACTAATCTTAAACATGACAATTCAATACACAAACATAACTCCTTAATACAATCAACATCTACTACTACTGCTACTACTACTACTAATACTACTAATAGTAGTAGTAGTAGTAGTAGTACTAGTACTACACCTAACAGTACAAAGCCTACAACATTCTTTCAACGTCTTTTATCTGATAATAATCCAAATGATTATTTTCATTCAATATTCAATACTCATACATTATTTGATAAGATTGAATTCATCAATCATAAATGGTGTACTATAAAACATTCAAATATCAATGATATTGGTATTAGTATAGAAACATTAAAATTAAAAGAGAATACAATAACTCAATTGAATTCAATCTATTTAATTGTTATACCAGCATTTTGTTGTCCATCTAAACAAGAATCAACTCTAGTGAATACAATCAATAAAGATTTATCTTATACAGATATTTATCGTTCAACAAATCTATTAAAAACTCGTTTATTCTCTACTGGGAATTCATCGATGTTATCAGCAGTAGCAGCAGCTGCTGCTGCTGGATTAGTGACAACAACAATGGCAGCAACAACTACAACACCGCCACCGCCACTACCACTAACAACAACAACAATATCTGAAAATCAATTACCAAAATCTAATTGGGAACGTTTAGCATCAGCTGTTTTTACTATTAATAGTAGAGGTATTATTGATCGATATTTTTGGATACCAACTGATCAACAATCTATAGAATATAAGAACAATAATATTGAACCTTTAGAACAATATGGTTTATTCTATGATTCATATCGTTCATCACAATATGGGTAAGTTGATTGGTAGGAATTATCTTAAATTAATCAATAAAATGTTTTTTTTAACTGAAATATCAGGACTCAGTAGCTAAGTGAAGAACGCGATGGCGTTTGAAGGGAACAATACTGGGTTCAAGTCTTGGAGTGATTCCCATCAACTCTGGGATGAAGGTATACCCGGCTGACGATTCCCAAATAAGACGAAGTGTCGATTGTCCTGGATTCCACCGCTAGCCACTATCCATTTTTGCTTAAAAAAGAACCCAGCATGTGATTTAAAGCAATCTACACAGGATGTACATATGCCAACGTGAAACTGATCAATTGCAGTCCTAAGTAACAATTGGAAGATATAAGTAAAACAATGCCAAGTGAATAACTGGTAATTGAGATTTTCCAGTACAACACACCATGCACCAATCCAGTCACAATTGACGGAGAAAATTTGGAAGATGTAAAAACCTTTACATATTTGGGCAGCATCATTGATGAACATGGTGGATCTGATGCAAATGTGAAAGCGCGGATCGTCAAAGCAAGAGCAGCATATTTACAATTGAAGGATATCTAGAACTCAAAACGACTGTCTGTCAACCAACACCAAGGTCAGAATTTTCAACGCAGATGTCAACACAGTTCTACTGTATGGGGTGGAAACCTGGAGAACTACGAAAGCCATCATCCAGGAGATACAAGTGTTTATTAACAGTTGTCTACACAAAATACTTTGGATCCGTTGGCCAGACACAACTAGCAACAACGTACTGTGGGAGAGAACAAACCAGATTCAAGCGGAGGAAGAAATGAGGAAGAAGCTGTGGAAGTGGATAGGACACACATTGAGGAAAGCACCCAACTGCGTCACAAGACAAGCCCTCACATGGAATCCTCAGGGCCAAGGGAGGAAAGGAAGACCAAAGAACACATTACGTCAAGAAATGGAGACAGACATAAGAAAATTGAACAAGAATTGGATGTAACTAGAGAGGAAGGCCCATGACAGAGTGGTTGGAGAATGCTGGTCGGCGGCCTATGCTCCATTTTGAGTAACAGGCAGTAAGTAAGTAAGTAAGTAACTGGTAATTGAGTTTTTCCAAAAAATTCAATGGTTTGAATCTAATGTTAAGTATTAGTTTCTATCAGATTTCACTTGTATGTTATTGTTGACTATTGTATCTAGATCCTCCTGATTGAGTTTTATATAAATTAGTCATTATTGAACAAGAAGGATTTGATGTAGATGTAAAGGTAGGGATTTGGAAAGTAAGGGGCAGCATTCCTATGGTTGAAGAACATATAGAACTCAAAACAACTATCAACTAATATCAAGGTCCAAATCTTCAATATGAACACAGTGATACTGTACAGTGCTGAAAACTGAAGAACTACTACAACCATCATCAAAAATGTACAAGTATTTTTAAATAGTTGACTACGCAGGATATTCAACATCAATTGGCCGGGTACTATCAGCAACAGCCTTCTGTGGGAGAGAACAAACCAGCTCCCATTTAAAGAGGAAATTAAAAAAATACATTGGATAGGACAAACATTGTGGAAATCATCAAACTGTATTACTAGGGAAGTGTTATCTTAGAATCCTGAAATCAAAACGAAAAGAGGAAAGCCATGGAAAGTATTGCGTCGGATATTGCAGGTGGGCTTCAAAAGAATAAACAGCATTTAGGGGTAAATGGAAAGAGGAGGTCAGAACGGAGTTGGTTAAAGAATCCTGTTTGATGGTCCACTCTTCGATGAAAGGTAACACGAGTAATTAAGTAAATAAGTAAGTAAGTGAGGATTAACTACACCATAAAATAACTAGCTAATCAAACACTACGCTTCATTAAATCTCTATTCAATATGTAAGAGGTATTACATAACACGACATAATTTTTTTTATAACAGCTGATAATATTATCTGGTCATTTAAAGTAGATGCGCTTTGATGAAGTGTCTCACAATAGGATGAAACCGCTGTCCAGTGCTTCCAGGTTATCCATGGTGGTCTAGCTTCAATTGACTCATGATCTCAACAACTGAAATACATGAATTGCTTGAAAATTGGAATATCATATTTGTGAGGAAAAATTTCAACTGTGAATATACTACGATCCTCACAAATCCTCATACTTAAAACAATCATATGCCCGCTAGTGATTAGCTTCAGAATGGGTTTCCTGGTGTTTCAGTGAGAAACCTTGCCCAGTGGAGTTCACTCAATGTCAGGTGTTAGACAGTTATACACTTTAAGGTAATGTATGAAGGGTTACGCAGGATCGTGGATTGATTGAAGTTAGAGATTAACACCTTCGAATGCCAGCTCAGCGGTCTGGAGGTTAAGCGTTTGCACGAAGCAATAGGTCCTTGATTCGAGTTCATTTGGTGCAAGATCGTGGATACCCACTGTTGAAAAATCCCACATTAAGACGAAATGGCCATCCAGTGCTTGAGAATTTTCATTAATGATCTAGCTTAGATCGACTCGTGGTTTCACCATGGAAATATCTAACTAATAAAAGATTAAACTTGATTCATCTCTTTGGTAGATCAGCATCTAATTGGTTATTAATTTTTAAATAAATTGTAGTTAGTAAATTCTACAGCTTTGATTTAGATTAACCTAGTTACCCAATGCAAAATATACCTGATGTGATGGGAGATATTTCGGTGAGACTAAAATTTGTGGACGACATTTGAGCTACGCTTAAGTGACGTTGAGAGTGTTCACCTGATAACTAAGACTAAATGGGGGTTATAAATCAGTGTGATGATTTACACTTGATGGTTAGGGTTAGGAATTAGATTTAGGGTTTTCATGACTATAATGCCAAAACTCTATTTAACCAAATGGATGAATTCAGTTTGCGCCAAAAAATCCAAGACCTATTATCTTATACTGATTGCTTCGTTCATAAATTATAATTTCACCAATATTTCTTTTATAAATTTTGCTAAATATGTAAATACTACTTAAATCTTGATGCATATTTGATTTGTTTGATTCTTCCCATTGAAGTATAGATCAGTCTCTTTTCGATGTATGTTTACATCTTGTGAAGATTGTCATGATATGTCTATTAGTCATAAACGTTTTATTCAGAGTTACATCATATTTAGAAGTGAATATCAGAACTCAATAGATAAGTGAATGATGTGTTAGGTGCATAAACAAAAAGAAAAGGTACTATGTGTTGATTCTGGATGTAAACGTCAACAGGGCTGTATAAGCATATCCCATCCAGTTCGCAATTGTTTAATTAGAGCGCTCTTTTTTGAGTTCCATTGTTAACTACCAATCATTTCTGTTTAAAATTAAGTAAACTTCAAACAAGCATTGTTGGATACCGAAAATTTTAGTAGTCTAAAGGTTAAGAATGATAGGTTCTAGGTTCGAATCTCGCGATACGGAATCATAGATGTATACTGCTGATGAGTCCCATACTAGAATGAAACAGTCATCCAGTGCTTTCAAGTTTTCCATGGTGGTCTGACTTCAATTGACTCATGAATTCAAATATTTTTTTTAAATGACTATAATCTCCACAAAAGCCCCTTTTTGATAATAGTCATCATATGCTCACTAGTGACTAGCTTGAAGAGATATATCCTGGAGTTATAGTGAGAAGCAGTGACCATTAGAGTTCAACCGGTTCTGTTGTGATATGGTAACTCACTGAAAACAATGATGGATTATAGCTCATTTTCATGGATTGGTTGAAGTTAAACATTAACACTGTCGTATTCCGTCAAATTTCAGTGGTCTAAAGATTAAGCGTTCGCCCGCTAGACTGATAGGTCGTGAGTTCGAATCCGGATCATAGATTCACACTGCTGAGGAGTCCCATGCTAGAATGAAACAACCATCAAGTACTTCCATAGTGGTCTAACTTCAATTGACTCATGAATTCAACTATTACTAAAATCTCCACAAAACCTTCCTTTTCTGATAATTTTGTTTTTGTTCTTATTACATATTTTCACAATAGCTCTGTTGGACCATTTGATTCATCATGGATTCATTTCATTGAAAATATAAATAATTTTAAACTTGATAAAATATTTTCTTTAAATTTATCTAATACAAAACAATCTTCATCTTTAAATACTATTGGTTCACAATTATTTGCATTAACCTATGATGATAAATGGTTATTTATTGGTGGAAGATGGGATGGACGTTTAACTATATATAATATGTATCAATCAAAAATTCATGCTTTATTAACAAGTCCACATATAGATACAATTAGTTGTGTTGCTATGGATTCAGCATATAATTTAATTGATCGACAATCATTTACATATCATGGTGATTTTAATAAAATCAATAAATTCTTAATAGATCAATATAAGAATTCAATTACAACACATTATTATATTATTACTGGTAGTCGTGATGGTACATGTGCTATATGGGATTTTGATATTTTAAATGAAGAAGATAATGATGATCGTGATCGTGATCATGATTATGATCATAATGATGATCGTGATGAAGAAGAAGATCTCATAGAGTTTCGATATGATCATTCACCTTTTATTAATGATTCATTATTATCATCATTTAATCAAAGAAAATTATTAAATAGTAATGTGTTTTTTGGTAGTCAAGATGATCTATCAATGAATTCTGATCCAAAGACGATACATGATGAACAAGATCAAAAGGAACATCTTCATGTTATCGATCTTTTGATGAACTGGATCCTCCTCATCATCATCATCATCATCAAGATTATTATTCAATACAATCTATTTACCTAAAATGAATTATCATTTACAATATAAAAATGCTGGTATACCATTTTATCCATTTCATTCATATAAATCTAAAAAATCAAAACGTTTAGCAAAAATAATAAAAATTTTCTATGGAAATTTATATGGTAACCCAGTAACATGTGTTGCATTAAATATTGCCTTAGATACAGGTGTCATGGCAACAAATGCTAATCATGATCTATATTTATTTAGTGTAAAATTATCAAATTGGTCACGTGTACTTAAATTGAATACAATCGAATCAAATATTATAAATGAATTACATTATCCATTTGAGATATATCCAAATACAGAAAAGATATTTTTACATAGAAATAGATATACTACTGTCAATCATCTACTTATATCACCTAGATTAGGTTTAATTTATATACAATGGAATGTTATTATAAAAATCAATCAATCTAATATAAATAAAGAAGAAATTGGACCTAAATTAAGTTTATTTAATTCAATCGGTGAAAAATTATTAGAAATTTCACCATTTATTTATACTACTGATTATAATCATATAAGTAGTAATGAATTAAATCAAATATTGTTACACAAATTTTATTAACATCAACACCAATTCAATCGAAATATACTTTTCATAATGAAGATGATGATCATCATCATCATCCTGCAGAATACTTAGATGATCATTTCAATCATTCCATATCTCAACATATTTAATGTCGTTTAATACAGGACATTTGATGATTTTCATGGCAGAAACATTAGTACCTATTTATTGTATTAAATTAAATGAAGGAATTAATAATCTATCATTATTATGTAATCTTTCATCGAATCAATATCTTATTGAAGGTATTCATCTTATGTTATCATTAATGAATAATCAATTAGTAATATTTCAAACAATACGAAAGAAAATAGAAAGAAAGCAGTTAGCAACAAGACAAGTCTAAGTATGAAATTGTTTTACTTGTGTAGAATCAATAATGAAATAGAATGAATAATTTATATGATGCCAAAGATTCTTATGATTAACATATTTCATAAACAAAAAGCACAAAAAAAACAGATTGCGTAACAATAATTTATGAATGGGCCAATCAGATTGAAGATAACCGATTTTGGATTTGGCGCGAAATTCCTATTGGTGAGACTAGAATTAATGAATGAACCAATCAGATTGAAGATAACCCATCTTGAATTTTTGTGTGAAATTCCTTATTGGTGAAACTATAATTTATGAATGAACCAATCAGATTGAAGATAACAAATCTTGAAAATTCACTCATTCATTTGGTTCAAGAGCATTTTGACATTATAGCTGATGTCTATTCTTTATATTGGTTTATAAAGCTTATTTGTTCTTAGTGATTAAGTGGATTGTTTCTAGATCACTGTAGAGCGCTAATCAAAGGTTGTTCATAAATTCTAAGTCTCACCTTTATATTCTGTCTACTTATTTTTTTTTGTTTAAACCATATAGTATTTTTGTGTAAATTTTTGAACTATCTATCTATCTATCTTCAGAAGTACGGAGGGTATCTACCTCAGACGATAATCTTCTTTAAATGATTGTGATTTCTTTATGCAATTTCTCTATTGTCTCCTTTAATAGTAAATGAACTAAATGGATTTCTATGTTATTCTATTGAAATTTATAAAAGTGAATTCATGTATGAAAAATGTGTTGTTGGCAAGATTCTCTAAGAAGAATTCATCATTTCAAAAGTTTCATTGTTTGTTTTGTTTTTGTTTATTTGTTTATTGTACACAATAAAAACAAAAATAATCGATTCAAGTTATTTTTGTATTTTTTTTTCTCCCCCCCTCTCTCTCTGTCTCGATAATAGAGTTTTTGTTTGTTTGATTTTGCCTTAACGGTTTGTGTTTTCTCATGGTTTTATTTTTTTTAAATGTTTATTTGATGATTAATAGATAGACGTTTTGTTGTTGTTGTTTGCTTGTTTATTTTTACACTTTTGTCTTCCTCTATTTTATACATTTTTATTTGTAGATGTGTGTGTGCGTGTGTGGATGTTTGGATAGATATTTTTTTTAGCTAAAATATACGTATTCCTATGGAAGTTATTTATTTAAATGCATAACCATTGGTACAAACAGGTATCAAATAGATATGCGACATGTAAATCATTCAATTTGTGTGAGGGTTGGGATACTGTCAGGGTGCTCAAAACGAAGCTCGTGAATATCTTAGGGGAGACCGCACGGAGACTTTAACCTAGAGATTTAATCCAAAAAGTAGTAAATCAATGTCAAGAGATGCAGTCCCATGGTAGCCGTTGACCAATAATTGCTTCATATGCCGTTAGTTTCATCAAGATACTGAAGTCAATGTGCACCATTGGTCTGTAATGAAGATTATCTAACGGCGCTGTGAACATTTAATGTTCCATAAACATAGTGTTCAGCATTTTAATCAAAACCAACAGTTCAATCGATAGAACTAACCAAACAAATACGATTATGATCGGCTATCGCAGTATGTTAACAAACATCATATGTACATAACAATATAGCACATATTACATAGAACACATATGTACGATAGTAAACGAAATAGATCAGCATGAAGCGTTAGGGCTCAAATCACGCTTGAAACCAATTGACTGGTGTTGGGATACTATTACTAGATCACCAAGATCATTCTTATCGCATTTGCGAGATTTTCATTGGGAGAGCAATGAGTTAGGATTAGTATCCCTACATAAGATGACGAGTAAGAGGAGGTGTAAATCGTCAATGACAAACCTTACTATACATGTAAATACTATACATCACTAAGTAGTACTCAATTAGGTAGATAACACAAAGTAAATCCCATTGAAAAACATTAATCCGTTCAACAGTTATGAAGGATAATGTGACCGGAAACATTCCTATAGAATGTCTTTGAGAACATTAAAAATGCTCCACCATCATGAAAGAAATATTTTATACATATTTTTATGATGTTGTTAAATGCGCCTGATAACTCTTACACAATCAACATGCGACTTGTATGCGTGTAGGTATATACGCTGATCATTTCATTTCTTCTATATGTCAACCTTTAACTTTATATTTTCGGACTTAAGTATCCCTTTTTTTAACTCACGTATAAATTCTTTAACCAGTTCGAAGTCCTGTGCCATGAGGTAAGTAATTGATATACATATCCTTAAATCGTTACGTCAAGTAATGATAGGATCCAATGCCTCTCATTGTGATAGCTACTCGAGCACTAAAATCTTCACGACATAACATTAAGTCATCTACAAACAATTTACTATCCTCACGCTCATACCACAATCAGATATCGTGTCGACCTCCGTGTCCCAATATCCGGAGCACGGTTTGTGGTCATCGCTCTCGCATAACATCTGACCTAATTGGTCTAGCCGAAAACATAGTGCAGTCCAGATTCCAAGTCAATACGTAAGCTTGCTCAGCTTCGTGTCGGATACAAAATGTACCGTTGCAAAGTTGGATGGGATTCACACATCAGATGGTAACTTCGCACCATTGGTTTTTCGACCAGGCACATATAATAATTATCTGAACCTGCGGTTCCTCTCGTACTAAACTGGATTACCATAGCAACGGCCAGATTGAACTCTACTAATGTACTCATTAGTATGGTAAAACTAACCTGTCTCACGGTGGTCTAAACTTAACTCACTTTCCCATTAGTGGGTGAACAATCCAACGCTTGATGAATTCCGCTTCACAATTATAGAAAAAGCCAACATCAAAGGATTAAAAAGCGACGTCGCTATGAACGCTTGGCCAAACTAGTTGGTGAAGCCTGGTAGGCCCTTCTGGAGAAGAGGCTACATTGAAACACTGCACAACTACCGGGGCTCAGTAGTTGTTTTTGCAGGTTTTTTGTCTTTGATTTTACTTCCTGTCAGGTGTTTGCTAACCACCTATGTACTACATAGCAGTGATTGATTATGCCTTTCGCAGTTGTTGGGCCTTTATTACAGCCAGGATACGGAAATTTATTTACATTATTTATGGAGTTATTTTATTTATTGGGGTTTTAGTTTCAGTTTTAGGTAAATTGCCGGAAGCTCTTTCAACTCATCCGAGCCACTGGCAACGAGAAGGTCGGTGTGAACGAAACAATCTGTGGGGATGACGGAATGCCGATCAATAACATCAAACCACGTCTTGGACGATGGGCCGGGTTTTTTGAGGAGCGGTTCAACTGGTCTGCTGCTCCGACAACATCGATCAGACGGTTCTGCCCTCCATGGCCGGTGACGACTGATTCGCCAAATGAGGTGGAATTTCGCATGAAACTCCAACTCTTGAAGCGCTACAAATCACCAGGCTCATATGACCTACTTCCGGCCCTTTTTAAAGATGGTAGTGACTTTCTGATTAAGGAACTGTTCGAGTTGTTCACAAGGGTTCAGCAGTCAGAGAGTGTCCCAACGTCATGGAGTGAGTCGATAGTTGTCCCTATCTTTAAAAAAGGTTCACGTCGTTCCCGTGACAACTATCGGCGGATAAGTCTACTTCCGATTGCGTCCAAGCTATTGGCTTCCGTCATACTTCGTAGGTTGTTCAAAACCTGAGAATGATTGACTCGCGAGGGGCAGGCTGATTTTCGTTCTGTTCGAAGATGTATTGGTCATATCTCTACCCTCTGCCAAATGTTAGAAAACCGTTATACTTATCACAGGCCAACAATCGTAGTGTTTCCTGACATCAGGGCTGCCTTCGATTCGTTGGACAGGACTGTTCTCTGTGATGTCTATTGAAGAAGGGTGTGCCTGAGAAGTTTATTAACATATTGAAAGCCCCATATACAAACACCTCAGGCACAGTGAGGGCATACAACCACCTCTCTCCATTGTTCAATTCGAGCAGTGGGGTTAGGCAGGGTTGCCCAATCTCACCATTTCTCTTCAAGTTTGCTATCGACAACGTTCTGGATACAGTTCTGATGGATGTAAGTAATGGCGGTGTGAATCGGTTGCCTGGAGAAAGACCTCTTGACCTTGAGTATGAGGATGATATTGTCTTACTGTGCGATAATGCCCAAGACATGCAATCCGCACTTAATCAGTTGGCAATCAATGACCGTAGGTACGGTATGTGCTTTGCACCTTCTAAGTGCGAAGTACTTTTACAAGACTGGCAATACCCTGATCCTCCACTCACCATCAGCAGTGAGAATATAAAAGTTCATGTATCTGGGTAGCTGCATAAGTGCTGTTGGTTTTTTCATAATGATCTAACTTCAATTGACTCATGAATTCAACGATTCAAATCTATAATATTATTGAGAGTTGATTAAATCTAAACCTGAAATATCAATACTGGGATAAAGATAATATTCACTTGATAAATAGAACTAAAAGTACATTTTGAATTGTACTGTCAATCACTATGCAAAATAAAGAAGATATACCAATTAGTGCATAAGTTAAACATAAATGTGTTATGTTACATCTATCCATCCATCCATCCCACCCATCCATCCCACCCATCCATCCCACCCATCCATCCATCCCACCCACCCATCCATCCATCCATCCATCCATCCATCCATCCATCCATCCATTCATTCATTCATTCATTCATTCATTCATTCATTCATTCATTCATTCATTCATTCATTCATTCATTCATTCATTCTCTAACTCCTTCATTCCAAGTTGTGTTATTTTGGCATTTATGCTTCATACTACTTTTTTCTTCTACTTAATTATAAGTGAAAATAGTTATGTCTGCCTATTTCTATTATACTGATTGATATATTCAATATGTTACTATGATTATACTACTGTTATAATTCGAATGTTAAAGATTTAGGCGCCAATCATAATTTGTAAAGAAACCTAATATTGTGTGTGTGTGTGTGTACATATATGGGGTGTGGAATGAAGGGTAGAGAAAAGAATTAAAGTAACCAAATTTTTTTTATTCATTAGTTGAGATCATGAGTTAGATTGGAGCTAGATCATTATGGAAAACTTGAAAGCACTGAACGGTTGTTTCGTCTTGTTGTGAGACTCTTCAACAATGCACTTACATAAATAGAAGACTAGAAGTCGAGATAAGTATCGGTTGTATTACTTCTTTTATCTTTACAAGATACGGAG